TTTGTTGAAGGCTCCCATCTATGGTATTTTGATAGACCCAGCAAGTTCATACAATGTTCTTGTCCTGCAAAGATGCTACTGGAGAAGCCACCTGTCTGGCCCAAGCAGGCCACCGGTGACAGGGTCTGAGTGTCACCCATGTCCTGAGGGATCTGGAAAATCTGCTTTCGGACACACCATCCAACAACTCCTCATTGCATGCTCATCAGCGTTGTCTTCATGTCTACGTTTCCCAGCAGATGTCTTGCCTTTGATGATGTCCGGGCCTTTCTCAGTCCTTTGAGACTGCATACTTGTCTTTCTGGGACATCTGCATGCAGAGAACTTGGCTCTCCCATGTCCTGACAAGACTCTTGAGACACCTGGACCCGGGGCAACTGGTTGACCTTCTCGGGAGACGCCCAGCTGCTGTCTGAAGTTTGCTGAAGGCGGGAGGATTCCTGAGCCCCAGGAAGCAGCCATGCACCCCAGTATCTGCTCAGCTCCCGGGAGGATCTGCAGCCCCTGGGGACAGTGTCAACCCTGCATTCCCTGGACATCCATGCGGAGGTGTAGACGTTTCAGAATATCTACTGTCCCCCTGGAAATGAAAACCTCATGAAGAACAAGAGAGCAAAAAAGATTGAGTCGCAGGGCTGTTCTGTGGAGGGAGGCTGAAGCCCCACCGGAGAGGACAACACACACACGCCGACGGAAACACTGCCCCCTGCTGGCCTCCTGGTTTCTCTCAAACCCAAACTGCTGAGTTTGGCAGATGCTACAGCTTCTCTGTGAGTCATGCTGTCCTGGGGAAGAGCGACTTCAAATGCTTCCTGAATATACTTAATTATTGAGCCAGAGTCAAAGAAGAACCTAACGATTGGCCCGAGAGAAGTCACAATGAGGGAGTCTCTGTTTCTTCTGTGGAATTCCTCGAGGACAAGAGGGACACGTGGACTTAAAGCTCACAGAGGTTGGCAGCTGGCCCCTGGAGGTTCGGTTTTGATGACCCCACCCAGCAGCGGAGAGAAGTAAAGGCCCGTGCACAGAAAGCACGATGACACGGGCTGAGCTGTTTCCGAGTGAATCTCTTCTGTCGTGGGTTCAATAGAAAGGTGAATTCTGTGAAAAAAAGAAAGAGGAGGAGAGGGAAGATGAAGAGGAGGAGGAAGAGAAGGAGAAGGTGAAGGAGAACGAGAAGAAGAAGAAGGAGAAGAAAACAACAACAAGAACAAGAAGAAGAAAAACAAGAAGAGGAAGAAGATGAAGAACAACAACAACGACAAAGAAGAAGACGAAGAAGAAGACAAAGAAGAAGAAGAAGAAGAACAAGAAGAAGAAGAAGAAAAAGAAGAAGAAGAGAAAGAATAAGAAGATGATGAAGAAGAAGAAGAGAAAGAACAAGAAGAAGAGAAAGAACAAGAAGAAAATGAAGATGAAGACAAAGACAAAGAAGAAGAAGAAAAAGAATAAGAAGAAGAAGAGAAAGAAGAAGAAGATGACAAAGAAGAAGAGAAAGAACAAGAAGAAGATGAAGACGAAGATGAAGACAAAGAAGAAGAAGAAGAAGAAGAAGAAGAAACAAGAAGAGAAAGAAGAAGAAGAAGATGACAAAGAAGAAGAGAAAGAACAAGAAGATGAAGACGAAGATGAAGACAAAGAAGAAGAAGAAGAAGAAACAAGAAGAGAAAGAAGAGGAAAAAGAAGAAGAATAAGAAGAGAAAGAAGAAGAACAACAACAAGAAGAAGATGAAGACGAAGACGAGGACGAGGAAGAAGAAGAAGAAGAAGAAGAGAAAGAAGAAGAAGAAGAGAAAGAAGAACACGAACAAGAACAAGAAGAACAAGAAGAAATAAGAAAGAATTGTGACAAAGGACAGTTGTCCCTGAACGAATAATAAAACCGGAGCACCTGTTTTCCTTATCTAAGAGTTTGCCTGGGGCTCCCTTTCTCCTTTAGATGCAGAGCCAAGAATTCAGTGGTTTCTGGGATCTGGGAGGGACTTTGTTTTTGGTTTCTGGGGTCCTGCCTTAGCCAGCTACTGTTAACCATCGATACAAGTGTGGTTGTCGCAACAACAGGTCTGGTCTTTGCGACGTTGCCACTCGTCACACAGACTTGGGGTTCTGCGTGCACCCTTGAGAAATCCAGGGGGGGGGGAGCTCCGTGGAACCCCTGAGAGTCAGCCTCACCAGGATGGACGGTGAACCGCGGACAGGTCTGTGGCCTGTGTTTGGTGCACAGAGACGACAGAATTCCTTCGAGCGTTTTTCAGGGTCGTTTTCTCTGATAGGTCCCAAGAATCGCTTTTTCAAAACATTTTAAAATCATCGTTCTTTTTTTGAAAAAAAAAAAATGTTTTTATTGATTTTAGAGAGAGAGGAAAGAAGGAGAAAGAGAGAGATAGAAACGTTGATATGAGGGGGAAACGGATTGGGTGCCTCCCCTATGCACCCTGACCTGGGTTTGTGGTCTGATTGGGCATCTAACTGGTGACCTTTTGGTGCATGGTTTGGGGACGATGCTCAGCCACTGAGCCTCCCCAGCCAGGGCAAAAATAGCTTTTTTTCCCCTTTCTTTTGAGGGAAGAGAAGGTGTTCTGCATAATGCGAACCTCCTACCCAGCCGCTGACCATTTTAACCCCGTTCCCACGTTGCCTGGGATAAAAGCCCACCATGGATTTGCTCGTTTGTTTTTCGATGGACGCAGTGAGCTTCAGGGCTCTCTGCAATACTCCCCGAGATCCGTGTAAGTTCAGAACGCCATGGGCGTTCTATTTATACCAACGTATTGAATATTGATCACAGTCCTCTGCTGAGGGAGGAGCAAGTCCATTTTCCTCCCAGGCCATCGCCGACGATGTTCTCAGGATTTGATCCAGGGTTCTCGGCGTTCAGACTTCCAGGCCCTGAGCTGCACGTAGGGTCCGGGATACGGCCTGGCAAACAATCGCCGCGCAGTGATGCTATCTCAGAGGAGGGCTCGTGAGACATGCAAGGATAACGTGGTTTGGCGTCTCACCGGGAGGTTGGCACGGGGCTCCCCGTGCTGGCTGCTCTGTCTTCTTTGTGGACTCGGGCAGGTGGGTTTGATTAAGTCCTGGTGCTGGCTAAGCAAAAAGAGAGCCATGGTTTTACAATCCACGCCCGCTGTGCAGCTCGGAGTGGAAAATGTGGGTCAGCGACGTTATGGCCTTCTGAGTGAGGCCCCCCGTTTCCCCAGGATGGAGCCCCCAGAATGAGCATCATCTCCCCGACTGATCTCCCAGACACAGGGACCCCCACAAGGCAGGACCAGCTAGCGGTGGGAATCCCGTCGGCCTGCAGGAGGGGACGGACTTCCTGCCTGGTGCCTGCTACTGGCCCGAGTCCTCTGGGTTACGCAAGGAGGTGTTGGAACCGCCCCGCCCCACAGGCGTGAGTCAGCCTCACATGAGCCTCCCTGCTGAGCAACACAGACGCCCACCAGGGGCGGCTCCCTGCGGGGCCCTCCCCTGCCTGCCTGCCCCCAGGAGGCACCCCAAGCACCTGGGGACCCAAGGAGGCAGCCGGAAAGGGGACCCAGAGTGCTTGTTGGGCAGCCAAGCGGGACCCGTCTGCAGGTCGGGGCTGACGCTCAGGGGTCCCAGAGCCCCGTGAATCCACAGGCCTCGCTCTTTGCAGGCGGCCCCTGTGCGATAACCCTGGGGTACCTCCCAGCATGCTCGGCAGGGCATTTTGGAGAGGCCCGGGGAGGCCAGATAACACACAGGCCTTGGATTATCTGGGCCCAGGGGCGTGGCCAGCGCACAGCCCTGGGGCGATAGGCAGGTATCGGTTTGTGACATGCCTGGGACGGCCCAGCCTCCTCCAAAGCAGGTCCAGCTGATGAGACGAGCGACTGAAATCCTGTCAATGCGGTTGGGTCGCCTCGGCACCCTGCCCCTCTGAGTGGGACCGAGGTCAGCCGCACCCCGCTGGTCGCCCTGGAAAGTCGGTGTCTCAGGAATCCAGGTGGCTGACGCCGTCTCCTGACCCCCAGCCCTGGACCATGGTGACCAAGGCAGCGAGGAGGGGCTGGGGAGCTCCCCAGAGAAGGACGAAGCAGAGGCCAGAGCAGCTCAGACCCTGCAGAGCAGAGGGGCGTCTGGGGGACCCCCAGAGTGAGACACGGCTTTCTGCGCTGGCTCTATCGTTGTATCAGCTCCTGGCCTTCAGCCTGGGCCCTACCTTCTGGCCTCAGTTTCCCTGGCCGTCCAACGGCTGTGGCTGATCTGGATAGGCGGCTCCTGCCGGGCGATGCACCTGTGCTGGGGTCCGAGGTCCCTCAGCCGGAGCTCCAGAGCCCCCCACGGGCCATCCCGGCTGGGACTATGCCCGAGGGTTTGCTGACCCCACACTGGACCACCAGAGCTTCCTCCTGGTGGGCACATCCCGGCACAGGCCGGGAGACCCAGGATGTAGACATCACCTTCTGCCCACATCGAGTCTCCCCCAGACTTCGGGGGTCGCCGGAGGGAGGGTCCCGGTGTGAGTTCTGATGCTCCTGGAAATGCAGCGTCCTGGGCGGGGGCCCTAGAGCAACCCCAGCACCCTGATGTGATCGTGTCCCCTGTGCTCCCCACAGGTCAAGGCGACTTTGATTTGGCCGACGCTCTCGACCCAGGTAAGCGCCCACGCTCTCCGGGGGCTCTGCTTGGGCAGCGGACGGGTCCGGCAGCAGCTTGAGTTGGGGAGAATCAGGGGTGGGGGGTGGGCTGCAGAACCCCCGGCACTGAGATGGCTGTGTTCCCCGTGAGGCCGCCGGGCCTGGGAACGGGGCTCAGCCAAGGATGTGTGTGGTCTGGGCACTGGCCGTTGGTTTGCGAAATGTCGGTTCTCAGGTCCCGAGGCGGTGACACTGTGAGACCCAGCTCGGCTCCCCCCACCGGGTGGGAGGCTTCTCTCCTCCAGCGAGTCCTGTTGCCCAGGGAGTGGGGTGCACCGTCCCCCTCAGCAACAGGGGTGTTCAGACCCGGTGGGGAGAGAGAGAAAAGGTGGGGCTCACCGGCCCCGGGGAACCGAGATGTCCTCTTGAGAGAAAACCAGAAAGTGGTCGTCGGCTCGGGGAGAGTCCCCGCTTCTGGCTGAGGGAGTGATCTCTGGTCGCTCACAGGAACGCAGGTGGGGTTGCAGGAAGTTGAAAGGGAAGTGAGGACCAGACCTCAGACCCCGGAGGGATACCAGCACGTACCCCCTGATTTCCGCCCGCCGCTGAGGCTTTTGCGCATCGTAACCGCAGAGAAGCAGATACGAGGTTCATGTCCGCACGACAGAGAAACGGGGAGACTCGCACCAGCGACGAAATCGCGGGGACGCCTCAGGCTCAGGGCTGCCTGGTCTGGATGGCTGTGTGATGACGATGGAAGTAAACCAAGCAGTTGGAGGATGTCCCCCCAAATTCGGTCTGTGGGGTCCGCAAGAGACGATTGGACGGCTAAAGAAGGAGGCCCTGCCGCTCTCCACGACGGCCAGGTTGTGGGCTGAGGCAGAACCGGATGGTGGAAGCAACCCCGGTGCCCATCCATGGATGAAAGGGTGAACAGGCACAGGGGATGCACACGGTGGAATATTACACAGCCAGGAAAAAGAGTCACATTCTCGCACAGGCTACAGTGTGAACACATGATGCTTGGTGAGAGAAGCCAGACAGAATTGAATAAAAAATGTCCCAAACAGCCAAATCCACAGAGACAGGAAGAAGATCAGTCATCTCCAAGGGCTGGGGGGAGGAGAAAATGAGGAATGGGGCACCACGGGTCTCTTTTGGGGACACAACAACATCCTGGATCTACAAAATCACTCCACACAGAAAAATGTACTTGATACTCCTGAACTGTTCACTTACAAATGGATAATTTGATGCGATGCCAATTTTGCCAGAATTAAAAATAAAATAAAAAACAGTTGCAAGCAGCTCATCGAACAAGAACTTCCTGGAGAAACGCATGACATCGAAAATGAGAAGGCACATTCTGACGACCTGGATAAACGGTAGCATGATCTGCTCGTTAGGCACAGGTATGTAAACGGACATGCCATGAACAAGACGTGTGCCACTCTGAAGGACACACGTGACATGCGTGTTCCCAGTGACACACGTATATCAACCTGGAAATGTGGCTGGCATCCTGCACGGACCTGTGCGTTCCCCTGAAGGGTGTCTGGCTCCCACAGAGCTCCCCAGTTTCGTCTTAGCTCACCATCTGCTTCTCTCTCCGAGTCTGTTCTCTGGGGTCAAACCCACAGAAAAGACACCAGTGTGCAGGAATCCTGACCCAGATCCTCAAAGGAAACCTGTTTGAGATAGAAAACAATCAACTGGAAGTGGGTCAGCAGAATGGGGTCCATGCATGCCGTGGAATATTATGCAGCCAAGAAAAAGGAGGGAGAATCTGATGGGCGACCCCATGGACGGACCTTGAACACAAGACGCTCAGTGCAGAGAGGGCTTCCAAAACCAGTTCCCTCTGTGGTCAGGGCCCCCATCCATGGTGTCCCAGTCCTGAGAGCAGCACCCCCAAACTTCTTCGTCTTGGCCCTGTCGTCCCGCCCACAATCCACAGCCAGGCTCACACCGCCCGGTGGCCATGCTCCGCAGCCCAAGCTGTATTCACGTGAAGTCCACCTACGGGAGGGCTGACCCCCAGGTGTCAGCAACTTGCAGGACTGTGGAGGTCTCCGGTGACTCCCTGTCACCAACGGGAACTCAGTCAGTGTTTGTCGAATGAATAAAACAACGCACACACCAAAGAACGGGAGACAAGCACTGTTCTGGGAGCCGAAGCCTCTTCCCTATTTTACTTCGCTTCTGCGGTTCTTTGTTGTGGGCCCACCGACCCCTGGCGGATGCACGGGGCACACCCACCTGCCCTGGATGTTCTCAGCTAAGCTGACCCTCCATCAAGTGTCCACAAGGCTACTCCCTCCCCCCCGACACCCTTTGCTTAAACACACTTCCGAATGAGCCGAGCCGACCACCCCGTTAACCTGGGCCCGCACCCCACACCCCCACAGCTCCAGAACACGCAGGTGTGGCTGCATTGTAAGCCTGTCTTCTATGCACCCCACCCCCAAAGACACATTGAAGTTTGTGTTTCTATCACGTGATGTTTAGTGCCTTCCCTTCTTCATTTCTTAAAAGGTACGGACAGTTCTTCCCTTGACTTACTGAATGTGTTTTCTCTTTCTTCACAGAACCCACCAAGAAACCAGGCTCAGGTGAGCGATGGCTGGGCCGGCCTGAGGCTGCCCCCCGAGCTGGGGTGCCGGCAGGGGTGCGCGGGGATGCTGGTCGGGTCGTGGTGGGTGTGAGCACGAATCCTAGTCACAGGGGATGTGCATTGGACGGCAAATCACACTGAGAAGGAAATCCTTTGCTGTTGGTAAAGCAGGTGTGAAAACGTGAGAGATAACAGGTGTCGGCGGAGATGGGAGAAATGGGTCCCCGAGTGCATTGCTGGGGGGAGTATAAAATGGGGCGGCTACTTTGGAAAAGAGCCCAGACGTTCTTTAAACATGTCCGCCTGGGGTTGTCCTATGCTCCCAGAATTTTACTTCTGGGTACACAGCCCCAAGAACCCAAGACGGGGACTTCGACGAAAATGTGTGGATGTGCCTATAGCGGCGCCATTCGCAGTAGCTGAAAAGATGGAGGCAGCCCAAGCGGCCATCCACGCGGTGGAATATTACGCAGCCATGAAAAGGAGCGAAGCTTCGACAGGCCCCAGCGTGGATGGACCTCGAGGACGTGATGCAGAGTGAAATAAGCCAGACGCAGAAGGACAAATGCTGTGGGGTTTCATTTATAGAACAGGTCCAGAATCGAAGTTCCCTTCCAGAAAATTTTAAGCGGTGGTCTCGTCTCTCGGTGAGCCCGACTTGGCAGGACGTGAACCTAGACCGCTCCGGGGCCTTGCTGGAAGAGATACCCGTAGTCACTTCAGTCAGAAGGAATCGGAGATCCTACGGCATTTGTCCTGCTTTGTCTGATGCATCTCACTCAGCATACAACCCTCTCCAGGGGTTCCCCACCTTCCCAAGGCTGCACCCTTGACTACAACTCCTCCTGTGGTCTGTGGGCGCATCTGCGTGTGGGGGGACCCGCCTGGAGACGGACAGCGGAGCAGTGTCCCGGTTCCTAAGACCATCGAAAATAGATGTTTTCTGATGGTCTTAGGCGACCCCTGTGAAAGGGTCGTTTGACCCCCAAAGGGGTGGCGACCGACAGGTTGAGAACCGCTGAGTCTAGACCAAACCGTGTTCTCTCAAATTGCAAGTTCTTCTTCTCCTTCTTCTCCTCCTTCTCCTTCTCCTTCTCCTTCTCCTTCTCCTTCTCCTTCTCCTTCTCCTTCTCCTTCTTCTTCTTCTTCTTCTTCTCCTTCTCCTTCTCCTTCTCCTTCTCCTTCTCCTTCTCCTTCTCCTTCTCCTTCTCCTTCTCCTTCTCCTTCTCCTTCTCCTTCTCCTTCTCCTTCTTCTTCTTCTTCTTCTTTTTCTTCAGAGTAATATTCCATTCTGTATACGTGCCCCGACTTCTCGGTCCATTTGCCTATGGATCGGGCTGCTCCCGTATCTTTGCTGTTGCAAATAATGCTGCAAGGAATCTAGGGGTGCACATGCGTTCAAGGTGATCATTTCGTTTTCTTCAGAGACATAGATTCTCTGAAAAGGTCGCATTGCAGGAAGGAACAGTCTGTTGGTATCTGTGGGGACAGATGTTCACCCCGCCCACCATGCAGATCCTGCCCAAACAGATACAGAGAGTCAATCGCGACGCTGTACCCCTGATGCTCACAGAACGTTCCAAGTGGCTGACGTCTCCATAAAAACATCACAAGCGGTTCAATCCCAACCGGGAGAGAAGCGACCCGAGTCAGAGCAGGTTTACCAAGAGGACGATGTTGACGTCGATTAAAAAACGATCCGAGTCCGGCCGGTGTGGCTCCGTGGGTGGAGCGTCGTCCATGGACTGAGAGGTCCGGGTTCGATTCCCGGCCAGGGCACGTGTCCGGGTTGCAGGCTCGATCCCCCGTGGGGGGCCTGCAGGAGGCGGCCGATCGGTGTTTCTCTCTCACATTGATGTTTCCATCTCTCTCTTCCTCTCTGTCTAAAATCCGTAAAAACCTAATTTTTAACCAACGAAACACACGCGCACATCAGAGAATTTGTTATTCTCGCCACGACGTCGAGCGTCTAGAACACAGACGGTGTTGAGTGTGTGTGCATGTGTTTCCCAAGTGTCGGTTCTGAGCTGTGTTTGTCTCTGGTCTAAAGACACACTGTCTTCTCCCCTGCAGACGTCTACCCGAAGCCGAAGCCGCCGTACCCCCCTCAGCCCGGAAGTCCCGACAGCGGGGGAAGTAAGACCGCCCTGGCCCAGGCTCATTTCTGGACGGGTTTGGGGGACGGGGCACTTGGCTTCCCAGCAGCCGACCTCGGGCTGCGTCCGAAATCAGGGTACCCCTGACCCCCAGGCGGGCAGCTGCTCGGATAGCGGGGAGCGAGGAGGTGCCGTCGACCGCAGTTAGGTTGCTCGGTCTGCGCTGCTGACACCCAGAGATGACGGGGTGCCCACAGAACCCCGCCTGATGTTGGCATTGATTTCTCACGAGGCCGCAGGGCCCACCCTTTGGCGGGCTGCTTTGCACCGATGCCGGGTCCCCGTGAGGCAGTGCGTACGCGCAAAGTCGGAAATCTGTCCCCTTCGTACCGGCCCCCGGCTTTGAGAAACCAGCCTTGCACCGGTGGGCGCCCCAAGGCGCTCGAACCGTTAGCAGCTGGGCATGTCCCGTGTCCATTTTGGGAAGCCGGGGGCATCGTGGCGAGCGGGCCCGGCGAGGAGGTCCTGGGCTCGTGGTTTGGAGGCTTTATGTAGGGAGATTTTAAATACCCGATTTTTAACGCGACGAGAGGGTCTTATGGACGGGGTGAGCGGCTCATGGCGGAAGGACGTCCTGCACGGTCCTAAAACCACTCTGGTGTTTTCCAACAGACATCTACCCCCGGCCGAAGCCCGTGCCCCCTCGGCCGCAGCCTGGCTACCCTGAGGGTGGAGGTAAGAGCCGGGCTTCTGGGCGCATTGCAGAGCGTTGGGTACGATGCATCCTCTTGGGGTTCTGTCCTGGCGGCTGCGAAGGAATACGTTGTTACGCTCACATTTTCTTCTGCAAGGGGTGCAGGCTGCCCCTGCCCGATCTGGGGGTGCACAGACAGAAAACGTGTTCGTTTTAAATGTTCTTTTTTTTGTTTATTGATTTTAGAGAGAGGAAGGGAGAGAGAGATGGAAACATGGATGAGAGGGAACATCGACGGGCCGCCCCCTGCACACACCCCACTGGGGATCGGGCCCACGACCTGGGCACGTGCCCTGACCGGGAGTCGAACCCGTAACCTCGTGGTGCAGGGTCGACGCTCAGCCACGGAGCCACACCGGCCGGGCAGAACACGCATGTTCTTTGCTTTTGCGTTAAAAGGCCTGCAAAATGCATTTCGCTCCAAAGATGCTTCATGGTCTTGGGAAGAAGGGCCCCCCTGGGTTGGCCTTTGATTTTTTGTGTGTTTTGTTGATTAAGTTTAATTTTTAAAATTATTATTATTATGCCCTGGCCCGTTTGGCTCAGCGGTTGGAGCGTCGGCCTGCGGTCCAGAGAGATCCGGGTTCGGTTCCCGCTAAGGGCATGGACCTCGGTTGCAGTTTGTCCCCGGCCCGGGTTGGTTGTGCGGGTGGCAGCCACTCGATGTGTCCCTTTCACATCGATATTTCTCTCTCTCTCTCTTCCTCTCTCTCTCTCTCTCTCCCCCCCTCCCCCCCACTCTGAACAAAAAATGGAAAAATGTCCTCGGGTGAGGATAAAAAAAAAAATTATTATTATTAAAGTACAGCTGTGCTCAGGCTGGGGGGTTAGACATGTGTGTGCCGTACAAAGGGATCCCCGATATTCCCAGTGCCCACCTGGCCGCATACATAATTACCCAAATATCAGTCACTGGATTTCGCCTGCTGTGTTGTCCACCGCATGCTTATTTGAAACTCGTGATTTGTGCGTCTCAATCCACCCCTCCCCTCATTGTTTGAGCCTCACCTGAGGAAATTTTTCTATTTATCTTCACGTAGAGTCAGGGAGAGAAAGGGAGAGAGAGACACATCGACTGGTTGCCTCCCGCACGACCCCGACCAGGGCCGGGGACCCACTGCAACCGAGGTCCATGCCCTTGGCTGGAACCGCACCCGGGACTCATTGGTCCGCCGGCCGACGCTCTGACCGCTGAGCCACACCAGCCAGGGCCCCTTCCCCTTTTCTACCCAGCCCCCCAAACCCCCTCCCACCTGGCAACCCCCAGTCCGCTCCCTGCATCTCTGAGCCTGTTTCTGTTTTACTTCTGCCTGGATTTTATTTGTTAGATGCCACAGGGTGCTGGTCTGTCTCCGTCTGCGGCGTCTCACTGACCGCAGCACCCTGTGGGCTCGGCAGGTGTGCACCTGAGTTTGGCTTCTGTTTACAGGAGCCCTTGGGGGGGTCCCGTTGCTGAGCCCCCACAATCTCTCTCGAAAGAGGTGGATTAACCACGCGGGACACGCTCAGGACAGAGACACCCCCACCCCCATAAAAATGCAAGAGCCGCCTCACTGGACGGCGTGGGGATGGGTGCTGGTGCGGGGTGCAGGGACAGGCTAAGATATGCGGGGTGACTGGTTGCTTGGGTGACAGGGAGTCTCCCCGATTCCCTTCTGACACCGGACATCAAATCGCTAGGGTCCGAGACACCCTGTTAGGTCCAAGTGGACAGTGTGCTGGAGTCTGCCTCCCTCCTGCCCGTCTGATGCCCGGGCCACGTCCGTGTCCGAGACCCGGCCGCCCCCCGGCCAGGGCGCCGGGAAGGAGCCTGTCTCTGGTCACCTGCCCGAGCGTCGGTCCCGGAAGCTGGTGGCACGGGGCTGTCTGGGGAGCCTTTGGGGAATGTCTTGTCTTTTCCCCGCAGGTTACATCAGTGACCGGGACCTGGACGACGGCCGCTACCCGCCCCAGCCCCGGCCCAGGCCGCCGGCAGGTGCGTGCGGGCTTCTTGGGGACCGGAGGGTGTCGGGAGCCGCATCTCCCTCCCGTTTGGGGCTTTGGGGTGCTCCCCTGTCTGCATTGGGCTAGAAGCCAGGGTGCAGGAGGGTTCGCTGAAGTCAGAGATTTCCTCAGGGCCCCGGCGGGAGAGGTGTTTTTGCACCATGATGTGGGTGGCTCCCTTGAATGTCCCCCCGATGGCCTGGCCACCCTGTGGGGCCGTAGTAGGGGTGACGCCTGGGCTGGGGCACCGTTGCCCACGCCCCACAGGACGCCTGCTGGAAGCCACCGTCTGCAGGTGAAATGCTCAACGGCTTCTTCCCTCCTGCAGGCGGCGGCGGCTACAACCCCGGTCATGACGGCTACGGATCCCACGGTACAGCTCCGGGGCCCCCGCGCGTGGGGGGCGGGGCGGGGGGCTGCGGAGTAGATTCAGGGCTCCCCTGTGGGTTCCCCACCACCGCTCCTCCCTGGGGTCCTGGGTCCCGACGACCGACCGGCCGGCGAGGGCCTTCTGAACCCCGTGTTCTCCGACCCTCTGCTCCTCGGTCTGAGCTCGGGGGACGAGGGCTCGCAGGTCCCTGTCGGGAGGGAGGGAACCGAGACCCTGTCACAGATGCCGCGTTGTCTGCCAGGCGGCTCATCGACGTCAAAGGACGAGAAGCACCTTTGTGGGGGGAGACTGGGAGGTGCGCCCCACAGGAGCAGCAGGGGCCCTCCCCCCAAAGTCGTCTGGGCACCCCCAGGTGCTCAGACGTCCTCTGCTTCTGTGAGGGACGATGCGGGGTGACATGGCCCAGCTGAGGAAGGAAAAGGCTGCAGACACTTTGCATGAGCACACGGCTCTGCTTTTGGGGTGCAACATGCCGACTCGATATCGGCACAGATGGGCGGACGATCGCCCCCCAGGTCTAGGGAACACCCAATACCTCACTGGGGTACACGTGTGTGTGTGTGTGTTTCTGTGTGTGTGTGCTGAGGGCTGGGAAAATCGACTCTCTTTGCGACTTTTATTTGACAGGTATTTATTTATTATGCATTATTTTTATTGTTTGCTCATCGTCACGCGAGGGTAGTTTTTGCATTGGTTTTATTTATTTTTTTTATCTTCACCCAAGGACATTTTTTTTTTCTTTGCATCTATCTTCAGATAGAGCGGGAGGGAGAGACAGAGAGAGAAACATCGATGTGAAAGGGACACATCGAGTGGCTGCCACCCGCACGACCCCAACCAGGGCCGGGGACAAACGCAACCGAGGTCCGTGCCCTTAGCGGGAACCGAACCCGGGTCTCTCCGGACCGCAGGCCGACGCTCTAACCGCTGAGCCAAACCGGCCAGGGCAGGAGCGACCTGCTTTAAACGGAACGTGCGGACGTGATACTTAGTCACCCTGCTCCTATGAAATCATCGGGCAAACACATTCAGCGTTGACCCAAATACACGGAGCGTTTCATCCTCAGACACCCAACTTCCCCGCAGCCCCGAAAAACCAAGCCTCTCTGTGCACGGACCCCGCAGGTCCTGCCCTTGCAACCGGACGTCCGCAAACTGTGTTCCTCTCTGCCAGCTTCTTACGTTAGAAAGAAAGGGCCTGGCCGGTGTGGCTCAGCGGTTAGAGCGTCAGCCTGCGGTCCAGAGAGACCCGGGTTCGGCCCCCGCTAAGGGCATGCACCTCGGTTGCAGTGTGTCCCCGGCCCCGGTTGGGTCGTGCGGGTGGCAGCCACTCGGTGTGTCTCTCTCACATCGATGTCTCTCTCCCTCTCTCCCTCCCGCTCTGTCTGAAGATAAACACACAGTGTCCCCAGGTGAGGATAAAAAGAAAGTTCTCACCCCATGGGGTCCTGAGCTCCTACGTCGTTTTCCAGGGACATTAGGTCCCTCACCACGTGGCACCGTTTCTTGGGGACCAGCCCCTTATGGATAAAAGCTCCGCCCTCAAGATGACGCTCGGTCCTGGGGCTGCCGTCTGGCCCGGAGCTAGAGAGAATGGGGGTCCCCAGTGACTTCGGCCCCCATGTTCCGGGCAGGGCAGCGTCGCGCTGCCAGTGGCCGGATGTGCTTGGCGGGTGCCCTCCCGTTGCCGGACGCCCGCCCGCTGGTCACGGCTGCCCAGGTCTGTCCTCCCTGGGGTCGCGCAGACAGTGTTTCAGTCGTTTTCTTAGTAGCTGCTCTGAACGGCCCGGTGTCTCTGATACAAACCTACTCCGCCCGGGCGGAGAAAATAAAGGACCAGACGGGGCGGCGTCAACAACAGACGTTTATTTCTCCCCGTCCCGGAGGCTGGAGTCCGAGACCCAGCTGTGGGCAGGCTGGTGGCTGCGGAGGCCTCTCTCCGGGGCGTGTGGACGGCCGTCTGCTCCGTGTCCTCACGGGGTCGCCCCTGTGCGATCTGTGTCCTCACCTCCTCTTCTTATGAGGACCCCAGTCCTGTGGGGTCAGGGCCACCCAGGGACCCCGTTTTACCTAAATCACCTCTTCACAGACCTGTCTCCCATGTCAGTTCTATTGTGAGCTGCTGGGTCAGAACCCAGACGTTGCAAATTTTGAAACGGACCCAATTCAGCCCCGAAACGTCCATCCCCCACGTTGACGAGGCCGTGTAGTAAACGGCCCTTCGGGGTGCGTGAACGCCCCCATCAGCCACGGCGATGCCAGACACAGGGACGACCACGTGAGGACACGGGCGACGCTGAGCACAGAGCAGTTTGTTTTTTTAAACAAATCTCAAACCGGGGTTCCCCCGCCGCGCTCCGGACATCAGGACAACGTGCCGCGGTGTCTGTTAGGTTTCGGAATGACGGTGTGAAAAGTGTTTTCTTCCCGCCGACCGCTCAGAGCGCGGAAAGCGAATTTGCACGCAGCTGAGTCACCCCACCCTGGGCCCTGCAGGTCCGCCCGGGGTGTGCAGGTGTTAGCAGAACACCCGGCCACGGCTGTGTGGGGGGACCGTGCCCCCCTCTGAGGGCTCTGCAGCTTCTCCCAGCTCGGGGTGTCCTGGCTTCCTCTGGGACACCCCTCGGGCCTGGCCCCCCACTTCACATGATCTTTCTGTCCTGCAGGAGGAGGGCCGTTCGGTCAATATGATTATGGTAAAGGAAGGGTTTCGGGAAAGCTGGTGGGGGGACCCTCCCGGGAGCATGCACCCCGAGGGTGCTGGGGGGAAGCTTCAGCGTCTGTTCTGCATGCTCTTTTTTTTTATTTAATTTTTTCCCCTTTATTCATGTTAGAGAGAGAGGAAGGGGAGGGAGAGAGAGATAGAAACATCGATGAGAGAGAACATCAACCGGCCGCCTCCTGCACGCCCCCCACTGGGGATCGGGCCTGGGGATCCGTGGGAATCGAACTGGCAACCTCTTGGTGCAGGGTCGATGCTCAGCCACTGAGCCCCACCGGCCGGGCTCCTGCATGCTCTTAAGTGACCACCCGGGTCCCTCATGTTTCCCTGGAGATGAGACCTTAGTTTCTCAAAGGCACTCAGGTCTGCTCAGAGCTGTTATTGTGGGTGAATGCACCCACGTGTGTGCAATTCGTGTGCCGTGTGCATGCACAGACATGGGTACATCCACGTGCATGTGTGAGCGTGCATGTTCATGAGTGTGCATGTGTGGTCATGGGTGTGTGTGCATACAGTTGCACGCTCATGTGTGTACCCGCGCATTGTGTAGATTTTCACATGTGCGTGCATGTGTGTGCTGGTGCATGTGGCACGTGCAAGTTCACACATGACATTGAAGAGCACATGTGTTCACGTGTGCTGCACAGGGAGGAGACATGCCATGTGCAGTCGTGTGTGTGTGTTTGCATGTACATGCATGTCTGTGTACATGTGTGCACAAGGGTGTGTGCATGGGCACATGTGTGTGTTCCACGTCTGAGCTCATGTGCGTGGTCCCTGAGCCGGAAGCTGTCTCTCCCTGTCCCTTCCCGCCCCATCCGGCCCTCCCCGAGGGATGTCCTGTCCACACCCGAGTTCCATGTGCTGACGGCCCGTCCCCTCCCCTCGGGACAGTGAGCGTCGTGAGGACACAGACTCTTGTCCACTTGCTCCCGGTGGCATCCGCAGCATCTCCACAGGGCCGGCCAGCGAGGGCGCCCCCCGCTCCCCGAGCGCTCCTGTGACTCTGTGTTCTCCTTTACAGATGGCAGTGGACACACCACCTACGGCGACAGCGACGGTAATCCATGCGTCCAGCCCCCACCCCGGTCTCAGGAGGCCCTGGTCGTGCCGGTCTGCCTGGGGCAGGTCGGCACAGGCCTGCAGTCTCGTCCCCCCAGGGCGTGCAAAGGGCACGTCCAGACTTTCTCTGCAGGGAAGCACCTGCCCTTCGGGGTGGGGTCAGGTGCATGCAGCTCGGAGGAGGAGAGGCGGAGCCGGGTCCTCAGTCTGGACTGAGGTGCCTCAGGCTGTGAGGGTGCAGATAGGGTTTGGGGAGTACCCTGGGGTCACAACGGCATCTTGTTTTTTTCTTCCTTTTTTGTATCCTCACCCGAAGACATTTTTGCCTCCATCCTCACACAGAGCAGGAGGGAGAAAGGAAGAGAGAGAAACATGATGGGAGAGAGACACATGTATGCGTTGCCTCCCACACGACCCCGGCCGGGGCAGGGGCTGGAACATGCGACCCAGGTACGTGCCCTTGACCAGGAACTGAACCCACGAGCCTTAGGTCCTGGGGGGCTGGTGCTTTCATCACTGAGCTGACCCGGCCAGGGCAATTTTTTGTAAAGACTAAATCACAGCCCTGGCCGGTGTGGCTCGGCGGGGAGGGCCTCGGCCTGCGGACCAGAGAGTCCCGGGTTCGGTTCCCGCGCAGGGAAGATAAATGCAACAGTGTCCTCAGTGAGGATAAAATACAAAGGGGGAAAACAATGAATCACACGCAGGCTCCCAAGGGTGAAGGAGACCAGGGATGAGACGCAGGGGGTCCCCAGAGTGGAGGGGACGGTGAGGGAAATTAGGGAACAGCAGCAGCAGACATGGAAGGAACCGGTCGGCACCGACAGGTTCGTGTTTGCTGATCAGCACGGATGACATCCATCTGCCCGGACAGCCGAGGGGAAAGGGTGCATTCGTGAGCTCTGCTGTGAACACAACACCCCAAACCCTACCGGCTGAAAACGACCCCCGTGTCTCAGGACCGTGACGATAGGAGGTGGCAAATGGACTAAAACCAGGTCCCCCGCCCCCTCCAAGGGGCCAGGCCAGGCGTGTTCCCAAGGCGGTGGGCACGGCATCTGGGAACGGAGGGAAGGGCACCTGGGCTGGGAACCCGGACCGCTGGGTTTGTTCCGGGTTCTGGCTGAGTCCAGAGTCCCAGGACGGAGACCTGGCCACACCTCTGGGTGGGGAGATGCTACCCAGGGACATTGCAGAAAGCAGGACACTGAAGGGGGAGTGTTGTGACCGGATGACGATGAGACCTGGGCACCAGGCAACCCGGGACCTCCTCGGTGGAGTGGCCATCGATCCGCCGCCGGCCACACCGCAGCTGCTTGACCCAGGCAGACACGGGACAGGGTGGTAGCCTAGATGGCGCTCAGCTGAAAATCAAAGGCTGTTCGAGGTGACAGGCGGCAGCGTGTCTCTGGGGTCGGGAAGGACAGCTGTGGGCAGCAGGCGGGGCCCAGCCGGGGTTGCGATGGGGAGACAGGCGATGGGCGTCTGGGAGACAGGACGGGACAGGGACGTCCCCGCAGGAAGGCGTTGCTCCGGGTGCAGATACCAGGACCCCGAGGCGCGGACTCCGAACAAGGCGTTTCATCCTCCATCCTGGGGTCCCCGTCCCGTCGTCCTCAGACCTGCTCCCCGTCATCTCTGCAGACGGCGCTTGGGGACCCCAGGGAGCCCAGGCCCCAGGCAGAGGTCACTTTGTCTGTCGTAACGTCCAGAAGTTTGAGGCATCCGATGTGGGAGGTGGCTCCTCGGGCAGGCAGCTCAGCTCCATTTCCAAGGGGTCCATTTATATGATGATTATTTTTTAATGAAGGAGACAGGAGTTTTCCCTGGGGAAGGGGATTGTTCCCCATCTCTCCAAGGTCCCCAAACTTTGCGGCAGGCTTTGGGCGCAGTGTTCTGGGGCCCCTAACGCTCAACGTTGCCTTCGTCCAAAAAGGTGCAAATCCCTCCGATGAAACAAACAAAACCACATCACCGGCGTCCGCGGTGCCCACCTTTGAACGTGCAGATGGGGCGAGACTGGTCGGCTAGCTCCTCGCAGGGTCACTTTCTAAGGCGTCTTGTTGCGATCGCCTGTCCCCCCGTGGCTGGTCCGGTGGCGCGTAGCCAAGGCAGAGAGGTCATTTGCGCTCCTGCGGGCCATGTTGGTTTGCTTTTTTGACCACCTTGCTCTTCCCCTCGACTCCTGCAGGCAACCTGGTCACGAAAATCGTGTCTCCCATTGTGTCGGTAGTGGTGGTGGCCGTGGCCGGCTACGCCGTCCGGTACTGCCAACAGCACCGGAGGAGAAACGGCTTCCGACCCAACGGCAAGTTCCCTTCACTTTGTTTTTCCGTCGCTGTGGGCGAAACCGGAGAAAAACATCGCTGGCGTCTTCCGCAAACAGCAGTATTTCTGGCTCCGTGCCGCGGGAACCGTCTTCCGTAGGCAGGAGATTTCAATGTGGGGTTCGACCCGCAGACACGGGCAGAAACCGGTCCCCGGGGTGCACAGAGAAACCCCCTCCGCCTCATCCCATCTCCAAACGGCTCCCCGACCGGCGAGATTCGGTGGAACTGCCGAAAAACTCAAATGACCCCCCTCAACCGGTTCATTGTACACCGGGGCTGGGGCAGGGCTTGGGGCTGGGGGGTGTTCAGCTCTCGGGGTGCGGTTTTGTTTTTCCGTGAAATTTGAATCCCAGGCGAGTCTGGAGAAGTGTTGGGGTGGGACCGGAATTGGACGCCTGCCTGTGGAATTCCGGGGCTGTGCACGGATTTGGGGGAATGGGCGTCATCGGGGGGGGCTTTCTGGTTTCATTTGGGGTCCGGGCTCCCTGGTTTGGAGGACTACCCCCCGGTGAGCTGTCTTAGGGAGAAAAAGTTGCAGCTGCTGATCACCGAGTGCCCTGAAGGCACCCCTTAAATCGGGACGCAGGGGGACGAGGGAAGTTTTGTTACAAATAATTCAGATTTTACCTTGGGGTCTCGGCAGGTCGGGGTCTGAGACCACGCGTGTCTGAATCCCTCTGGGGTTTGATGGGGCCCCCACCCCACACCTCCTGTGGGTCGGTGGACAAGGACTTGAAACAGAGACCCAGGCCAATGGTTTTGGGGTCGTTTTTTTTCAAGAATTGGTGTCATTTCAAAAGGCTAAACCCTGCCCATGGCCTCCGCGTCCTGGTGGGTGGGGGTCCTGACCCATCCCCGCGGGGCGAGCCTCGGTCTGCACGACCCTGAGCGCGCAGGGCAGGCAGGATTCAGGGAAAAGCACCTTCCTTTCTTGGAGACACACGGTGCATCCCTTCCCATCACATCTCCCGACGAGGCCTGGAAACACCCCAGAGCCCGCGGGGTCCGGGCCGAGACAGTGACGAGAGCGAGGTGTTCATTCCAGATACTTAACGTAGGAAAGGGGGCACCAGCCACCCCGTCATCAAAGTAAATTCCATTTAGCGCAACATCAGAATAATAGTAACAACAATAATAATAATAATGATACTATTACACAGGCCAACTTCAGCCATAGAATTAATTCCTCAATTCATTTAATATGTTCAAAAACCCTTAACAGCGCGGCCGGTGCGGCTCAGGGGTTGAGCGTCGACCCTGCACCCAGAGGTCGCCGGTTCGATTCCCAGTCAGGGCGCAGGCCCAGGTTGGGGGCCCATCCCCAGTGGGGGGCGTGCAGGAGGCGGCCCGTCCATGTTCTCTCTCATCTATGTTTCCATCTCTCTCCCTCTCCCTTCCTCTCTCTGTAAAATCAATAAAGGAAATTAAAATAAAAAAAAACCCTCACAAATAGGAAACCGTAAAAATACAATGAAAAGAAACAAGAAGCTCAGCATGGTCTGAGATCGATCTAAGCGGCTTTCTTGGGGTTTTCTTCTCAGGGGTGACCTTCTCATCGAACATTTTCTCTTGCAGAACCGGAGAACGTCTGAGGCTGTCCGGGTGCACCCGCCGCGCTGGGAACAGGACGCCCACGAGACTCCCGTCCTCCACGCCTGTGGAGAACCCCTCTCATTCTCGGCCTCATTCACAAACCTGGACGTGTTTTTGTCTCCCCTGTTTGACGTGCAACCTCCTGACCCAGAACCTCCCCTTCCTAGGACAGGCTGTTCCCACCTGTCACGTACACAGCTGGCCAGGGGGGCCCCAAGGTGGCCGGCCTGTGCTCATGGCATCCTTCACGTGGACACAGATTTGTGATCCGTTCTGAGCTGTGACTCTACCTCCTTCTGCGGCGATTACGCGCGAGGATTCAGCCTCGTGGGCGCTCTGATAAACGCAGTGTCAGCGCAGTGGCCCTGGATCTTGGGCGGGGACGTCACCGTCTCTGGGAGACAGAGGGTACCTTTGGTGTCTCCGACAAGCCACGGTGGGATGTCGGCCCACAATGCCTCGTGGTCCGGTTACGTGCGGGACCGTGGTCGGAAATGCGTTGCGGGGAACTGGACTGAGTGTTGGGAAACACCGAGGACAGAAACCGGCCTCCTCTTCGGCTCCTGCTCCCCGGGACCCAGACCTCGTCCCATCCGCACAACGCCAGCCTGGGTGTGGGATTCCAAGAGCGAAACCGCTCACGGGGAAACCGTCTCGAAGACGCGGTGTGGGGGTGCGTGTTCCCGTGAAATACCCCGCTTTCCCGTCTGTTGGGGAATGACCACGGGACAGAGCTCTCGGTTTTGCAGGTGCTGAGACCTTCCGTGTTATTTTTCGTCTTGGATACTCTGTGGGTACCCGTGTTCAGGTGACGCCATGGCTTTGCTTCATTTATACTTTTTCTTTGCGCTGGCGTAGAAAATCTTACATCGCCCACTGTAAAAAAAAAACACAAAAAAAACAAAAACAAAACAACCCTATTAGCTGTTAGCTCGTATTAGTAACATTTTAGAGGGGACATACGGGGTGATATCGGCAGGTCTGTCTCGCTGGACTCGATGGAGATGATACTTACAGGACTTTTCAATGTGGCCACGAATATCAGAAGCAACAGTGGGCACATCCGTGGAGATTTGCTCAGGAGAGCCCCCCCAAATCCCAAATACGTAGGCTTCCATATGGGTTGTGGGCTAGGTCTCCAAAGAGAGAGGCTTGGAAACAGAAACTCTCTTTAAAAAAAACAACAAACCTAAATATAATGATGGAGGTAGAAGAAGGTAAAGTGGACATACCTGGTCATATAAGGAGACTTGACTTGGGGTGGGGGGCACCCGATGCAATATACCAATGACGTATTATAGGACTGTACACTTGAAGCGCCGTAATTTTATTAACAACGAGACTCTAATCGATTCAATAAAAATGCAAAGAAAAGTAAAAACAGCAAACAAGTGTGATAAATCTCGAGGTTGATAAGTGAAGACAACCCTAATACACGGGGTGAATGAAAATGGTAAATTACGACACCTTTGGCAGGTTTCGTTATGGGCTGATGCTCAGAATGGGGACATCGCTGACATTTCTTTTATAAAATAATTTACAATTAAAACAAAGAAACAAACTGAAAAGGACCAGCCGGTGTGGCTCAGGGGTTAAGCGTCGACCCTGCACCAGAAGGTCACTGGTTCGATTCCCAGTCAGGACATGTGCCCAGGTTGTGGGCCCATCCCCAGTGGGGGGCGTGCAGGAGGCAGTCAATGAATGTTCTCTCTCATCTATGTTTCTCTCTTCCTCTCCTTTCCTCTCTCTCTCTCAAATCAAGAAAATAAATATAAATATATAAATATATATATATTTAAAACCACAAAAATCAAACCAAACACACAAAAACAAAAAGAAAAATAATGATCCCAATGAGATGTCTTGGAACACAATCTCATCACCCACATCCTGGATTTAGATGGGATTTGAGCAGTTTGAAGACAGCCCACGTATCCTACTTTATTTTAATTTTTATGTATTGATTTTAGAGAAACAGAGGAAGGGGGGAGAGAGAGAGACAGACAGATTTGTGTTCCAATGATTGATGGAGTCATTGGTTGATTCTTGATGTACCCTGACTGGGAGATCGAACCCACAACCTTGGTGTATCAGGACAATGCTCCAACCCACTGAGCCACCTGGCCAGGGCCTGGGGTGCAGCTCAAGGGAGAGATGCCATCATGAGAACCCGACTGCGTTCCCTGGATTTCGTCTTCGGTGGTTCCGGGCAGACCTCGTGTGACAACCTTGAAGAAGCTATGGGTGATCCTTGACGATGGAACTCTGCCAGCTCTGTTCTTGGGCCTGGCACAGGCTGCTCCTTCAGCCCCAGGCTGGCTCCTGACCAGGTTCTCTCCTGCTACCAGGCAGTTTCTCAACCCAGTGTGATTGCAGAGACATTCTCTGGGCTCGACGACTGGGACAGAGGTCTTCCTTCTGGCGTCTGGGGGGTGGGGACCAGGGAGGTTGCTCAACACCCTACAGTGCACAGGACGCCCCACATCAGAGAGTCACCAGCCTGAGATGTCACTAGTGCTGAGTGTGAGAAGCCCTGGCTTCGCATAAAAGGCCTTGCATTTCCCCACCTCTCTCTTTCTCTCTCTATCTCCCCATTTCTATTCATCTACCCATTCATCCATCTATCTATCTATCTATCTATCTACCTTCCTATCTATCTATCATCCATCTATCTATCTATCTATCTATCTATCTATCTATCTATCTATCTATATCATCATCATCTATCTATCATCTAACAATCTATCATCTATCAATCTATCTATCTATCTATCTATCTATCTATCATCTATCTATCTATCATCTATCTCTTTGTGTCTATCTATGTGTCTATCTATCATCTATCTGTCTATCTATCTATCTATCTATCTATCTATCTATCTATCTATATCTATCATCATCATCTATCTATCTATCATCTATCAATCTATCTATCTATCTATCTATCTATCTATCATCATCTATCTATCTATCATCTATCTATCTATCTATCATCTATCTATCAATCTATCTATCTATCTATCTATCATCTATCTATTGATCTATCTATCGATCTATCATCTATCTATCTATCTATCATCTATCTATCTATCTATCTATCTATCTATCTATCTATCTATCTATCTATCTATCATCTATCTATTATCCATCATGCATCCATTCATCTCTTCATCCATTTGTTTATCTATATCTGTATCTATATCTATCTATATTCATCTATATCATCTATATATATACCTATATCATCTATATTTATATCTATATCTATCATCTCTCTATTTAGTCTGTTTGTCTATCTGTTTGTCCATCTGCCTATGTGGACTTAGTAATTATCTATCTGTCTATCATCTATCTATCTATCTATCTATCTATCTATCTATCTATCTATCATCTTCCTCTCATGCAGCCAAAACAAATCCTAGTCTGATGTGTAATGAACAACATCCATGCACCCATTACAAATGAGGTTTAGCCCCTTGATGTTTTCTTGGTTCTTTAAAAATCTCTATGCGCTCTCTCTCTCTCTCTCTCTCTCTCTCTCTCTATATATATATATATATATATATATATATATATTCCTCACCCAAGGATATTCCATTGATTTTGAGAGAAAGGAGAGAGAGAGAGAGAGAGAGAGAGAGAGAGAGAGAGAGAGAGAGAGAGAGAGACATCGATGTGAAAGAGACACATTGATTGGTTGTGTCTTGCATGACCCCAACCAGGGCCAGGGATTGAATCCAAAACCCAGGTATGTGCGCTTGACCGGAATTGAACCTGCAACCCTTCAGTCTGCTGGCTGATGCTCCAACCCCTGAGCCAAACTGGCCAGGGCTATGCTGCATACTTGCTGTTGTTGAGTTTTGTGACTATTTTACATTTTTAAATTTTTTTTATTTATTTTTTGCACCATAGGTTAATCTTCAAAACTCAAACCAAAATAAAATAAAATAAATAAAGCATCCCTCCCTTCATGAGCCTAAATTGTGTTGGTTCTCAAACTGTGAGATGTGGAACTCTAGAGGGGCGTCCCCAAGACCCAGAGGCCCACATGGGCTCAACATTATTTGCATAATAATACAAAGACCTTGTTTGGCTCTGCGAACTGTGTTGGTGTTTGTCCTGAGAGTCTGGAAGGGACATGGGCTGAACCTGTTGGGGCAGTTGGCTGGTTTAGCGGGGACACAACCTTCCCCTTCCCTCCCCAGGTGTCATTTGCCCAGGTCTTCAATTCTGCACCACAGGGAATGTTAACACCCTCTGCTGATGTTTGACCCCTGGAGGCTCCAGCCTGCAGGACCATGACGTCCTGTTGGACAGCTATGTCCACAGAGACAGCAGAGTCCCTGAAATCACTTCCTGCGTCTCCTGCCTCCTCCCTGAGGACTTCTCTGGTCCACCTGGCCGTCTCTGTTTTCCCTTTAAGACCCTCACATGTCCCCTGCACTGCGGGCGGCATTAACTCCGACCATGCACCTTTCTCCTGTCCCTTCAAGGCGAGAGTCCCAGAGGCCCAGCCCTCCAGGGTGACATCCCTGGGTACCCACCTCCTTGCTCTTTCTTCCTTCCACCTGTACAACAAATTGTGTGGGTACTGCTGCTTGAGGCTTCAAACCCCACACACAACAGTCCCAAAAATAGCTGGGCCACGGGCCTTACAGATGGGTCCCTGCTGGCTTGGGTCTTGGTGGCCTTCATCGGAAGCCAATATCACCAGAGAGACCCTCATCGGTCGCTTACCTCCAGCCCTGAGGCTTTGCAAAACAAGGGGGGGACATGCATGCCAAACCTCAGGGGGACTCATTTTCATCCGTATCCATTTCCTCACTCGGACACGCATGCATTCACAAATTCATGTATTTATCCAGGTCTACGAGTCATGAACGCATTGACATACGTTGATCTACCCATCCAACTTGTTGAGTCGTCGCGCGCCTGCGTGTACAATTCCTTCCTTCACCCAACTCATTCACTCGTGTATCCAGACATTCAATCATGGTCCAACTCAACGACTTGTGCATGCCCGCAGTCACACGTCATCCATCCATCCATCCATCCATCCATCCATCCATCATCCATCCATCATCCATCCATCCATCCATCCATCCATCATCTATTATCTATGTTCATACCTATTCGATCCATCCATCCATCCACCATCCATCCATCCATCCATCCATCATCCATCCATCCATCCATCCATCCATCATCCATCCATCCACCATCCATCCATCCATCCATCCACCATCCATCCATCCATCCATCCACCATCCATCCATCCACCATCCATCCACCATCCATCCATCCATCCACCATCCATCCATCCATCCATCCATCTATTAATCCATCCATCCACCATCCATCCATCCATCCACCATCCACCCATCTATCCATCCATCCATCCATCCATCCATCCATCCACCATCCATCCATCCATCCACCATCCACCCATCCTTCCACCCATCCATCCATCCATCCATCCACTCATTCACCATGTAGGTCTTCGCTTCTCAAGCATTGAATTCACTCAGCGCTGGTGCACACCGTCTCCATTCCCAAACGCACGCATGCCCTCCCCCGTTGACTTTAGCACACGCGTTTTCACACATGGCACAGGGGTTCTTCTCATTCACCGTTCCTGCCTTCATTCTCCCCGTCCCTTACGCCTCTCTGAACCCATTCCTGCGTTCATTCACTCACCGGTGCAGGCGCGAACCCTCGGCTCTGACCTCACTCACGCACCAATTCACCGATTCACCCCTTCGCGTCTGCCTCCACCTGTTCATTCTCCTAGTTACTCCTTCACGCGTGCATTTCCTCACGCACTCCTTCCTCCCCGCAGTCTCGCACCCGTGCGCTCAGCGCGTGAGCCGCGCGCGTCTCCATTCACGTCCGGAGTCGCGTCCGCCTCGCACCATTCGCTCGCTGACTCCGTCACGCAGACTTTTTCGTTCGTGCGTTGCTTCACCCACGCGTGCACGGCTGCCGGACTCTCTCCTTCGCTCACCCTGCTTGAAAGAAATCGCGACTGCAGGTCCCGGGGTGGCTCCATGCAGGCGAGAGCTGTTCTTGGGCCCAGCCCCTTGAGGCCCCTGCAAATATTTGCTTTAGGGCAGGCTGGTTAAAGGTTAAGCGTGCAAACCCAGACACCGCGGACTCCTGGAGACAGGGGTAGGGGGCCGCGAGGGGGCAGGGGCGGGGCTCGGAATGTCAGGCAGCCCAGGCCCCTTCACGGTCCTGCCCCGGGGCAGGCAGGCGGCGCGGGCGCGGCGGGCGGGGGCCGCACAGGCGGTGGAGACCCGCGCCCGCGGGGCTGGGCAGGGGCGGTACCCGGCTTCGCGAGAGCGGCCAATCGCGGGGTGCTGGCCATAGGGCCTCCCAGCGCTGGCCGAGCCAGAGGAGGTGCTGGGGGAGGGACACAGGGTCTGGGAGCCGGAGCGCGCAGGAGGTGCCGGACTCGCAGGGGTGCGGGGGCGTGGAGCCTGTTCCAAGCGTCCGGGGGTCCAAGGAGGAGGGCGCGGGGGTTGCCCGACAGCAGAGGAGGGGCGAGGTGAGTGGGTGGGGAGGCGCAGAGGTGGATCTAAGTTGAAAGAGGCAACCGGGGATCACTGGGCCAGGATGGGGCCCGAGGTGGCCCGGAGCGGACTGGAGGGGCGGGGCGCAGCGGGCCACCGAGAATTCGCGAGGCTGGAAGAAGGATCAGGCAATGTGGGGACCCCGATGCCTCCAGGGCGCACTGGGGGTGAGGGGAGCCTGGCCGGGAGACAGAAGCTGCTCCCCAAGCGCAGAGGAGGAGGTGTGGGCGCAGGGGTCCTGAAGGTGGCCGGGGTTCAGTGGGATCCAGGTGATAAGGACCGAGTGGTGGATTGTGGTCTGGAGCTGCTGCCCTGCGTGTGCCCCGCAGGCCTGGAACGCACCGCAGGTGCCCTGGAATCGACGCTTCTACCAGGCCTGGCTGGAGTTCGAAGAGTCCACCCAGCGGGCCCAGGCGCACGTCGGCCCCGCGGTGCCCACGGCGCGCGGAGCTTCGGACCATGCCTGGTGAGTCGGGAGCGAAAGCCCCTTCCTTCCAGCCTCTCTGTTCCTCCGCGCTCGCGTGAGATCACTCTGCACGGGGGACACCCCCGCCGTGCTCCTAGGATTACCCCAAGCTCCTGTCTCCCATTATGTGCTTCCCGGATGTCTCCCAAGGAATCTGGCGGCACCGGGGCGCAGTTGGATATGCAGACGCTCCAGCAGTTGAGAGGGGGGCGGTGTACAGAACGGTCAGATTTCATTTTCCTTCTGTAAGAAGTGAGCTCTAGGGATTTCAACGGGCCAACTTCTTGGCCAAAGCGTCGAAATGTCTTAGATTCTCACGGACTGGGAACAGATGGGAAGGTGTTTATGCCCCCAGAACTCTGGGAAGACAGCACCTTGGGGTTCTCCCAAGGCCAGGAGTATATTTAGCGATGCCAACAAAGATCTGGGGTTCATCTCGCCGGGGGACAGCGTGCTTGGGATGGATGGCGCATGGCTGGGTCTTTGGCAAAGCCTGGTCCCCGAGGGCTCAAATGCAGTGCCCGTGGGTTTCGTGGGGGACAGATTCGCACAGCTGACCTCGACATCTGGAATTGCCACCTGGACCCCTCAGAAGGATGCGGGTCCTGTTGACAGTCAACAGCGCTCCGCTCCTGCTCACACCAGATCTGATCATTCACAAGCAACATTAAAAAAAAGAGAGCAGGTTGCTTTTTATTCATGGGGAAGAATTTGGTGAAGGGCCAACCGGGTGTTCCTCCTCTCTGGGCTCAGAAAGGGGGATTGTTGGGTAGAGGCAGAAGGGATGTTTTCCCGAGCGGCGGGGAGCATGCTCTCGGGGCAGAAGCAGAAAGGCCTCTCTGTTCCACCGAGCGGTTTGGACGGAGGTCTCCAAAGCAAAAAACCACACGTCGCCCAAAGCCCGCGGACACCATAGAATGGCAGCATTGAACCCCAGACATTCGGACACATCTCCATCCGCCCGAAACGGGCCAGGAGACCCCACACGGGTTTTCAGCACTTTGCAGGAAACAAACACACCTTTGAACACAGGGCCGGCAGGAGATGGAAGGTGACTAAGGGCAGAACACAGGCCAGGCACAGACAGAAGCGTGGCTCACAGATTCGTTAGGAAGCTTACGTCCAGCACATGCGTCAGGCTGAGCTCGATGCTGCAAGAATAGCTAGTGTTTGGAGTCCAGTGACAGACTTTCCTAACACTGTTCCCGGAGCCATGTTGGGTAGAAGGCACCCTTTGGATAATGTTTGTCCACTCTGTGCCCGGCACCATGTTGGGTAGAAGGCACCCTTTGGATAAGGATTGTCCACTCTGTGCCTGGTGCCATGTTGGGTAGAAGGCACCCTTTGGATAAGGATTGTCCACTCTGTGCCTGGCGCCATGTTGGGTAGAAGGCACCTTTTGGATAATGTTTGTCCACTCTGTGCCCGGCACCATGTTGGGTAGAAGGCACCCTTTGGATAAGGATTGTCCACTCTGTGCCTGGTGCCATGTTGGGTAGAAGGCACCCTTTGGATAAGGATTGTCCACTCTGTGCCTGGCGCCATGTTGGGTAGAAGGCACCTTTTGGATAACGATTGTCCATTCTGTGCCTGGTGCCATGCTGGGTAGAAAGGCACACTTGGGATAATTGTGGATGTTCTTTGGTCCTGAATGGAAACTCCCTCAGTGTCTCTTTCTTCAGTGGAAGGCCATAGCCAAGAATGTTCATCCTCCGTTACATTAAAACCCACGGTCTGTCTTCACAGTTGGCATGGAGCTCTTACCCGTGCATGGGTTTACAGCATTGTTCATGAGCCGGTGGTAGCCAGCCATAAGAGTGAGCCTCTGAGTCGTGGGGATCGCTAGAGAGTGAGGTTCTTCCTATCATGGGTGCTGTCTTGTCATTCTGTTCATAAGACCAATAGTCTCTCCTTCGTCAGCCAAGAGGAAGTCGAGGAGTTTCATAAACCCAGCTCTGTAGGCGCATCCCTGTCTCTCTCCTCCCGGTGAATGAGGCACCCCCTGCCTGCCCACACCCCCTCATCTTGCTGGAGTCGATCTTCCAGTCTCCTCACGCCTCCACCATGGGGGTCCTCACAGACCTCTCCGTGGTGATCGCCCCAGACACAGACCCAGTCTTCCTGCTCCTGGACGTCTTGGCTTCCCCTTGCCTTTGACATTGGTCTTTCTCATGGGGAAGCAGCTGACTTTGTATCCACACTAAGTGGGTTGGGGACATAAAATGGTTGTAGACTCAGGTTTCTCCAGCGAGGGAAGGCCACGTGTCCACCATGTCAAGTTCAAACAAATCCAGACAACAGGGTATCCGTGTTCTTTGATGTACTGCATGGGTGCTCCTGACGTTAGAAAGGGTGAGTCGGAAATGATGGAGTGGAATACTTCCCATGGCTTCATCTCACCTTCCAGGTAGAAAGAATCGAATGGTCTTTACAAGAATATCCAAATGATTTATGCTTCTTGGAGGAGAACGCAACCCACATTGCTTCAATATGAAGTCTAGAGACATTGACAAGGTTGGACATGTAATTCAGTGGGAAGAGGCAGTTAGTGAGGCTGTTGCGTGTGATGTTATAGCTATGCTTCTTAGACCTTTGACGGGATTGGGTCTTCTTTATTTAAAGAATTTTACCTTGCTTTCTTTAGAGAGAGAGGAAGGGAGAGAGGAGAGAGAGAGGGAAATATTGATCAGCAGCCTCCTGCACGCCCCCTATTGGGGACCGAGCCCACAAGTTGAGCATGTGTCTTGACGCGGAATAGAATCAGCGACCTTTTGGTGCATGGGACAACGCCCAACCACTGAGCCACACCGGCCAGGGCAACTGGATCTGTGTCTGAGGGTATTATTTCCCTAGAACTGCCACAGCAATACCACCGATGGTTGGCTGAAACAGTAGACATGTTATAATTCTGGAGACTGAAAGTCTGAGGTCAAGGTGTGGGCAGGCTGGTTGCACCTGAGGTCTCTCTTCTTGGTCTGTAGACAACGTGTCTCACGTGGTCATCTCTCTGCGTGAGTCTGTTCCTACTCTTCTTTTAAGGGATCCAGTCCTATTGGATCAAGACCCCCTCTAGTGACTTCATTTCACCTAAATCTCCTTTTGAAAGGCTCATCTCCAAATACAGTCTCATTGTGAGGTCCTGAGTGTGAGGACTTCAATATGCATATTGCAGAGAAACACGGTTAAGCCCATGATATCCATGGATGGTTTCAGTTACAAGAATGTCTTTATGAAGATCTGCAATTCATAGATTTATTTAGATCAGGGGATGCAGTTATCAATTTTAGATCTCTGGGCCATATCTCCTATGCTCCGCCAAGTATCTTGATTTCAGCCAATTCGGCTGCACTGCCTTCTTGTCTGGGGTTGCCAGAGCTCAGCAGGGTGGTCTCTTCTGGTCCTGGGTGGTTGGTTCTTGTCACCACGAGGTCTCTGGGGGACCCCAGTCTTTGATCCCATTCAGAGACGTTTCTGGGTCCTCTCCACTTGTGTTATCACCCATCAAACTCTTGGTGGCAAAAGTACACTCACTTTTCCCACCAGATTGGGATGTTATTCTCCACTTACCTGTAACTACGACCCGTGTCCCTAGAAAGTGAACTCAATGTTGCATCTGTTGTTTGAAAAACTAGATAGTTAGATATTTAGATGATGGACAGATGACAGAAAGATAAATAGATAGATATAGATAGATGTTAGATGATATTTAGATGATAAATAGATGATAGATAATAGATACCTAAACAGATGATAGCTAGCTAGATAATAGCTACATAGATAGGTAGGTAGGTAGAGAGATAATAGATAGATGGCTGAATGGATGAAAAATAGAGACATACAGATTATTAATAAACAGATGGATAACATATTGATAGATACATACATGATAGGTAGGTAGATAGATAGATGATAGATAATGGATGTATAGACATTATAAACAGATGGTAGATAAATACATAGATACATAGATAGATAGATGATAGGTAGATAGATAGATAGATAGATAGATAGATAAATGATGACTAAATTATGATGATAGGTAGATAGATAAATAGACAGACAAAAAGATAGATAATGATGCATAGACAGATAATGCACAGATAGATGGTAGATGATAGATAGAAAGATGGATTGATGGATGGATGGATGGATAGATAGATAGATAGATAGATAGATAGAATGGATACACAGATAATAAGTAGGTAAATGATGAATAGATGATGATGCTAGGTAGATAGATCAATTGATAGATGGTGGATAGGTAGATAAACAGGCAGACACGCACCACAGATAGACAGACAGATAGATGCTAAGTAGATATCTTTTGAGTTGCAGACTTGAGTTCTGCCGTCTGCCATCGGTCACACTGCACCCCCCCCAGGACTTCTCATAACGCCCCAGTTCAAGAAAACACACCCACACGCGCACACACACGTGCGCACACACACCCCAACAATGTGTGCTCAGGATCCTGTTGGAACAGGCTGCTTTAGGAATGCACCCCATGGAATGTGAAGGTCAAGCCGTCCGCCCAGGGAACCAGGCCTGAGAAGCCCCCTCGGGCTTCTGCCCTGTTATATTTAGTCTGTGTGGGCGTCTCTCCTCCTCCCTCCCTGAGTGCCGGCCCTGCTGGGCCGGGGCCTGGAGAGGGAGGCCCTGGTCTTTGAGAGCTGAGGTCCGAGTGTTCAGGACGCACTTCACGCTGTGAATTTTAACGTCCTCCCGGGGTACGGCCACTCCCACGAGGCCCAGATTTATTGACATGGCTGTTGTCCATGTGGGCAGCCAGCTCTCGGGGGCCCCAAAGTCAGATCCTTTACAAGTCCCTGAACAGGCAAACGTGCCGAGACTTCAAATGGCCATAAATTGGATTCACTCGTCTGATATTCTTCCTCTCCTGTTGACACAGGAAACTGAGAATTTGTGGTTCACGAAACAATATCTTTCTCCCCTCTTCACGGCTCGGTGTATCCTGGAGCGGAAGTCTTCCCAACAAGGAGTGTGTGCAGAATCTAAGGGGTCCAATCTCTTCGTCACAGAGCACCCGACTTTTGAGTGGGGGGGCATCTTCATTGGAACTCAGATAATCCGCGTATCTCTGCGCCTTTTTCTTTGTTTTGTTTTTTCTCCCCCTAAGATTCAGACACTTGGGTGAAGTTTTGAGATTTGAATGCCAAAGAATAAAAGGGCCATAGTTATGTACATTTCTGGGATCCTAGCATCAGATATTTTTATCTTATTTATTGATTTGAGCGAGGGGGGGAGAGAGAGAGAGAAATTTCTTCTACTTCTTCATGCATTTGTTGTTTTATTCTCATACGCGCCCTGACTGGGGATCGAACCAGTATCCTTGGCATATCGGGACGACACTCTAACCAACTGAGCTTTTGAGTCACAGCCTAGAAAATTGTCTTTGTTCTCTGGTGACTTAGCCTCATGCCTCGGGGTCCCTGGCATTGCCCGTGTGTGTCTGCGTGTGTGTTTCAATGTAAGTATGTGTATAAACTTACCAGTGAATGTTTCAGTATACTGACCGGTTCCTCTCTCTAAGTTATGAAACATCAGAGAGGACGAGGGGTGACCCTGTACCCCGCCACCCCATGAGATCCACCAGGGAGCATAACTGTGTTTCTGTCCATTTGCACAGTGTCCGATCAGGCATTTGTTACACTGGCCACCAACGACACGTACTGCCAGGGGGCCCTGGTCCTGGGGCAGTCACTGAGGAACCAGAGAGCGACCAGGAAGCTGGTGGTGTTGATCACTCCCCAGGTGTCTCACCTGCTCAGGTAAGACACGGAGACACACCTGTGCACAGGTGGCCCCTACTTGTGTAGAAGCAGGGTGGGCTAGGATCAACGGGGTCCCGGATCTTGTTCCTGGTCCTGCACCACGGCAATCATGGAATAGACGGATAGATAAATGGATGGATGAAGGAGGGGGGATCGATCGATAGATATCATGACTCTTCTGAAGGACCCTCAAGCCATTATTCAGGTAGGCAGGTCAACATCCGAATACTTTCCCCTGATAGTGTGTGATAATGTCTGTTGTCTCAACTATGGAAACTCAGAAGTCAGTTTTGGAGGGTTGGGGAAATGGCATGTGTCAATACAAATACTCATAAAAAAAAAAAAGGTGGAAACTTTTTAGAGAAACTGTTAAACAAAGTCAGACCTGCGGATGATAGACTCGTTGCTGTGGGAGACAGGAGGCTCTGACGGTGACCGAAAAGAGGATTTTCGAGAAGGAATCTGCACGACGGAGGTGGTGCGGATGCAAAGCTCAAAGCCCATGAAATCATCTCAATAAGCAAGGATGCACTGGGGGACAACTTCCCGTTTTTCTTGTTTCTCAATAAAGATGTATTTGAAGATGTGCCAGAGAAAATGGGTTTCGCCAAGAAAACCCAATTAAAAAAATAGGCATTTTTAATACTGCAACAATGGTAAAAATGTCTCTGTGTTTCCAAGGTGAAGAAAACCAAGTTTGTCGGCAAAGGGGGGAATAATCTGAATGACCTCTTCACTGCCATGTGAAAAGTCAGAGAACAGTGACGACAGTCACAAAGGCACAATTTTAAGACACGTGACTTTTATACCCAGCCAAGTGTATCCTTTCTTGGGAAATCCATGAGTAGAGATTCTCAAACACAGAACTAATTAGGATGCATATTACTGAAAAAAAAAAAAAAATTGTTGGCTGCTGACGGAGTATTAGATGAACACACTAGGGGACATCTGTAATGACGTCAACAATAAATTTTAAAAAATCAAACAAACAAAGGGTGGGAGGTAAGTAAAAACCTGCCCCTGGTACAGAGACATCATCTCAATACACAACGATGCATTTGAAGAGATGTCCTGTTTCTCCATAAACCAAAGCTGTGTGGTTCAAGCGAGGAGGCAGGGACGAATATTCCTGCAGGGACACAAACCCTAGACCCTGTGCTCATAGCTTCAAGCAACGTGTATTCATGACACTTAATGCTACTTCTGGGATTTACTTTAGGGAAACAGACGGCATAAAACAAAAGCTTTGAAGGACCTAAATTATCTGCTATTTGTGGCAAGGTAGAGTGATGCTTTGCTCACCCCCAACCCCAGCTTGTGATCTTTATAGAATCATGAGGATGTCATAAATCCCATAAATAAAAGGCAGGAAACAAGGGGATATTGGTGATGCAATTGCATTTTCTTAGGGGGATACTGGTGATAACGTTACTGTGAATATTGTACGATGAGAAATCACAAATCAATGCCAAGTGCAACAAAAAGCTACTATAGGATGTAAAAAGATAGACCCAGAAGCTGTAACCTCTGTCTAATACTAAGAGTTTAATACAGAAAAAATAGAACAGAGGGAAGGATGTAGAAGAAATATTGCACATCGAATTCTCAAAGTTCACCTCTGAGAAAGGATATGAAATCAAGCATTTCCCCCACTAGTACCTGGAATAAATGAATAAGGCCCAAATGTTGATGCAAAGGGGTGGCACTTGAGGTCACCAAGAATAAAGGAAACATCCTACTATCAGTCTGGTTGAGATGGTCAAGGTCTCAAAGTTCTGGGGCAAAATCATCCTGAAAAGAGATTTCTGTGTTCACCCCAATGGACGTAACGTGAGCGCACAATAAAGCTGTTTCGAACACGCAAACCCTCGGATCTTTTATTCCTCAAAGACCTTTGAAGAGAAAGATTCCCCGAGGGGAGACTCCAGCAACTGGAAATGGAAATCCAAGCAAGAACAAATAGGTTCGAAGGAGCAGAGTCATACAAATACAGGAGCAAATCTGAGACTTGATTGTAAATGCGTCCGTGTGTAGCGATGAAAATTATCTGGAGTTAACGCTTCTCCTGGGGGGTGGTTGGGGGAGCAGGGATCAGGGAGAGACATGAAGATATACGAGGGTTCCTTTCTTGTCTGAGGCAAAGATGTAGATGAGGAACAGCTTTGCATTCGGTGGAACATACACCTCCAAGTATGTGTGCTGACGAGTTAAAATCAGTGGCCTCGAAAAGACTAGGAAGGACATATACAACTTTCTCAGAGTAATTAACAGAAAATGCATGGGAACGGAAAAACAATACACGTTATGCAATGACAGGTGAGGAAGAGTTACAGAGAAGAACAAAGTATGGTGCAAATTTTTGTTGTTGTTAATCCTCACCGGAGGATATTTTTTTCCACTCATTTTTGGAGAGTGGAAGGGAGGGAGGGAGAGAGAGAGAAAGAGAGAGAAACGTGGATGTGAGAGAGACACATCGATTGGTTTCCTCCTGCATGACCCTGACCGGGGCCAGGGATCAAACCTGCAACTCAGGTACATGCCCTGGACTGGGAATCAACCCCAAGGCCCTTTGGTCTGCAGGACAATCTTCTCACTGCTGAGCCAAACCAGTCAGAGAAAGAGTAAGATACATTTATTTTTTTTAAAAAAAGAAAAAAGTGTAGGACTCAATTCACCCATATTAACGATTGTAATAAATGTAAACGGGTTAACAAAACCATTTGGAAGGCAGAGACTTTAGCAAGGCTACCTACACAAAATTCTGCCGTTTATGCTAAATGCACAGGAGGCAGCTTACATGACAGCGCGGAATCTTGAAAATAAAGGGAGGCGTATAATATTCTGTTTTTCCATCCGAAGCAGCAAACATTTCTGATGGCACTGAGTTCTCATGTTTTCTCTAGTTTCTTCCCATCACTGACAGTCTTTGCTTCTATTCTTATGTGTCATATCCTTTACATTTTGAAGGGTACTGGTCACTTGCTTCAAAGAATGCCTTTCCGCTTGGGTTTTCTCACGATTAGATTGAAGTTAAGCATTTTTGGCCAAAGGGAAAGAAAAAATAATCAGAACTGATGAAGCCTTCTAAGCCCATCATCCCAGGGGACCAGTAACATTATCTGTCTTGTCATTTGGTGATATTAATCTTGATTGTTTGGATAAAGAGGTATCAATGGGATTTCTCCATTGTAAAGTTATGATTTTTTTTTTTTTTTGTATTTTTTTTTTTAATCCTCATCCGAGGACATTTTTCCATTTTTTTTGTACAGACAGAGTGGGAGGGAGATAGAGGAAGAGAGAGAGAGGGAAATATCGATGTGAAAGGGACACATCGAGTGGCTGCCACCCGCACGACCCACCAGGGCCGGGGAAAAACTGCAACCGAGGTACGTGCCCTTAGCGGGAACCGAACCCGGGTCTCTCCGGACCGCAGGCCGACGCTCTAACCGCTGAGCCAAACCGGCCAGGGCTTTTCTTTGTATTTGATATATACCTTGCGGGAGATACTTGCAGAGTATAAAAACTTGCTATTTCTCCTCAAAACGTTAACCATTGATTTTTAATGTCCATTAGTGAATTCTTGCTGTGGTGTTTGCAACACTGATGGTGATTTTCTTTCTTTTCTTTAAAATGTGTTTTTATTGATTATTTTTGAGAGAGAGAAACATGGAACCATCGATATGAGAGAGAAACATCAATTGGCTGCCTCTTGCATGGCCCCTACTGGGAATTGAACTTGCAACCTGGGCATGTGCCCTGACCAGGACCTCAGTCCGTGGATGATGCTCAATCCACTGAGCCACACGAGCTGGGCAATACTGGTGATTTTTCTATTTCTCTCACTTCTTCTACCTTTATTACTTGGAGTTTTTCTGTAAATAATAGCTGCTGCTGCTTCTCCATTTACTTATTCAATTATGGCATCAGTATGGACCCATGAATATTCATTTTGCACCTTAGCTCTGTTATTTATTTGTTTAGCTCCAATTTTTTCAGCCGTGGCCTCTGGGAGCTTCTCCTGATTGGCTCTTTGTATCCTTTTCACATGAGCCCAGACGTTCTCTAGTTCTTCCTTAATTTTCTGTCATCACAAGATATTCTAGACTGTGCTGAAATGGAATTTAAGCAAAAATAAATAAATGAATGGAAGCAAGGCAGATTTCATTCTCACGCAAAGTAGAGTCTTTCACCACTGGGATCTCAAACTTGTATGCGATCAACAATGTGGGTTCTGAATCCAGAAAGGACACACTGGTAGACATTGCCGTGGACTTTGGTGGTTGCTCCCTGCTCAGCCTTAGATCCTCAGGTCCATGCATTTTGCAAAGAGAGGTACCTGCCCTGAGAGCTAACTTGACTCCGTCTTTCTCAAGACACTTCCGTGCCATTTGTAACGTTCTCCGCGTTTGCACAATTTTTGAGCACGAGGGGAAAAAGTGTGCCAAGTTCTAAGACATCCATGGAAAAAAGAAACGTGACTCTGAAGGGTGCACAGAGTGTGATGGGCATTTGGGTTCACGGTTCATGTTTGTTAGCAGGAAAGGGGTGTTCTCCTGAAGGGACCTAGGCTCTGTTCCATACTCTGCAGCCTTCCTGGTAGGTGGCACATGTCTCTCCCAGGGTCATCCTTTTGAGGGTGTTCGATGAGGTCATCGAGGTGAACCTGCTCGACAGTGCAGACTACATCCACCTGGCCTTCTTGAAGAGACCTGAGCTTGGAGTCACCCTCACCAAGCTCCACTGCTGGACGCTCACCCATTACAGCAAGTGTGTGTTTCTGGATGCCGACACCTTGGTGAGTACAACGGGTGGGTGAGGAAGAGATTTTCCAGTGGCTAAGGAATTAGTCAGAGACCATCCTTCCCCTTCCTCCAGCAGGTGCTGCCTTTGGGGGGGCTCCCACCAGGGAACATGGATCCATCATTCACACCGACATCTTTTCTGTCAAAATCAAGTATCCCATCCCACGAGTCCCGTAGGGAGCAACTTGCAATCTCGTTCCTTCCCAGAGAGGGGTTAACACACGCGTGGCTTTTCGACACAACACAGAATAATTACCCCTCCAAAAAATCTTGCCCTGGTTGTGTATTGAATTGCGTAGTCATGCCCAGACTGGTAGGCCCAGCTTCTTAAGCTAGGACACCCCCTGTTGGCACTAGGGGAAGGGGCCTGTGGCATGGCAAGTCATGATGGACCAGCCAAAAACAGCTGTTGGGCCCAGCAGATGTGGCTCAGTGGTTGAGCGTTGACCTCGCACCAAGAGGTCACCAGTGTGAGTCCCGGTCAGGGCACATGCCCAGGTTGTGGGCCCGATCCCCAGTGGGGGGCGTGCAGGAGGCGGCCAGTCCATGTTCTTTCTCATCCATGTTTCTCTCTCTCTCTCCCTCTCCCTTCCTCTCTTTTTCAAATCGATAAAGAAAAACAAAAAAATGAAAAACAAACAAAAACAAACAGAAAAACAGCCACTGGAAAGTCAGAATGTGAACTGACGTTGACACGTTGCAGAAGCACTCTGGGCTGTCCTGACTGTGCAGCTCCGTGTGAACACAGAGAGGTGGGACAGACAACAATGAGAGTATTTGCTTCTTTTCCCCAAAGGGGGTGCAATTCAGAAAGCCAATAGACGTTGGAGGGAACCACCATCGGTCAAGGTCAGAAAGGCAATGGGTTCCATCGTCTTGACGCGTAAACCTCTCTGTTCATTGGTCTAGTTTTATGGATCGCACGTGCTAGGTTAAACACGATAGGCCACTAAGACAGGTTCGTGGACGATATTAACAACCTGGAGAAAACAACCGATGTTGACAGACAGTGGTATCTCCATCGCTTGAAATCAACGGGGAGCAGTGTTCTGCGCACGATGGTCCCTTTTGAACAGTCTTGCACCCCTTCATAATGGGGGCGCAGTCTGAAAACCGTGTTCTTTTTTTTTTATTATTTTTTATCCTCACCCGAGGACATTTTTCCATTTTTTTGTTCAGGTAGAGTGGGAGGGAGAGAGAGGAACAGAGAGAGAGAGAGAAACATCGATGTGAAAGGGACACATCGAGTGGCTGCCACCCGCACGACCGACCAGGGCCGGGGACAAACTGCAACCGAGGTACATGCCCTTAGCGGGAACCGAACCCGGGTCTCTCAGGACCGCAGGCCGACGCTCTAACCGCTGAGCCAAACCGGCCAGGGCTGAAAACCGTGTTCTTGACAGTTTTGATATTGTGCGAACATCGGAGGGGCCCTTACACAGACGGGGAGGGTCCGGCCCACCGCACAGCTAGGCTGCAGGGTCTGGGCTGTCGCTCCTGGGCCCCCACCTTGGACATCCGGTTACTGTACAGAATAACACAAGGGTGAGTCAACACAAGCGAAAATGATGCCTTGAAGAGAGAAGGAGAAAACGAGAGAGAGAGTGGAGGCCATCGCGGATGGCTTGCCTCCTTGTGCAACCAAGGATCGCACCTGCAACCCGCGTATGAGCCCTGACCGGGAGTCAAACCCACACCCTGCTTTGGGTATGGGGTGACTCTCCAACGGCCGAGCCGGGGCAGTGAGCTCGAGTTCTAAACACCTGGCAGTAGGTTCAGTAACAGCAGCGTCATACCGCACACACGTGTGTACCATGTTGTGCTGTGACAATGGCTGACACTTTGCAGGGACTACAGTGTCTTTCTGCAGTCATGACGGCAGGACCTGAGGAGGAAAAGGTCACCCCAAATCGGGCACGGGTTCCAGCCCCGGACACCGCTGGCCCGTGGTCAGACCCCTCCTGCATTTCTCGCCTGGGACCCCGAGCTCAGAGGCGTGAGGCTACGGGTCCCCTTGCTCTGCTCCGCCAGGTTCTGTGCAACGTCGACGAGCTGTTTGATCGCAGCGAGTTCTCCGCGGCCCCGGACCCCGGCTGGCCCGATTGCTTCAACAGTGGGGTGTTCGTCTTCCAACCATCCCTGGAGACCCACAGCCTCCTGCTGCGGCACGCCACAGAGCACGGCAGCTTCGACGGTAGGGAAAGACGGGAGTCTGTGCCCCCAGAACCCTGCCCCAGGCCCCCCTCCCGTGTGTGTGTGAATAAGGGGGGACATCAATCAGAGACAGGGGTCAAGGGATACGGCCAGGGGGGTGATCGCAAGAACTGAGAACCTCTACTAAGTTGACACCCCACCGAGAAGCGCGCGGAAAATATTTTCTTTGCGGAGAAAGACTCCCAATTCTGACTGTACACAGCGGGTAGCAACCCTTTCTCAAAGGGCCAAATGATACACTTTGAAGCGATATCTATTGCAGAATTTTTTTTTTTTTTATCCTCACCCGAGGACATTTTTCCAATTTTGTTCTGGTAGAGTGGGAGGGAGAGACAGGAACAGAGAGAGAGAGAGAGAGAGAAACATCGACGTGAAAGGGACACATCGAGTGGCTGCCACCCGCACGACCAACCAGGGCCGGGGACAAACTGCAACTGAGGTCCGTGCCCTTAGCGGGAACCGAACCCGGGCCTCTTGGGACCGCAGGTTGACGCTCTAACCGCTGAGCCAAACTGGCCAGGGCTATTGCAGATTTTTAAAAATAAGTTTTTATTGGGGGGGCGGGATGGGGAGGAGGGTGTGTAGGGGAAAAGAAGGAGAAATATCTGTAACAAAAATAAATTAATAAAAATTGCAAAAAAAATATATGTTTGTATTGATTTTGGAGAGAGAGGGGAAGGGAGAGAGAGAAACATGGATGTGAGAGAGAAACATCGATCGGCTGCCTACTGGGGGTCGAGCCCACAACCTGGACCTGCGCCCTGACTGGGACTCGAACCCGGACTTCTCAGTCCCTGGGACGACACTCAGTCCTCTGAGCCACACCAGCCGGGCTGTTGCTAATATTGAACTCTGCAGATGGAGACTCAATGTAGCCACTGACGAGACCCAACCCAATAAAACTTTATTTATAAAAACAGATTCAGACGTTAGTGAGCCAACCCCCTACTGTAGAATGAAAGGGAAGAATTCGGTTAAGCCAACCTTGTGCCCAAATATTTGACCCAATGGGGCATGGATAGATGGAAAAAATTGCTAGACTTTTTTTAAATGTAAAATAGATATTAGATATCGATGAAGCATCGTGTCTAGATAAGAAGAAGGCATTAGCCCTGGCCGGTTTGGCTCAGTGGTTAGAGCGTCGGCCTGCTGACCAGAGAGACCCGGGTTCAGTTCCCGCTAAGGGCACGTACCTCAGTTGCAGTTTGTCCCCGACCCCGGTTGGGGTCGTGTGGGTGACAGCCATTCGATGTGTGTCTCTCACGTCGATGTTTCTCTCTGTCTCTTCCTCCCTCGCTCCCTCCTGCTCTGTCTGAAGATAAATGCAAAAATGTCCTCAGGTGAGGATAAAAAAAAAAAGAAGGAGGTATTTAGGAAGCTGGCAAAGAAGTTGGAAAAAATATTGCTACGACAAGGCAGGATTCATTGTGGGTGGGGTGCGAAATTTTGTAGACAATTGTTAACTGTATTATTTAAAAAAATTTTTTTTCTTTATTGATTTTAGAGAGAGAGGAAGGGAGAGGGAGAGAGAGATAGAAACATGGATGAGAGAGAACATGGATTGGCCGCCTCCTGCACGCCCCCCACTGGGGATCGGGCCCACATCCTGGGCCTGTGCCCTGACCGGGAATCGAACCGGTGACCTCTTGGTGCAGGGTCGACGCTCAACCACTGAGCCACGCCGGCCGGGCTCAACTGTATTATTAATGGTTTAGGTTCTCAGTGGAGAATTTGAGAAGGAATATTCATTTTTAAAGTGAATAGTATGGTCCTCATGGTGTTGGTTAACGGTATCAATCAACAATGTTAATGGTATTAATTAATACTTCTACCATTCATGGTACTGCTTAGAAGTAATTAATAGTATTCTCAGCAAGGCTAATTGATTAATGGAATTCACGGCGGGTAACTAATAAAAATGGATGGTGTCCCCGTGCGTCATAGTTGGGGACAACGATGATGTTGTTGAACACCCCTCGACCCGCCGTAGGGTTTCCGTGTCCCGAGCACCCCTGATTCCGCCCTGGTGTTTGTGATCCGCTCAGGGGCAGACCAAGGCGTCCTGAACAGTTTCTTCAGCAGCTGGGCCTCGGCGGACATCCAGAAACACCTGCCGTTCATCTACAACGTCAGCAGCAACTCCTTCTACACCTACGGCCCCGCGTTCAAACAGTAAGTCCTCGCGGCCCGGGCACGCCGGACGCAGGAGCCAACGTCCCGCTCAGGACGGACGTCGGCACTCGGCAAGAAAGGAAAAAGGAAAACAAAAATCAAGCCGTTTTTCTGCTTCCTTCTTGTTCAAGACGCTGAGCACCGCCAAGGAGTAGTGTTTCCCAAAGTGGTGCCCGGTGTCTACAGAGTCAAAACACGTTGAAAAAAATAATCATTCTAAGGTGTTCGTTTTCCTGCCTTTTTTAAATTAATTAATTTTTGTCACAGGTGTTTGTTTTTTTTCCCCCATTGACACCCACCTTCCCATCCCCCCCGCCCCATCCCCAGCTTTCTTGTCCATGTCCATTGTTCATGAACACGTGCATCTAAGTTCTGTGGTTTATCTCATCCCTCCCCAACTCCCTCTTCTGGGGATTGTCAGACTGTACCCTACTTCCACATCTCTGGGTCTACCCTATTCCTCAGACTGTTATGTTCATTATGTTCCGCAAATAAGTGAGATCATGTAATATTTATCTTTTTCTGATTGGTTTATTTAACTCAGTATAATAATATTCTTCAGGTTCCTCCTTGTTGTCCCAAAGGCTAAGAGATCTTCCTTTTTCATAGCTGCATAGTACTCCATTGTATACATGTACCACAGCTTTTCTATCCACTCATCTACTGATGGACATTTGGGCTGTTTCCAGATCTTAGCTATTGTAAATAGTGCTGCTATGAACATGGGGGTACATATATTCTTCCTGATTGGTGTTTCAGGCTTCTTAGGGTATATTCCTAGAAGTGGGATATCTGAGTCAAATGGCAGTTCCATTTTTAACTTTTTGAGGTAACACCATAGTGTTTTCCTTAGTGGCTGCACCAGTCTGCATTCCCACCAGCAGTGCACTAGAGTCCCCTTTTCTCCACACCCTCGCCAACACTTGACTCTCCCTTTTTCATAAGCACACAGTGGGATTTCACAGAAACTGGGTGGGTTGATAAGCAGAGCCCTGATTGGACACACAGATATAAGAAAAGAGGTCAAAGTGGTCAACGCTAGTCTGTTCATAAGGTTTTTGGAAAACGTGTTTTTGATCATTTTAGTATCTGTCATTAAGAATATACGCCAGGCCCTGGCCGGTGTGGCTCAGCAGTGAGAGCGTCGGCCTGCGGACCAGTGAGTCGCGGGTTCGATTCTGAACGAGGTCACGTACCTCGGTTGCGGTTTGTCCCCAGCCCTGGTTGGATCGTGTGGGAGGCAGCCCGGTGATGTGTGTCTCTCACGTCGATGCTTCTCTCTGTTTCTGTCTCTCTCTCTCTCTCTCCCTTTCTCCCACTCTATCTGATGATAAATAGAAAAATATCCTTGGGTGAGGAATTGAAAAAAAGCAATGTGCTTCATTGCTGTGAGCCAATGGGAATCAATTGATTTTACGTGCATTGATAAGTACAGTCCCTAACTTCTGTTTTGCTTTCTGGTGCCATAAATGTGTGAAGATAGGATCCGAGACAGCAAAGCTTTGGGTCTCCAGGGATTTTTAAGAACGTCACGAGGGGCTGGGACCAAACGTTTGGGTGCTGCTGAGGTTATCAGAGAAAATGGGAACATCTGAAGTGTAGAGCTTGCATTTTTATTTTTAAAAATTTGTTTTTCCTTTATTGATTTTAGAGAGAGAGGAAGGGAGAGGCAGAGAGAGATAAACATGGATGAGAGAGAACATGGACGGGCCGCCTCCTGCACGCCCCCCACTAGGGATCGGGCCCACAACCTGGGCCTGTGTCCTGACGGGGAATCGAACCGGCGACCTCTTGGTGCAGGGTTGACGTTCAACCACTGAACCACACTGGCCAGGCCAGAACTTGCATTTTTAACAAGGGCCATTCGCCCCCCCAGGAAGCAGGAATTGGTTCTTGGGGAACGGAAACAATGCATCTTACAGGGCAAAGTTGGAATGAGCCTTTGGTGGGAATGCAATTATGGGGAAAAATGTTTAAAAACATTCCTGGGGACCCTTTGGTGGGAATGCAGGTTGGGGCAGCCACTGTGGAAAACCGTATGAGGGTGCCTCAGAAAATTAAGAGGGGAGCCTGCTAAACACCCCAGTGATCCCGCTTCTGGGTGTGTATCCGAAGAAAATAAAAACCCGAAATGGAAAAGGTATATGCACCCCTGTGTTCATTGCAGCATGATTTAAGTAGCCCAGATACGGAAGCAAGCTTGGCGCCCATCAACAAACAAGTGGATAAAGAAGCCATGGTATCTTTACACAATGGAATACTACTCAGCCCTGAAAAAGGACGAGGTCTTACCATTTGTGACAACATGGATGGATCTAGGAATTGAAATAAGCCAGGCAGAGAAAGGCAAATATCGTATGATTTCACTTGTACGTGCAATCTCAAAATGAAATAAATGAACCAACACACAAAGGCAAATACACTCAGACACAGACAGGAGAATAAGGTGACGGTTGCCAAAGGGGAGGGGTTAGAGGGAGTGGACTACCGAAAAAATAAATAAGTCAATAAAATAAAAATAACTCACCAGGGGAAAAATAAATAAAAATGTTCTTGGGTATTGGGAGTGGTAATAACAACACAGATAAAGAAGGCTGAGCAGGGAAAATTCATGATCTTGTAAAAGAAGCAATATTTTTTTTTGGTTTGAAGTTGGCATTACCTACTATAAAAGCTATATATATATTTTTTCTTTAGTCCCTGTTGTTTTAAGGAGATGATGAGTTGAGTTTTTGTACCATCACTTTTTGTAAGACTCTTGATGTATTTTTCCAGTTTGGGGGATTCTCCCAATGGGTTATGAGTATGTTTCTCGGTATTTAGAAAATGAAGGGTCGCCACTGTTGGTTATTCTTTTAAAATGCATAAATGAATGAATGAGTAAATACATAGATACATAAATAGATAGATAAACACACAGAGAACTAATAAAAGATGTATTTCAGCAACATAGTTACAAGTGAAAGTCATGCTCATTCCACAATTGTCAAGGACTCTTGAGACGTCTCTCAGGAGCCTCATGTTGCATTTCATGTGTGTCTGGCCACTTCCACGTGGAAAAGTTCTTTGTGTTTCCTTCTCAGATTCGGTTCCAGCACAAAGGTGGTCCACTTTTTGGGGCCCACCAAGCCTTGGAACTACAAGTACAATCCACAGACTGGCTCGGTGTTGGAGGACGGCTCCGGGGTGGTCCAGCATCAGCTGTCCTTCCTCAATCTCTGGTGGACAATCTACCACCACAGCATCCTGCCTCTTTATGGAAACATCTGGGACCAGCAGGGCCATCCATCTCTTGGGAACACCGTAAGTGGAAGGGTCCCTTGGAAAGCAAGAGTTGAGAACAGAGTCAATAACATCGTCGTAACTTTTCGTGGGAACCGATGGTTAGTAGGCGTATTGTGTTGCGCACACTGGAAGGTCCGCAAATATCGACTCTCTGTGTCATACGCCGAAAAATAATATAATATGGTTTGCCAACCATAATGGTTTTAAATGTGTTTTCTTTATTTATTTCTAGAGAGAGAGGAAGGGAGAGGGAGAGAGGGATAGAAACATCTATGAGAGAGAAACATTGGTAATTATTCAGTAAGAGCCCTGACTTCTGGGAACATTGCAGGAGCGTTGGATACAATGTATCGTCTCGGGATTCTGTTCTGGTTACCGTGAAGGAATACTTTGTTACACTCACACATTCTTCTGAAAAGGGTCCAGTCTGCCCCCTGCCAGATCTGGGGGTACACGGACAGAAAACATGTTATTTTAAATTTTTTTTTGTTTATTGATTTTAGAGAGCGAGGAATGGAGAGGGAGAGAGAGATGACCTATGCTTTGACTAGGAATCGAACCGGTGACTTTGAGGTGCATGGGACAATGCCCACCCCACTGAACCAGGGTCCAAACTATACTTTAATTTAAAAAAATTTGTTTTTTGGTTAATCCTCACCTGAGGATATTTTTCCCTTGATTTTTTAGAGAACATGGAAGGGGGGGAGGGAGGGAGAGAGAGAGAAGCATCAGTGTGAGAGACACACAGATTGGTTGTCTCCCACACGACCCTGACTTGGGCCAGGGGTTGAACCTGCACCCCATTTTTCTTGACTGGGAATATAACTTGCGACCCTTGAATCCACGGGCCAACACGCTAACCACTGAGCCAAACCAGCAAGACCTTCATTTTTTTAAAGAAATAAAACAAGAGTTGAGAATGGACATAAACTCTCCATGATCAACACCGAGTGTATTTCTTTTAAACATGTCCTCTGTCTCCAAATACTGTGTTTCTTGCAAAACGATAATAAAGACACAGGTGACTTTTTTTTTTTTTTGCTCAAAATAATGACACTAATGAACAGAAATACTGTTGGAATGTAGAGAACAGATCCATACATAATGCAAAAAAATTAATTATTGAAATGAGCCTCCTTCATCAGGGGAAAATCTTGTAGATAGGTGGTGAATGACTGATTAGCATGTGTTTCGAAGAGACGGTCTCCACTTCAAGTCATGACATGAAATTGCAATCAGAGGATGCTTCTGAAAAGGATTTTTAAAAATTGTTGACAGACACCCTTTTGGTTTTGAAAAAATAGAATGATAACCCGACATGCACCACATGGGTACATCTGAGTTGCAAAAGACCTTTGGAAGTGAGGTCTTAGGGAAGTATTTCTTGATGATTTTTAAAAAATCCTCACCCAAGGACATTTTTGCATGTATCTTCAGATAGAGCGGGAGGGACAGAGGGAGGAAGAGAGAGAGAGAAACATCGATGTGAGAGAGACACATCGACTGGTTGCTTCCCACACGACCCCGACCAGGGCCGGGGACTAACCGCAACCAAGGTACATGCCCTTGGCCAGAGTCAAACCCATGACTCTTTGGTCTGTGGGCTGATGATCTACCCACGGAGCCAAACCGGCCCGGCCGTGATGGTAGTGTTTTTGGGGTGGATCTAGAAGCTGCTTTTGAAGGAAGACTAAACGTTTCTCTGACCCTTTTACATGAGAGAATATGAGATGATTTGGATTTGAGTTTTCCACCGGGCATGTTCAGGACATTGGGTTGCATGTGAACAGATGTAAGATGCATAACCGGGTGGTTCTGAGAAGTACCACCTTGGGAGCTCCTTCTAGGACCCTAGTTCTGCTTTCTACACAGGTGTGCTGGGTGGTCCTCACCAGAGAGGTGGGAGCCTTCTAAAGGACCACCTGCCACCTGTCTGTTGGGTCATTGGTGGGTTTGTTTAGTATATACGGATGGTAGAGTTGGGGAGCACTGCCCACAAGGAGGATGGGGGTTCTGAGGGCAGATAGGGAGCAGAGCAGGTGTAAGGAAAACTGACTAAGCATGTCCATTTTTTGTGCAGGCTTCTCTCGGTCGTGTTGAGGTGCCGCGTGCAAATCCAGCACCTCACAACTCAGGGTTGCGTGAAAATTCAGCAACCAGGTCTGCTGAGGAGTCTTCAGAGCCAACCATGGTCACGAATGAGGTTCCACCCTCGTCTGAAAGAGGCCATTTGGGAGACGTAAGTACCTGGACTCCACACAGGTGCGGTGGGAAATCAGACATTGGCTCCTCCATGGGACAGAGCAGAGAGCCTGCTTCTGGGGGTCCTAGGAAGGGTATGAAGGGGGGATCCTGTCTTCAGTGTAGGCTGGGACTAGGGGTTCTGCATTGATGTAGATCATTGTGCAATTAAACGTCATGGTAGGTGCACAGATGGACATCCCAAAGAGGTCTGGGCCCTAATCCCCAAACCTGGAAATGCTACCTTCTACGGAGACAGGGATTTGGCAGGTGTGATTCAGTTAAAGACACTGTGGGGTGATCTGTTTATAATCAGTGTGTGGGGTGATCACTTCATAATCACTGTATGAGGCAATCAGTTCATAATCACTTCGAATCTCTATGTGATTTACTTGAAACGCCTATCACTTGGACGGTCAACTGTCCTTGAAAAAGACATTCTAAACATGTGCAGGGAATTCAATTTTAAAAACGTTAAGGACCGGTGAGATGGGGAGATGATCCTGGAGGACCCAGGTGGGGATACCGTCGTCGCAAAGATGCTCATAGACGGATGCAGAGGGGGATGGGAAGGGAATGTGATCAGAGAAGCAGGCGGGAGGCTCTCGACACTGTTGGCTTTGAAGGTGAAGACGGGGGCCAAGCCCTATGAAATGCAAGTGCCCTCTGGGAAATTCAAAAGGTGAGGGAACGGGTCCTCTGGGGCCGGAAAACAGAGCACAGCTCCGTTGACACCTAGATGTCAGCCCAGGGAGACCCACGTGCAACTTCTTGTTCCTGGACAGGGGACCTGGCCTTTGGAGAGTCTGCGTAGGACCAGCTGGTGGTGTGTAGGTTCTTGGCTTCATGTTGGGAAAGTCTCACACCATGACTCCAGGTGGATTTTGGGGGACAGTGATTAAAGCTGGGGACAGTGAATCAAGAAAGGGCTGAGAAATGAGCCCAGGCTGGGCTGCTCTGGCTCACTGAGATGTCAGAGAAAAGGGGGCCTTGAGGACAGGTTCAGGGGTGAGCCTGGGATGAACTACCACTGCCCGTCGCTGCCCTGGTTGCGAGTCTCCTGGGGTCCCTTAGAGTTTAGGAGATGCACGCCTTGGGGGAAGGAGAGGGGAGCAACAGGGGATAGACTCAGGTGAGCTCTCGGTGGGGACAGGACACCCTGGGCCCTTGGTCTTGAGGGTTTCAAAGGCTGGGCATTTAGGGAAGTCTTTGGGAAGGGTCTCGATAGACTATTCATCAGCTCTATGCTGATGTACCCCAGTGAGACTGATTCCCTTAATTTCACCTGCCCTTGGCATGGATGGCAAATGGTACTCATTGGTTTTCTGATTTCTGCTGTCTCCCTGCGTAGGGTGATGTAAGCTCTTTACCTTCTGGTTGGGGAGAAGGAGTAAAAACTATGTACTTGTAAGTACGCTTGTTTAGGGAAGGTGGTTTACCAGATGGCCGCACCGTGCCTACCAGGTAGTTTTGTCGCTGGTTCCCGCTGCTGTGTGACTCTGTCTCCGTGTCCCCACCCCGTGTGTCCTGGCTTCCAGGCCTGTGCCTTGGGACCAGTGACAATCAGCCAGCAGTGTTTTAAGGCACCTGGGTTAGAGTCACTCGTCACAGGAAACTCGTATACGCCTGGGACGATGCTCGTATGATCTCGCTATTGGCGGAGGCCCTGAACTTTCAGGTTCAAAGGGCGGAGCTCTGGTCCTCCAACCCGGCAGCCAACGTGCGTGGCCCCCAGTCCTGGGGCGTCACGCCGAGCCCCGAACTTGAATATAGGCTGCGTAGATTAATGCCGCCCTGTGTCATTTCCACCGAGGCCGCAGAGTTCGGCCGGAGAGAAGAACAGGTGCATCTTCTTTGCGAAACAAGAGCAAGAGAAAACGTTCGATGAGGGTGCTGTTTCTCCATCTCCGAGATCTGAGGGGACACATGGGACGCACGTCGGGTGGTTAAACATTTCTCAGTTTCAATGTTCCTATGCAAAGTCCCCGAGCGTCTCCGTGGACCTGTGATGATGTCAAGCTGGGGTGGATTGCGGACTGGGCGGAAGGGGGCCGTCCTTTTCGGGTATTCCCCACAGCTTTGGGGGAGCTATTTTCTACTGAAGACAGACAGCCGACGTTCAACTACACTGGCAGGTGTTTCTGGGGAATGAGTGAGGTCCCGGCCACGTCAGGCATGAATGACTTGTGAGGGCTGAGGTCCTGCTGTCATCCGTGGAAGTGGGGTTCTTGGGGTACCGCTGGAAGAAGCATTTCCGGAGGCCGCCAGGGGAGAATGAGATATGGCAAAAAATTTTATTTGTGTGGAATGAAGTCCCCGAGTTTCCAAAGTCCCATGTCCCTTCGCCCGGTCATAGGACAGCAGGGGGTTTCAGTTTTGCTAACACCGGAGCTGGTGTCTAGAATTTGCGTGTTGTATTGACACTGCGTCCACTTCTTCCTCAGACCTGTTACCGTCCGTTAATCCACTGAGGATGGGGTCTGCGTGGCCTCGGGCCATGTGGGCAAATGCCGCACCCTGGGACTGGCCACAGCCATTCTGGCCAACCCGCTGTGTCCCGGGATGTGACTGACCGCACGCACCTTCCCCAGTCCCCCCAACTTTCCTGGCCGTGCATCTGTCTCCCCTCTGTTGGACCCCCGGGGAGTATAAAATTATAGCTTCCTAGTACCGCGCCCCAAGGACAGGCCTGTAATGTCTGGTCTTCCTTCCTCTCCTATTATTAATAACTAGCTCAGCCCGGCCGGTGTGGCTCAGTGGCTGAGCGTCGACCCTGCACCAAGAGGTCACCAGTCCGATTCCCGGTCAGGACACATGCCCAGGTTGTGGGTCCGATCCCCAGTGGGGGGGGCGTGCAGGAGGCGGCCCATCCATGTTCTCTCTCATCGATGTTTCCATCTCTCTCCCTCTCCCTTCCTGTCTCTCTAAAATCAATAAAGAAAAAAAAATATTCATAAAAAAATAAATCAAGAAATAAGGAGCTCAACACAATGGTATCGATGCCCACGCACAGAAGGCGAAAAGACCCTCCGGTTTGCACAGTGGAGATGGCAGGAAGAAAATGACGTTCCCCCCCTCCTCCTGCTACTCAGGGAGGCCTCCGCAGTGTGGTCTGCAGGCCCCAAAGGCCCCCTGGGTGTTAAATATAGGCCGGGAGCTGGGCTAGGAATGTGAGGAATCTGGCCTGAGGCTCTTAGGTTACGTATAGAATTGCTCGCTCTCTGCCCCGGGGGCCACGCCTGTAAGGACGTGTTTAAGAAGAACCGGAGAGGCGGAGACCAAAGGAAACACATGAAATGTTCAGCGGATCCTTAGATCCTATAAGTGTCGCTCAGAAATCTCTCTGCAGTGCAGCAATAATGTCAGTAAGTGTTCAGCTTTCGGAGGGGAAGAGGGATCCCTCCAGGCTGCAATCATTCCGTGGAGGTCGCAGTGGGACTTGTCTGCGTACGGAAATGTTGGGTTAAGACAGGAGGGGGTGTGGGTGAGGATCCAGGGAAGAAGGGGAGACTGTTCATCCAGGACAAGAAGGTGCTGGGGGCCGGGCGCAGGGTTACTTGGAGGGTTTTGTTTGCTAAACAAATAGTAGTAAACAAGCAGAAAATGGTCCATCTAGAGAGCTCAGCCGTGGGGGAGAGGCTGGAGCTGAAACACAGCCATTTGGGAGATCAAAAATAGGAACAATAAAAATGCTAATTAGCCCGGCTGGTACCGCTCAGGGGCTGAGCGTCGACCCTGCAGCAAGAGGTCGCCGGTTCGATTCCCGGTCAGGACACAGGCCCAGGTTGTGGGCCGATCCCCAGTGGGGGGCGTGCAGGAGGCGGCCCATCGACGTTCTCTCTCCTCGATGTTTCTCTCTCTCTGAAGTCCGTAAACAAATAAGAGCTAACAAATGCCCATCTATCAGTGATTGAATCTGCAAACAAAATGAACAAGCGGAACAGAGACTCCTAGACACAGAGAACTTCTGGTTGCCAGACGGGAGGGGGCTGGGAGGGCGGGTGAAGAGGTGAAGACGTTAGGAAGTACGTGTGGGCTGTTAGATAGAGGAACCTCAGAGGAAGGGGGCGAAATGTGGGGAAGAGAGAAACCACAGAACTCCTAGGCGTATGTGCACAACCAACGGACACAGACAACGGTGTGGGGAAGGCAGGAGGGGGGTGGGAGCGGGGAAGAGGGGTTCAATCAAGGAAAAAAGGGGGGGACCTCTGTAATACATTCAACAATAAAGGCAAGGTTTTAAAAAATACATAAATCAAATCAAATCAAAGAGCTGAGCAAAATCCATAAAAACAAAATCAGATTTAAAAAAAAAAGAGCTGTGTGCCTATCTAGGAGAAACAAATTATTAAAAAGAATCATCAGAAAGTAATGCTTCCTAGCAGCATAAATTGAAAAAAAAATAAATGCATAAATAAATAAATAAATCTAACCAAAGATGTGTAAGATATTTCTGGAAATGGCTATTAAACCATATCAGAAGACAAAAATAAATAACTAAATGCCGAAAGAACTATCGAGAGGTCCTATATGTTTTTTTGAAAGAAGGACTCATTAACGATGTCAATTCTTAAAAAAAAAAAAACAATGAAATATAGACTCCAGATGAAAGTGACATTTTATGTCCCACAACACAGGTATTTAAAACCTGGACAGAAAAATGGGACATCAATGAGAGAAAGAATTTGGGGGTGCATGCGTCTCCCATCATTGCATCCTTTATGCCCACATGTGCCTCTATGGGTTAGATCAACTGACTTTTTTTAAAACTTTTTTTTCTTTAGTGATTTTAGAAGGAGAGGGAGAGACAGACAGAAACATCAATGAGAGAGAACATTGATTAGCCGCCTCCTGCATGCCCCCCACTGGGGATCAGGCCCACAACCTGGGCATGTGCCCTGACCGGGAATTGAACTGAGACCTCTTGGTGCAGGGTCGACGCTTAACCACTGAGCCACACTGGCTGGGTTCAACTGACATTTTTTAAAAAAATTCTCTATTGCTTGGATACTTCACGATGAGCACAGGCACCCCAAAAATGATGAAGCTGTGAAACTTTTACGGTATTTGCAATATATTTAATCATTTCAAACCCAGGTCACTTTGGGATCAATGATGCCACGACACTGCCCCCTACTGGCCATTTGTTGAATTAGCAACTCTGAGGGTTTTTTTTGTTGTTTTTTTTTTCCTCTACTGTTTTATTTTTTAATTAAGGGAAAAAATATTTTTTAACCCAATGGGAAAGGGGGAATATTCCCAGGGTGGTAGCTTTTTTTTATAAGGTTACTGGGGTTTTATTTATTTATTAATTATTTTTTAGTGCTCTTCCTAGTCCATGTTCTTTTTATCTTATTTATTTTTGAATCTTAGTTGATGTTTGGTAAAGCTTTCTAATGGAGAATTACACTCATAGAAAAGAGAGCACACTTCTTCACGACCCTTCGGAGTCACACCTCAGAACAGCAAAGAACCCCAAAGAGAAGCAGAAAGTCACCCCCGATTCGGAACCACCTCGATACGTCACCTCAATACAGAACCACCAGCTGCACCCGTTGCTGAAAACAAGGACATTTCCATGCTTCGTGGGATTTTATCTTCGGTTCCCTCCACCTGTGCAGTGATCACCTGACGATGACAGCCCGTGCTGGACAGAGGGGCCTGATCATGGTTTCCTCTCTATACCTCTGCTTGGCTCTTGCCTTCGTGTCTCCGCATTGATTTGATGCTACGGTCACCCGCGGATGCTCTCGCGTGGCTTCTCCCTCTCCAGACTGAGGGTCTTTCTGTCTTTAATCTTCTCTTCCTCTTTGAACATGTGTCTCCGCTCAGCCAAGGAGCCTCCGGACAGTGGCCACTTCCAGCGTCTCTTGCTTTCAAGGTGACCCAGACGCCAGGCCGCTGGGTAGGGGGACGCATCAGGGAGACGGTTATCCTGCAAAGACAAAAATAAATGGAATTTGCGTTAGGGCTTGGTGCTCGGAAAGGTTAGGTTCACATCTCCCTCTGCCACGGGAGAAATTTCTCGGTCGGAATATTCAACGTTTCACCAGGAGCAGGAGAGATGCGTCTTCCCCCTCCCTGGGGTCATTGTGAGAGTTTAAAGGCGTCATTCGTAAGAAGTTTATGACTGTCATTGAGGATCCAGTGATGAGACTCTCATTAAGAGGATGCACTGTGGCCCTGGCCGGTTTGGCTCAGCAGTTAGAGCGTCAGCCTGCAGACCAGAGAGTCCTGGGTTCGGTTCCCACTAAGGGCATGTACCTCGGTTGCAGTTTGTCCCCGGCCCTGGTTGGGGTCGTGTGCATGTCAGCCAGTTGATGTGCTTCTCTCACATCGATGTTGCTCTCTCTCCCTCCTCCTCCCTCTCTCCCTCCCGCTCTATCTGAAGATAAATGCAAAAATGTCCTCGAGTGAGGATTAAAAAAAAAAGGACCCTCTATTGTCTTGCCTGTGCCGTATTGGCCAACTTTATCATTTTTGTTTAGAACGTAATTTTATATTTGGATTTTGCGCACATGATCGACCTGTGGAACAAAGAGCTCATATTTGCATGTAGATGCCTGAGTTTATGACTTTGGGGAAAAAAAATCTGAATGAAACAAACGAACGAACAAACAGCATGCTCACGAGGACTTTGTTTTCGTCTCCATTTGAAGTATATTTCTTTGCTCTGAATTGCACCAAGCCTGAGCTTGAGGCTGGTCCAGCTTCTACAAAAAGTTAATTCCGGCCTCTTCACGTCCTGCTTTTTTTCGGCTGCAGGATGTTTGCCCAAGCTGCCTGCTTGGCATGTTTGTTTGTCTTCCCCGGTGAGCTCTATATCTTAGCCCATCTCTGATTATACGAGTCCAGTCTGCTCCTCCTCAGATTTTATTTCCCATGATACTCTCTTAGGAATACTTGTCCATCCCGACAAGCTCAGTGACACCTTGATAAGGTCTTCATTCCCCAGAATGGTCCTTCCCAGTATCTCTCTGGACCGCGATTGTAGACTTGTTATTCGTCATGTGTCTGGCTCCGCCCTTTGACGGTAAGCTGCCGGGGGTGGGGGTGGGGTCGGTGCTGTGTAGACCACTCTGCAGTGTCCGTACCTCGCTCTCCATGACGCTCCACCAAATGCATAAATCCATGCCTCCGTGATCCAGCATCGAGGTGGACTTTCTTCACAACGGGATCAGACTTTTGGGAGCTGGGGGCACGTTGCTCAGTGAGTCTCCACGCTGAGTCCACTCGGTCAACATTTCTGCAACTGTGGCCCAGGAATCTGCATTCCCAGGACTGAGACGCAGGTCTGCCTGGACGGGCCGAGGAGGCGATGTTGATTTCCACCCTGGCTCCCCACAGGGTTTTTCTAGGGTGCTTGCAATGAAGATGCACAGATAACCCATGTCCTTCACCTTCTGTGGTTGATGCCCATTAAGTTCCTCGTGGGATCCTTGGAACGTTTTGGACTCCAGCCTGTGGACATGGCTTGTTTCCTAACCTTGAGCTCCATTGGGGTAGGCTACTGGTAGTAACAAATGGCCCTCCCCTAGGTGAGAGTCAGTGCCTGGTTGAGGTCCCAGATGGCGAGGTGATGGAGTGTTCTCTGCTCCACGAAGCCATGCAGGGATCCAGGATGCTGCCAACGTTCTGGTCCATCTTCTTCTAACTCAGCCCTTCTTAACCATGGCCCCTGGACAGAGAATTATGCTGTCATGCAGAAGCCAGCCTTTCAGGGTAATCCGTCATTTCCCGGGCATCCGAGATGGTCTTCGCCACGTACCATTTTGGGGAGCAGAAAATAGGCGTGCAAATAGCGTCTCGTACAGCATCATTTTCTTGTGGACCCTCCGTTGAAATAGGCTGGGGATACCCTGCTTGCCACCTGACCCATGGGAGTTAGGGTAGGAAGAGCTAAACTGGAAGGTGACTTGTATCCTGTTGCAATGCCATGCGTGAGAACTAGTCACAGCCCCATCGAGGGGCAAGGACTTTAGGACGTGGATCTGGGTGTGAGCCCCAAGCAAGGAGCAGACAGAAGCCTTGGTGATCACGGCACTCTCTGTCCCAGACCCCTTCCTTGTCCACCCAAGTTTTCATCCTGGAGGTGGGAACACATACGTGGGGTGTTTTCCATGCACCTGCGTTCATCTGCCCAGAGGTACTTGCTAACCTTCTTTTATTATTTATTTTATGACAGATGTTAGGTTGGCCTGCTGGTGAGAGTGTCACTGGAGTGACCTGTGACCCCGTCACACCGCCTCTGCCCCCATTCGAAGACGTCATAGAGACACACAGCACCTTGGTACAGCTTATTAAAACTTAAGCATGTCCGTCTCTCTCTCAGTGGTCAAGGTCATGTCAGCTTTTCTGTTTCGTTGACAGCCAAAGACAGTCCCCAGTGTTTTGAGTCTTTATCCCTTAACCTTGCTTAATGGTTGTCCGACCTGTATTGCCCAGGTGGAGAAGGCACCTGGGAGTCTATTCAGATTTCACCCTCACCGATGATTATATTTCTTATTGGTCATGTGGTCATTTTTTCTACCTGTTTGGGGAAAAATTAGAAAAAAAAAGTGCATTAGAAAAGAAATGTGATATATATGTCTTTCTTCATCAAAAAATATGTGTATATATCAGGATGACTCTGGAGTCATCTTCACTATCAGGACTTAAGAAGGATGAATTTCCCTCTTGTTTTTCCAAATGTACCTTCCTGAATCCGGGCTTCGGTGACCGTGCATCATCAGGACGTTGAACCCGGACAGATGCTTCATAGTAAAACAATGTATAGGCGCGTGTCTGTGGAAGATTCGACCCAGGTAGAGTTTATTCCTCTCACTGAGAGACTATCTGAGTAATACGTCCACAAGGCATTTGCTATAAGCTAAGTGAATCCCTCTCTGAACAGTTACTACCGATCCATTGCCTAAAGACTGGTAGCATCTCACTGAGCCTAAGAGTGGCTGGGTGTCCCCAGGAGAGGCCAGGATTAGAAAAAGTTGTCTATCTGGTTGAATCCATTTAGTTTATCTGACGTTCACTAGGAGGGAAGAGCTAGCGTCTGTCATTGTGCTTAAGACTCTACAGTTTTCTGGAATCGACCGCAGACTAACGTCAGATGATTATGTTTCTGGCAGGCAATGGATCCAACAGGAGGTGGCCCATCTGAGAGCTCCATGGAACTAAGCCAGGAGCCTCCTGTGAATGTCACCAGGGACCCCAGCCCTCAAGATGCGTTGGAGGTGGTATCCCAGTCGTAGCTTGCGTCCTGCTCATGCTGAGAGCTGTCTGCCATCACCAGGGCTTGATGCATGCATGCTCTAGTGACCACCTTGATTTCCAGTCTCACGCTGTTGAAATTGAGTCTACCTGCCTCTCCGGGTGCCTCCAATCTGTCTGTCTTCTCTCCAGCGTTTGTCCGGGTGTTTGGTGCATGCTCTCTCTCCTGTCCTGAATAACCTCACACTTCCTCTCTTTCAAAACTGTTTTGCAAACGTTAACCCAAGTTGAGGAGCTACACAGTGTCTTCCAGTAGACCACAGATTATTGTCTGCCATAATCCATTGTCTAAAGCCTGGAGAATTTGGGGGTGACTCTTTGGATCTAAACGGAGCATGCCACGGGTTCTTCTTTAGGGGTGAAATGAAAGATGCCCTCTCCCTGACCCTTCCTCACACAGATGAGCTCATCTGAAACACCACTCGCACCGTGGACGTATGTCATGAAACCAAGGGCCAATGTTCTTTTCTAACAAAAATCCAACAGCACAATTGGGTCTTGAAGTATGAGGGAAGGCAAGGGTGTAGCTGGGTGTTGGGTGCACAGTGAAAGGGTGTGCTTCCTACATGGGTATTTTCTCACTGTGACCTCACCTGCTGGAAGGGATGACGGAGCCTTGTGGGGTATCTTTTATAAAAATACTGATCCCATTATGAGGGTTGCACCCTCCTGACCTAATCATCTTCCCAAGGCCCCACCTTCTAATAGCATCACTTTGGGGGTTAGCTCTCGACCTTTGAGTTTGGGGGAAGACACGGTCATTCTTTCTATAGCAACATCTCTGAAACATGACCCATTCTGTAATAAAGGACTTTGTTTGCATGATGTATTTACGAGAATTGAGCTGTGGAGAAAATGAGAAGGCTCCCCCCGCCCCCAACTCTGGTCAATCTAGTCAATGCCAAGGGCAATCGTTTGAATTTATTTCCAGAGCTGTTGGTCACATGGTTTCTTCTGAAACGCTGTTGGGTCATGTGTCCAGTGTGAGCATTCTGCATCTTCCTCTTTGGCCCCTCAGAAGTGATTTTGGGGCTCCAGAAATCGGGTGTAGAGTTATGAGTGGGTGACGTGGTCTGGGAGTGGGGTTGGGCAGGTCTGTCTTGGAGTCCTCAGCTGTGTGGTAGGTGTGAGATGTCAGGTGAGTTCATGACTTTACCTGGGAAGAACATGGGGGTTGGGCTGGGGAGCATTAGACCCGAGAACGGTCTGACTGTATACGGCCTAGAGCTTAGAGGTTAGCTGCAGTCCTGACTGGATGTCCCTAGGAGGTGGCCTCAAGAACATTCAACCTTCTGGGGCGATACCTGTGCCTGGGGTTCATCCTGGAGAAGTGACCATTGTCGGCACCCAAGAAAAAGACTTGCCAATCTGTTACTTGTTTGCTTTCCTGGATTGATTGACATTCTCTCTCTTCCTCTGAGTCTCTGTTATGCTACGTCGATGACCTCGATTTAGGATTTTGTGTAGCACCGTTCTATGCAATCGAGGGATTTTGTTTTCTTAGACATGTATTTCCTCTTGCTTTGTGGATGATGTCATCACCCAGTTTTCTGCTGAGAAGTAGTGTGGGTCAGGTGTGGTGAGTGCCATTAATTCCAAAATGTTTTTTTTCTTTAATAATTTTATTAATTTTTTTTAGAGAGACAGGAAGGGAGAGAGAGAAATAGAATCATCAATATGAGGGAGAAACATCCATCGGCCACCTCCTGCACGCCCCCTACTGGGAATCAAGCCTACAACCCGGGCATGTGCCCTGACCGGGAATCGAACCTGGACACCTCAGTCCCTGGGCTAATGCTCCATCCACTGAGCCACACCAGCTGGGAAAACAATTCCTTTTTTTTTTTTAACCTGAATTTATTGGGCTGACATTGGTTAAGTTAATGAAATTATATAGGTTTCAGATGTACGATTATATATCATCTGTATATTGTATTGTGTGTTCATCACCCCAAGTCGAGTCTCCTTCCATCACCATTTATACCCCCTTTACCCTCTTCTGTCTCCCTCCACTCTCCTCCCCTCTGGCCATCACCAACCTGTTGTCTGTGCCCATGAATCTTTCTTTTTATTCTTTGCTTAAACCTCACCCTTCTCACATAGTCCCCAACCCCTCCCTTCTGACAGCTGTGAGTCTGTTCTCTGTATCCATCAGTCTGGCCATTTTCTTAGCAAGCAAATTCTTAACAAAACCTGATCACCTGCTCAGTTCCATTTCATAACGTTTCAAAAAAACGTAGGTAAAAGACATCTTCTAAGAACATCACATTGAATTGAACCAAAATCTATGTCTCCCTTTGTATTGTGTGCCTGCTCAATGAAAACCGACCTTTTCGGTAAAAGAAACTTGCCAATGAGCAGGACCCTCCGTCCGAGACCTGAGATGCGCCGGTGGGACTTGTTCTGTGACCGGCAGCTTCAATAAACACCTCCTGTTGGCTTGTGTTTCCCAGGTTGGCCTGGCCATCTCCATCTCTGAGATTTCCATAGAAGAGAAGGTCAAGGAACTGAGCCCGGAGGAAGAGAGGCGGAAGTGGGAAGAGGGTCACATCGACTACATGGGGAAGGACGCCTTTGCCCACATTCAGGAGAAGCTGGACCGGTTTCTACAGTAACCTGGGCAGCAGCTGTGTGGCATTGGACAGGGAATCCATGGGCTCTGTATCGTAGATGCCACCCCCAGTCCTTCAGAAGAAAAAGCTGTTGAACTCTGTGCCTCTATTTATGGTTATTTATGGTCAACCCACTTGAGTGCCTCAGAACAATAATGCAGACCATCAAAAGCCCTGCTTGAAGACCCCTGCAGATCCTAGCTGCCCACAGGGTCTCGGCTTCCTTGTGAAATCAGACTTTCTTCTTGCTTTGCCGACAAAGGAGCAGGAAGAGACAACTGGTAGACCCTTGACAATGGTATCGCCCAACGGAGCTTTGAAACCCTGCCTTGGGCAGGTGCTAGGGTGTGTGTCCACACAGAGTGTCGCGTCGCCACCGATTTCCTTCTCCCCCCAACCAGATCCCAGCAAATACACATTCAGCACCTCAAGAACCCACGACGATGAACCCTTGGTTTTCAGGACTCGGTCAACGTACAAACCTCTTGGGCGTGAGTCTCATTCAGACCTTGCAGAGCGTACAGTATCTGAGCAACACTGCGGCTGTCGTGTGGAACCTAAGAAGACTTCAGAGTGCCATGGATAGACGTCCAGTTTGGGAAACGCCAGAGGGATGTGGGAGAAAGATTGCAGCTCCCCGGGGAGGTGTAACCTCTTCTGAACTGGTTGACCTCCTAGTGTGGAAGAGGGAAGGGTTGGCTCCGTGTAATGGCTGGTGATGCCTCCCCATAACAGCATCCGGAGAGGCTGTCTGGAGGCCAGTTCACGCGTAGCCTCCATTCATTTGCTGTTGGCTCCCCCACTACCTCACTTCCAAAGAACATATCACCACACTCTGCTCTCCAAGCCATTGCCGCTCAGCTCCTCCGGGAGAACTCTTCATGGTAACAGCCTGGACACTTTCTTCCACAAGAAAACCTCCTTTTCAGCAGTATCCTGTTATTGTGAATTCATGCCGGACGTTGGAACATCTCACAGCATGACTGTCCCATGCCCGCCATGATTATCGTTAAAAATGGACATTGCCGTGCGAAACAGAAGGAACTGTGATTTTTTTTTTTTTTTAAAGTTTGAATCATGTATTTATTGTGCACGGGCTATGGAAAATCACAGGTTAATTAGATGTCGGTCTGGAAGAAGGTCAGAGGGCCATGTGGACGTTCAGTGGGTGTGTTGGGACACACTTCCATCCCCTGAAGCAGGTCAGCTTGGCTAAGAGAGTCGGAGGGACTTTATGCAGCGAGTTGTGGTCTTAGGTTTTGAAAGATGGAAGCTCTAAGGGGGTGTTTCTTCTTTACATCTGGGTGCTTCGTGATCTGACGTCTTGGTTGCTGTCACACATACGGTACTCCAGGGGTTCACTGAATATAGCCATAGGGACGTAGCCTTAGGTGGGTTGGGAGGGTGGTGACCAGCCATCAGAATAATGCCATAAGCTTGTCCCAGGGAAAGAATGTTCATGTTCTGTACTACGGTGTTGGGGTACGGAAAGCAGGAGCCTGGGTCAGGCTTACTTGAGAGAACAGTGGTCCAAATGAAGAGTGTTTCAGCCTGGCCCAGCTTCTCCGGAGAGCAGAATTTCTGTTTACGGGCAGTGACTCACTGGCTTATGGAATAACGTTCAACACGAATGTCTGCTTTGCATTCTAGTGTGGTTGGATGGATGCTGACGTCGTCAATTAAAATTTCACGAGAGCAGTGTGGTCCCTCTTCGGGTGGACATGTGTGTGTGTGCGTCCGGAGCCATCAGAACAAGCGTCGTATGGGACAGGGTGAAGGGATGTGGCTCTGTAGGAAATTTAAATGACCAATTGAGTGCTTCAGGGTTGGGGAGGATAGTAGTGCAAAGGTTTGGGGAAACTCTCCCGTTTCTAGCATTGGAACATAAAAGAAAAGAAAGAAAGAGACCACCAACAAGGTGATTCCTGGCCGTGATTCTCAACCGGAGTATCATTCACACACTGTCCTTTCTGGAGGTCTGTGAAAACTCACCTCGTCAACATTTCTAGAACGGGAGGTTCCTATGTCATCCTGGAAATCAAAGATCGTTCAAGGTGAGGGGCCGCAGCGATGCTCTGAGATCAGTAAGAACAGCTGCGGGGGCAGTGGGGATCCCCGCGGGTTCCATGTCTCGGCGACTGGAAATAATCCTTCCGTGGTCATGGGGGTGCAGGTCACTGTTTGACATTCTGTTTTCACATAAATAGGCAGAAACGGGGTCACTGGGTCAAAAGGCAGCTCCGTGTTTAATGCTCTGAGGACCGTCCATGTGGGTTGGCACGGGGTGCACGGGTCTGCATTCCCGCCAGCAGAGCAGGGGTCCCCTTTCTCCATGTCCTCGCCAGCCCGCGTCACGTCCTACGTGTCTGATGGCAGCCACCCTGATGCGCGAGGTCACGGCCCGCGGTGGTCTCTGCCCTCCTGGCAGGAGCAGAAAGGGAAGGTCCCACAGCAAGGCTGTAGCCACGGCCTCCACAGGATGTGGCTCAGGGAGAACTGCGAGGGGACGGGGCTCAGCGTCGCCCTGTGCGCCTCCACCGCCTCGGCCACCCTGGCGAGCACGGTGTGGTACAGCGGCTCAGAGCCGGGGGACAGGGGCTGCCTCTCCGAAGGGTCCCTGGAGAGGTCAAAGAGCAAAGGGGGGCTGTGCTGGGTCACGCCCTCCCCAGAGCAGGGGCACAGGCCTCGGCTGTAGCAGGCCCCCGTGCCCGTGGGGTGGAACTTCGGCGTCATGTAATGGACCTTCCACAGTCGTCCACCTAAATGCAAATGGGGAGGGGTCAGGGCAGGAGGAACCTGGTCTGTAGCCAACCCCTGGCCCAGGTGGCAACACTGAGGCAGGGTCACCAACATCCCACGTCATGTGCACAGGAAGAGAGGAGAAGGCAAGACCTGTGCACGTCTGACTTCACTGTTGACGCATCGATGTTCATGTGTGTGATAGTGTGTGTGCGTGCTTGTGTGTGTGCACACAAGTCTCTGTGAGTGTGACTGTGTGTGGGCACATGTGGGTCTGTATGTGTGCAAGTGTGGATCTGTGTGACTGTGCACATGTAGATCTGGGTATGTGTTCATGTGTGTATCTCTGTGTGCATGCATGCATGTGTGTGCATGAGTCTGTGTGTGTGTGTGTGAGACTGTATGTGGGCACATGTGGGTCTGTGTGTGTGTGCATGTGTGTCTGTGTGTGTGCATGCATGCATGTGTGTGCATGAGTCTCTCTGTGTGTGGCTGTGTGTGGGCACATTTGGGTCTGTGTGTGTGACTGTGCACATGTAGATCTGGGTATGTGTGCATGTGTGTGTACATGTGGGTCTGTGTGTGCATGCCTGTGTGTGTGTGCACGAGTCTGTGTGTGACTGTGTGTGTGGGCACGTGTGTGTGTGTTACTGTGTGTGCACATGTAGATCTGGGTGTGTGTGCATGCGTCTGGGTGTGTGCACGTGTGGGTCTCTGTATGTGCATGTGTGTGTGTGTACATGTGGGTCTGTGTGTGCATGCATGTGTGCACATGTGGGTCTCTGTGTGTGCATGTGTGTGTGCTTGCATGTGTGTGCACATGGGTCTGTGTGTGTGTGACTGTGTGGGTCTGTATGTGTGTGCATGCCTGTGTCTGTGTGTGTACGTGTGGGTCTGTGTGTGTGTGTGCATGCATGTGTGTGTGTGCACATGTAGGTCTGGGTGTGTGTGACTGTGTGTGTGTGTGGGTCTGTATGTGTGTATGTGTGGGTCTCTCTGTGTGTGTCTGTGTGGGTCTGGGTGTGACTGTGTGTAGACGTGCACATTTGTGTGTGCATGCACGTGTGAATCTGTGTGTGTGTGTGCCGTGTTCCAGATATAGAGAAGAAAAGGGACTCACCTCAAAGTGCTCCCTGTGGCTCTATGTGAGGACTAGAATCATAGGTGCCATTGGAATATTTTTACCCTTTGCCTTGTTCCTTAGTTGTTCAATGTCTAGCATGTAGGATCTAGCAGGCGCCTGATGGACACCAATCTTGCTGTGTCCTCAAGGGGTTCATTTGTATACATGGCCGATGATAAGACCAATCCCAGCACAAGTGAAGCTGACACATCCCTTCCCCAATCAACGTGGCACCAGCTGTCACCTTCTTAGAGATATCGAGTGATTCTTCTCAGCTGGTCAGAAAAGCATTTGCTCTGTGACAGTGAATTTCACGTGTGAAAGTGGCCAGGCTATGATGCCCGGATATGTAGCCCTAACACTACTCTGGGTGCTACTACTAAGGTGTTTTTTTTTCCCTCCTGTAGATGACTTTAACATTGAAACCAGTAAACTTGGAATAAAGTAGATCATTCTTCCTAGTGTGGGTGGGCCTTGCCCAATCAGTTGAAGAATGTAAGAAGAGAAAGAAAGAGGGACCCCAAAGAGAAAGATATGCTGCCTACAGACCACAGCAGAGATATTTGCCTGATTTCCCAACCATTAGACTCAAGACAATAGCACTCATACCTGACAGACTGCCAGTCTGTCCTACAAATTTCAGACTTGCCAGCCCCCACAATATGTGGGTTAGTTTTTTAAAATCTCTTTCTCTGTCTCCATCCATCCATCCATCCATCCATCCATCCATCCATAATCCATCCATCCATCCATCCATCCATCCATCCATCCATCCATAAATCCATCCATCCATCCATCCATCCATCCATCCATCCATATCCATCCATCCATCCATATCCATCCATCCATCCATCCATAAATCCATCCATCCATCCATCCATCCATCCATAAATCCATCCATCCATCCATCCATCCATCCATCCATAAATCCATCCATCCATCCATCCATCCATCCATCCATCCATCCATCCATCCGTGTACTATCTATGCACCCACCCACCCACTTGCATGCTCTCTTGGTTCCGTTTCTCTGGAGAGCTCTGACTGGCCCCAGCTGCCACAGTGTCGGGGAAGGTGAGTACTCACGGTCCTTGTCATTCCAGCGTGCCGCGTGGAGATACTTCCCACAATAGTGAAACAAGAAGTCGTGTGGCGAGTGCTCAGTGTCTCCTTGCAGCAAGGGAACCAGGCTACGGCCATCGATCACCCTGATTCAGTGAAGAGACAGCAGCAAGGCCTCAGACCGAAGCCCTTGGGCTGTGTCTTGTACCCAGACATAGAACCCCAAGGCCACTGGGGCCCCAGCTGATGGGGAGGGGAACAGAGATGAGCTTTCTCCCTGAGCTGCAACCAGATTGCAAGAGACAGGTTGTTGTTTTAATACTCAAAGTTATGCCCGACCAGTGTGCTCAGTGGTTGAGCATTGACCCTGCACCAAGAGGGTGCAAGTTTGATTCCCGGTCAGGGCACATGCCCAGGTTGTGGGCCTGATCCCCAGTGGGGGGCGTGCAGGGGGCGGTCAGTCGATGTTCTCTCTCATCGATGTTTCCATCTCTCTCTCCCTCTCCCTTCTTCTCTCTAGCATCAATAAAGAGAAGAAAACGACTCAAAGTTACTACACTTCAGGGTCATTTGTTAAGTGGCATTGGGTAATCAGAATGCAGACATGTGTACACCTGCACACCATTCCGACCTCGGATGTTAAAACAAAGTTTTCCCCAATTCCAGCTGCACTGCCCAGGCCCCTAGGTTGAGCGCCAGGGCCCCAGAAACCTTTTCGATCATAACAGATTCCAAGGTAGGTTGTCCCCTGTATAAAACAACTGGATCACGGAGGCCCACAATGGGCACACGCCCTGTAGGTCCTTCCTCACAAACAAGGTATCATTGTGCAAAACGCCCAGATGCGAATTTAACGTGGAAACATGGGACGTCTTCCGAGAACAGCACAGCCCTTTTAGCTACTGTTTCGTTTTGCATTGCGCCCGGACGGTGATGGTTCCATTTATGTCCACTTGGCTACACGATGATGGCCAGCTGTTTGCAAAGCACTAGTTTGGCTGGTACGATGAAAGTGTGCTGTCCATGAGGCCGACACGTATAATTCGTGGACATTGGATACAGCACATTTCCCTTGATAACTAGGGTGGGCCTCGTCTTATCAGGTGAAGGTTGTTCGAGAACCAAGAGGGCAGCTTTCTGGAGAAAAACAAATTTGTCCTCAGGACTGTAACATAGAAATTCTGCCTGGTTCCAGACATGGGATTTCCATTTGCCTGCTTCCACAATTGCATGAGCCAATTGCTTACAATAAATCTTATTTTATACACACATAAGCGCATTCCAGTTGCACACACGTATACCCTTGCTTCTGTCTCTCAACGAAGAAACTAATGAATTAACGAGTGCAACGCTTTTTGTGACCACGGCTTGGGGACTGGCTCCGTCTCATTATCATCTCTTACACAGGAGGATGGATTTGATCCCTCGTGGAATAACGTACAATCACTATGAAAATGTCGACTTCTATTTTTCCCTCTTGGATTAGCGTGAGTCTGACTACGTTTTAATATCGAGGGGAGAAATCACTTTTAAACCATATTCTCATAGCTTTATCCACAGATGGGGCAAGACTGAATTTCAGGAAATGATAGACATGTGTTTCATTGGATCATGCTCTGACGAGTTCATCACATTCTGACGAGTTCATCGCCCCCTAGCTGTGAGGAGGTGTGAAATGTTACTGAAAAAATGTTACTGAAACTGCAATATGGGAAGCTTGACCCGATATTTTATTTACTCTCATGTTTTACTGAGTATGGATAATTTACAGTAAGTTGCCCCATACCCTGGGGGACTTCAGAATTTTTTTTAGAGTTCAACTCTTTTTTTTTTTTTTTATACGTTTTTATGGATTTGTTTATATATAGAGAGAGAAACATCAATGTGAGAGAGAAACACTGATTGGCTGCCTCCTGTACACCCCCTGCTAGGGATCAAGTCCACAACCCGGGCATGTGCCCTGACTGGGATTCGAACCCGGACCTCTCAGTCCATGGGAGGCGCTCAGTCCACTGAGCCACACTGGCTGGGTGAGAATATTTTAAGTGTCTCATGTTGCGGATTTCCCCGCTCAGTGTGAAAGATCTCAGGACATAGGGAACCGGGGGGCTCATGAATCGTGTACCTGTCCTGGGGCACCTCGCCGCCTCCCAGCCGGACCACGGTGGGGAACACATCCATCAGGCTGGTGGGCTCATGGACCTCCCGGCCGGCGGGCAGCACACCAGGCCACCGGAATATCCCGGGGACACGGATCCCGCCTTCCCAGCCTCCCATGCCTTTTCCTCCTGGAAGGAAATGACATGGTTAGGGTGCTCAGGAGACTGGCCAGTCGGCAGGCATCGCTGTGCACACCTGTGCACACCTGTGCGTACCTGTGCACACCTGTGCGTGTGTGTACATAGAGGTACGTGCTGGACGGACCACTTTTCGTTTGTTTTTTCTTTCTTTAATCCTCACCCGAGGATATTTTTTCATTGATTTTCAGAGAGAGTGGGAGGAAGGGGGAGAGACACACACACATCAACTGGTTGCCTCCTGCACGACCCTGACCGGGGCCAGGGATCGAACTGCAACCGAGGTGAGTGCCCTTGACCGCCATCGAACCCTCGACCGTTTGGTCCACAGGCCAAGGCTCTAACTGCTGTGGAGGGGCTGTTTTTTAAACTCTGTACTGATTTTATTTTGTTTTTAGAGAGAGAAGAAGGGAGAGGGAGAGAGAGAGACAGAAACATCGATGTGAGAGCCATACCTTGATATGAGGCCTCCCACTCGACAGGGGTTGAACCTGCAACCTGGGCATGTGCCCGGACAGGCTGCCGTTTGGTGCCCGGGATGATGCTCCAACCAACGGAGCCACCCGGCCCGGGGGGATCCACTCTTTCTGACTCCCACTTGGACTCCAGCCTTCACGGGTGGAACCCACTGTCTGGACCTGTCTTTGAACCCCGGCGTCCGTGGGTCTCACCTCTGTAGATTCCGTTCCATCCGCCCAGCTGGCCGCGTGCATCGTCTCTGGCCTCCAAATGTCCTCCGTGATCCGAGGTGAAATAGGTCAGCGTCGTGTTGGCCAGGCCGCGTTCTTCAACGGCATCGAGAATCTTCCCTTGGCGGACACACGAAGCGTTTCGGGACGAAAGGAAACCACACCGCGTCAGTGGGGACCGGAACGCAATCCCCACCCCCTCTGTGTCTACGTCCCTGCTTCCTAGAACCGCAGGCGAAGAGGCCAGCGCCCCCAGGAGACCGCAGCCACACGGGTATCGGCGATTCAGGGAACACCTCAAAGCCATGCAGTCAACGGTGTGTCCGGAAGGTGCCTTGGTGTCCTGCTCACAGCTGTGTGTGTGTGGGACGTGCTGAGAGAGACAGTGAGCTGGGACATCTCTGTCCACACAGGAGGGAGCCCGCACCCGGAGCATCTGGGGGTGTCAGGATTCGGGGGCCAGGATGCGTGGGCACAGCCACGGGCAAACCATGTGGCTGCTTTATCCGCGGAAACCACACCGGCCTTGGAAGCCAGGACAGTCAAGGTCGTAAGCCACAAAGGTCATCCGGGACATTTGATACGACATTCTGCAAGCCCGCCTCCTGTGTTGGGCTGCTGGCGTCTTGACTTGGCCCGAAGCCTCAGTGTGCTTGTCCGAGGACATGCTGTTACACATCATGTCTACAGGGCCCCTTCGGAGTGAACCCAAGCTGCCTCCCCGCGGAACCGCCGGGCCCGTCTCAGGCCTCCAACCTCTGGACGTTACAACAGACAAAGTGACCTCTGCACGGGGCTGAGCTCCATGGGGTCCCCAAGAGCCGTCTGCAGAGATGATGGGGAGCAGGTCTGAGGACGACGGGACGGGGACCCCAGGACGGAGGATTAAACACCTTGTTCGGAGTCCGCGCCTCAGGGTCCTGGTATCTGCACCCGGAGCAACGCCTTCCTGCGGGGACGTCCCTGTCCCGTCCTGTCTCCCAGACGCCCATCGCCTGTCTCCTCATCGCCACCCCGTCTGGGCCCCGCCTGGACCCTGCTTCCCGATTTCAATGTATACAGTTGTTTTTCAGTCCACAATCCCGTTGGTTTCTCGAGGCCATAGAAGGAAAGTGATCTGGGCCCACTGTCCTGAAAGATAGAATCATGCTTCCCCTTCCATATCCTGTCCTGATGGCCTTAAAGAGTGGACTTGCGCCCGGTCAGTGTAGCTCAGTAGACCGAACATTGTCCCATGGACTGAGAGGTCCGGGTTCGATTCCCGGTCAGGGCACACGCCCGGGGTTGCAGGCTCGATCCCCAGTAGGGGGCGTGCAGAAGGCGGCCGATCGATGTTTCTCTCTCACATGCATGTTTCTCTCTCTTTCTCTCTTTCGAAAAAATAAATAAAAATGCACTTAAAAATAAACAAACAGTGGACTTCATGGAAGGAGCATTGTTGCACAGAAACAGACCCTCACGTTGAAAAGGCAAAGTTGCACATAACCAGTGACGTAAGAATGTTCTCACCGTTCTGTTCCCTTTATTTCTGACTCTGCTGCCACTGGGTACGTAGACGGGGACCCAGCTGTTACGGCTCTGTCAGGGGGAGGCCGGGCGTGAGTCACGCGGGGCGTGTCTTGACTTACCTACAAGCCAGTCCATTTCTTCCACGTTGTCACCGTAGAGACCATGCTGGCTTTTCCCGAGAAACTGATCTGTGGTGACGAGGGGCAGGTGGACATGCAGGAAGGACATGAAGAGCAGGAAGGGCTGGTGCTTGTTTCTGCAAAAAGAAAAGCCCCCTTCAGATGCAGCAGCTGCTTCGAGGCTCATGGAACCCCTGGCCCCAAAGCGGACACTTGAGTTTTGGAAACAAGCCCATAGAAGAGGTTGACTTCCTCAAACACAGCTGCACAGAGGGAGGAGGCACAGAATCCTGGAGATGATACAGGGACTCAGGTGCTCTTACAACTCATCTCCTCTTTAAAACGGGATGGCTGGACACGAACAGGAGCCGTAGGAAAAGATGCTTAACATCACTCATCGTCAGAGAGATGCAAATTAAAACAACCATGAGGTATCACCTCACACCTGTCAGAATGCCCACCATCCACAAATCATCAAACAACAAGTATTGGTGAGGGTGTGGAGAAAGGGGACTCTAGTGCACTGCTGGTGGGAATGCAGACGGGTGCAGCCACTATGGAAAACACTATGGTGTTACCTCAAAAAGTTAAACATTGAACTTCCACTTGACCCAGTGATCCCACTTCTAGGAATACACCCTAAGAAGCCTGAAACACCCATCAGAAAGAATATATGTACCCCCATGTTCATAGCAGCACTGTTTACAACAGCTAAGATCTAGAAACAGCCCAAGTGTCCATCAGTAGACGAATGGATCAGAAAGCTGTGGTACATCTACACAATGGAGTACTATGCAGCCATAAAAAAGAAAGAAATCTTACCATTTGCAACAGCATGGAGGGACCTAGCAGGTGTTATGTTCAGTGAAACAAGTCAGACAGGGAAAGACAAATACCATATGATTTCACTTATCTATGGAATCTAATGGACAAAGTAAGTAAACAAACCCAACAGAAACACACTCATAGATGCAGAGAACAGACGGATGGTGCCCAGAGGGGAGGGAGGTTGGGGAATTGGGTGAAAATGGTGAAGGGACTGAGAAGTACCGATGGGCAGTTACAGAACAGTCAGAGAATGAGAAGTACAGGGAATATAGTTGAAAATATTGGAATAATTGTGTATGGGGCCAGGTGGTCCTAGACTTGTTGGGAAGTCACTCTGTAAGGCATATAAATGTGTAATCACTATGCTATACCCCTGAAACGAGTATAATATTGTACATTGACTATAATTGAGAAACAAAATAAAATAACAAATAGGCCCTGGCCAGTTTGGCTCAGGGGTTGGAGCATCAGCCCGTGGATCAACGAGTCGCGGGTTCGATTCCGGTCAAGGGCGTGTCCTTTGGCGGTAGTTCAGTCTCCAACCCTGGTTGGGGTCGTGTGCGAGGCAACCAGTCGATGTGTCTCTTTCGCATCAATGTTTCTCTCTGTCTCCCCCTCCCGCGCACTCTAACTGAAGATAAATGGAAAGGGTTAAAAACACGCAAAGGAAGACGGCGGTTGAATGAATTACCTGTCAATGTAGGAGACAGCCTCCTGGAGCAGGAGACGGGTCGTTCTCTCCAAATCCATGGGCTGCTCGGTGACGTCGTGGTTTCTCATGAGGATACAGTTCCAGCGGCGCACGAACCCAAAGCTGGCGTACCAGGACGCAAAAAACAGGACCAGGAGGCCGGCCGCTCCCACGACCGCCTTCCAGGACACGGACAGGAGCCCGCGGGCCCTGCCGGCAGCCGCGGTCAGGATCCCCAGGGCCACCCACTGGGTGTAGCGCCACAGCTTCGCTCTCAGCGCCGCGTCCAGTTCGGGGGGCCGGCCCGGGTCGCAGTCATTGAGCAGTGTGAAAGGCATGCCATAGAAATAGTCGAACCCGTGCTGCAGGGGGTGGTGGCAGTGGTCCCTGCGGGACTGACAGTTGACACCTTGGTGCCATTTCCCTGAGGGGACAAGAAAAACGTCAAACAGAAACCGGCAATGAAGGTCGTGGGGCAGAAATGCGTCACCTTGGAGTACTACGCAGCTGTGAAAAAGAAAGATCTCTTATCCTTTGAGACGACATGGAGAGACCTGGAGAGTATTATCCTAAGTGAAACAAGCTGAACAGAGAAGGACAAATATCACATGATCTAACTTATTTGTGGAATATAATGAGCATAACAGTCTGAGGAATGGGGTAGTCCCAGAGATGTGAAAGTGGGGTACAGACTGACAATCCCCAGAAGAGGGGGTGGAGGGAGAAATGAACCCCAGAACTTATATGCATGTGTGCATGAACAGTGGACATGGACAACAAACTGGGGACAGGGCGAGGAGGGAGGGGAAGGGGGAGTCAGTGGGGGAAAAAGGAGAAACATCTGTAACAAAAACAAATTAATTAATTAAAAAAAAACCCAACCAAACGAAGAAATGTGTCACCTTGCTGGGTTCCTTCGGGATGTTCCGAGGGAACCGGAAATCCGAGAAGGCAATTTCGTTTGAAGCTGAGCAGGGGTGGAGCAGACATTTGCAAGAGAAAGTGGGGGATAGAGGTCGGATGGGGAACAGAGAGGGAACCCGGGACCCACAGGAACGGAATAGACGTCACTCTGCTGTTGACACAGACGCGTCCACCTCTGTGAACACGAAGGGACCACGAAGGACGGCCGGCAAGCCGATGAACATTAATTCTCTAGAGGGTTTGGGGTCACAGACGTCCAACGTCACCTCACTCTGCTATCACACCACTTAGCGGACACTGTTTACTGACGCACAATCCTCGGATAGCAGGAGCTGGCTCTTGAATAATCTCAGGACAGTAACTGTCACGACTGATAGTAATCAATAATCTGCTATAGCCCGGCCCGGGTGGCTCAGCGGTTAAGCGTCGACCCTGCACCAAGAGGTTGGGGCTTCGATTCCCAGTCAGGGCACAGGCCCAGGGTGTGGGCCCATCCCCAGTGGGGGGCGTGCAGGAGGCGGCCAATGTTCTTTCTCATCGATGTTTCCATCTCTCTCTTTTCCTGTCTCTCTTTCAAATCAATAAAGAAAAAAAGAAAAGATTCCGCTATATATTTATTGGTAATTGTGGAAAATATTACAGATGCCCCCCTTCCTCCCCCATAGATTTTTAAAAGGCCATGAGCCGCCCCGAATCTCACCGTGTGGGCCACATGGAGAAACTGGGCTCCCGGGGGCACTTGCTGTGTGTTTTGTGCACCCGGGTCCTCGGCCACTTTGCCTCTAGGGATGAAACAGGATAAACAGGTTCCAGTGTCCATGCACCCCAACTTCCGAATGGCGAAGTCAGGTCCCGTCCCTGCCCTCGCCCTCCCTCCCGCTGCTCGCGAGGAGTCTCCGGAACCCGCACAAATTGTTCTCAGCTCCCTTCGTTTCCCGGTGTGCACGGAGGGGGAGACAAACCCTGCGATTTGGACCACGGACGGAACACAGACGAGACGACTACAGGACGGTCCCCCAACCCCCAAGCTTCCCAAGACGCAGACGTCCAGAGCAGCCTTCTGCAGCGACCCAAGCCCCGGGAATACCCAAGACACGGGCCTGCGATTCGGGTAAACACAGAGAAATCCACGGTAGGTTTCCAGGTTTCTGTTTTGTGTCTCTGATTTCTACCCCGACAGCCGCGGCTGTCAGGAGGTCCCCGGGGTGGGGCACAGGGACCCCAAGGCGCTGAGATCTGAGGCCCGTTCCAGACCCTCCTCCCTCAGGGTTGGAGACAGACTTGGAGATGAGCGGATGGGTAAAATGTCCTTGAGAAGGAGTTTGGGGATGCGGTTTTCTGGAGGTGGGATGTTTGCACCCCCAAACGCCCGGATGGTCAATCCTAACGCCCCTCTGTGCTGGCGGTCGGCGGCGGGACCTTTGGGGACATGGTTAAGTCCTGGGGGGCCGTGCCCATGAACGGGACCCGTGCCCTTTATAAAGCAGACCCGAGGCCCTTTGTCCTTGTCCCAGAAAAGTCACAGCAAGAAGACGCCCCCTATGAGCCAGGAAGCGGGTCCCCAGCACATCGAATCGGCTGCCCCCTTCCTGTCCCCACAATGGTGACACATACGTTTATATCATCTCCGTGTGCAAAGCAGCAGGATTTAAAATGGGGAGCAGAATGACTGCCCTGGAGCCAACCACAGCCTTCAGGGGTGTCTCAGCGCCCTCTGGACAGCGACTCTGACGGTGGGAAGCGCTCAGTGAAGAACGGACGGGGGGCCCCGGGCACACAGCTCACCGACTGTCCCTGAACCTCGGGGCGGGACAGACCCCTCCGCATTTGGCCTCCGTGTCTGAGTGTCACACGGAGGTACAGCTTCTCACCCCGCGAGCTGAGGAAGAAACCAAAGCCATTCTGCCTGGTGCAGGACAGGGGGACAGCAACCTCTGCGCCCCCTTCCGTTCAGGAAAGAGGGGACCTAGCAGCCTGACCCTGCCGTGCTCACAAAGGCCTCCGTGCAAGGTGCTCCCGGCTCACGTCGGACAACAGGGTTCCCCTCACACCCCAAAATGACAGAGGTGACTCACTGTACCCAACGCTGGGCAGTGTGACTTATGTGGAACCTACGCTTTTCCCCTGAGAGATGCGTTCGGATGGGGGCCCAGCTCCCCCTCAAAACTCTGGGTGCCTTTTTATTTATTTTTTCCTTTTATTGACGTTAGAGAGAGAGGAAGGGAGAGGGAGAGAGAGAGAAACATGGATGAGAGAGAACATCAACGGGCCGCCTCCTACACGCCCCCCACTGGGGATGGGCCCACACCCTGGGCATGTACCCTGACCGGGAATCGAACCCCCAACCTCTTGGTGCAGGGTCGACGCTCAACCCCTGAGCCACACCGGCCGGGCTGTGGGTGCCTTTTGAAGGAGCGTCCCTGGTGACAATACGTTTTGCCCGTCACACGCACACCTGGGGTGTCACCTGCCTCTCGGGGACTCTGCTGGGACAGGACTCTGGATGCTGGGGTCTGATTACCCCAGACGGCACCCGCTGACTTTGTGGGTTCCGCCGTGGTCCGTTCACTGTGGTCGGTCATAACTGTGAGTGCGGCTCTGTGCTGAACCCGAGACTTCGCCTGGTGAGGTCCCCACCTAAACGTGCTCGTGCAGCACCCCGTACCCCCTGCTGTATGGGGAGGGAGTTGGCTCCGTCCCCCAAGTTTGCCCTGCAAGCAAGGACACTGGTTACCCACCCTCACAGGAAGATCCCTTCTGGAGGACTCTCGGATACATCAGGAGACAAGAAGATAATTTTCCCCGGGGAGGGAAAGAGCCAATGTAGCAAGACTCTGAATTCGAAGGGCTCGTCCAACAAACAATCCCAACACTGGGAACAACCCGAGAGGAGTCAGACGTACGCGGCCCCCGATGCTGCTTCTGACACGTGACCTTTTCCCGTGTAGGGTCGCGGGTTCTTGGGATCCCTGCCCTTCAAGGTGACCGAATGATGTGAGCGTGAGTACCTATGAGGCCTGTGGTGTAACCTTGCTGTCGCAGGATTCTTGCAAACGTGGTTTCATTCTCGGGGAGTCCGCCGGAGCCCCCGTTCCACTGAAGGGCCCGGTACCCGTTGCTGGCCTCCATGCCTGTGGAACGGAGCAGAGAGGAAGCTTCTGGTTTCTGCTGGTGGCAGGAGAGGATCTCAGCTGGGGGCGGGCCTGCACTCACCGCAGGGGACACGCGGTGGGGCCTGACACTGGTTTTTGTTGTCACAACTGGGGGATGGGGTACTCCTGACATCTTGTGGGGGGAGACTCCATGCACAGGACCGACACCACAAAGAGAAGCACCACAACCCAAGTGCCGGGACTGCTAAGGGTGAGAATCCTGAGCCATCATATGACAGTCTGTCTGTCCATCCATCCATCTGTCCATCCATCATCCATCCATCATCCATTCATCCATCATCCATCTGTCCATCCATCATCCATCCATCCATCATCCATCCATCATCCATCCATCATCCATTCATCCATCTATCCATCCATCCACCCATCTATCCATCCATCATCCAGCCAGCCACCAAGCCATCTGTCCATCCATCCATCCATCCATCCATCCATCCATCATCCATTCATCCATTTATCCATCTGTCCATCCATCATCCATTCATCCATTTATCCATCTGTCCATCCATCATCCATTCATCCATCTATCCATCTGTCCATCCATCATCCATTCATCCATCTATCCATCTGTCCATCCATCATCCATTCATCCATCTATCCATCTGTCCATCCATCATCCATCCAGCCAGCAAGCCATCTGTCCATTCATCCATCCATCATCCATCCACCCATCTATCCATCCACCCATCCATCCATCATCCATTCATCCATCTATCCATCTGTCCATCCATCATCCATCCATCCATCCATCATCCAGCCAGCCATCCATCCACCCATCTATCCATCCATCATCCAGCCAGCCAGCAAGCCATCCGTCCATCTATCATCCATCCATCCATCCATCCATCTGTCCGTGCATCCATCCATCCATCCGTCCATCCATCCATCATCCATCCATCCATCTGTCCATCCATCATCCATCCATCATCCATCAATCATCCATCCATCCATCCATCCATCTGTCCATGCATCCATCATCCATCCATCCATCCATCCATCCGTCCGTCCGTCCATCCATCCGTCCATCCGTCCATCATCCATCCATCCATCTGTCCATCCGTCCATCATCCATCCATCCATCTGTCCATCCATCCCTCCATCCATCTGTCCATCCATCATCCATCCACTCACCTATACATCCATCCATCATCCATCCATCATCCATCCATCATCTATCCATCCATCCACCTTTCATCCATCATCCATCTATCTATCCATCATCTATTCATTCATTCATCTTTCTATCCATCTATCATTTATCTGTTCATTCATCTATCTTTCTATCCCTCATCCATCTATCCATCCCTCTTCTATCTATCTACCCATCCACCCATCCATCCATCCATCCATCCACCTTTCATCCACTTATCATCCATCGACCATAGCTGTTCTCAACCAAAGGTGATTCTGACCCCCAGTGGACACTCCACAATGCCTGGACACATTTCTGTCTGACACAACTTGGGGGCGGGGATGCTTGCTGCTAGCAGGGAACAGTTGGAGACCTATCCTCCAGGATCTCAGAAGGAACTGTACTTGGAGACGGGTTCTTAAACAGGTGATTTAGGTAAAATGAGGTCACTAGGGTGGCCCTGATCCCATAGGACTTAAGTCCTCATAAGAAGAGAGGAGGACACACACTCACACAGAGGGATGCCCATGTGAGGACACGAAGCAGACAGCTGTCTGCACGCCCAGGAGAGAGGCCTCCGGAGGAACTAACCTGCCCACACCTGGGTCTCAGCCTCCAGTCTCCAGGACTGTAGAAATCAATGTCTCTGTGGCTCTTTGTTATGACAACCTTTCAAGCCAACTGATACAATAAGATTCCCACCTGGGAACATACCTGCGTTGACTAATTGATTCTTCTGTGGATGGACTGGCTCTGTGTTGGGTCTTACCAAACAGCCATGCCATGCACAGGCCTGTGTGTTCTTCGTAGACACGTGTGTGTACATGCTGGGTCATGGGGCGTGCCTGCCTGTCGCTCACACAGACGCTTGCAAACAAACTTCCAGAGGGGTTATGTCACCCCGCACGTTTGAGGAGTTCCAGTTTCTCCACGATCTTGTCAATATGCTGTTGTCTACCTTCCTCAATGCAGTTGCTCTGCTGGGCGTATGTCGGTATCATTGGGGCGGGGGGATAATTATATTTTAAGTCATGTCACCGGTTCCTCTCACTGTATATCCTTTGGACTGTGGGGAACATGACCCTTTTCCCCTCAGACCAACAGTAGTCACATGGCCTGGGCTACAATGTTGCCATAGCGGCTACAGGAACTCACCTGACCTTGGAGGCCCTACTACAAGCCAATCTGTTTCCTTGTGTTTCTGCAGATGCAAAGTATAACACTAAGCTATTTCCCCTGCTTGTGTGGCTCAGCGGTTAGAGCGTCGGCCCGCGGACCAGAGAGTCCCGGGTTCGGTTCCCGCTAAGGGCACGGACCTCGGTTGCCGTTTGTCCCCGGCCCCCGTTGGGGTCGTGTGGGTGGCGACCAGTTGATGTGTCTCTCTCACATCAATGTTTCTCTCTCTTCCTCCCTCTCTATCTGAAGATAAATGCGAGGGTATCCTCAGGTGAGGATTAAAAAAACCCCACAAAATCCCAAGGTATGAGCAGGGTGGCTTCTCTTTCAAAGGAGGCACATTCCTTGGCTTGAGGCTGCTTCTTCCATCACCAACGTGCATTCTTCCAACTCCTCCCATCCCCCCATCCCCTTCACTGCCTTTCACTCTCCTGCTTCCGAGCTGTGCGGACTCTGGTAATGACCTGGACCGTCCAGCATAAGCTCCCCACCCCCAGGTCGTCACCTTCATCACATCCTCAACTCCCCTCGGCCACGCGCGGAGACGTTCCCTGATTCTGGGCGTTAAAATGTGACATCATTCGGGGGCATGAATGAGCCTCCGACACCTTCCCAGAGCTCGCTTAGATTCTCGACTTCATGTCAACACTGACGCACATGTTTAAACAACTAAACAGACACCACCGTGCGCTCTCACCAGACAGTTTCAGAACTTCCCGTTGTCACGACTATGTTCCCATATGGTATGAAACGCAGCACGTCTGCGATGGCAAGACCAGACACGGCAGACGATGTTCTCACGGTTCTCCTGGTAGCTCGGCCGTCACTAACCGATTACTGGAAACAGTACCTGAGCGGAGGACAGGGACCTGCCCTTTTCTGGGCCGTGCCCACGCCACCCACCTGATCTGAAAGAGTGTCTCCCGGTCAGGAACGCAGCCCTGCTCGGGGTGCAGAGGGGGGCAGCCGCCAGGTGTTGGGTGAGCCGCACGCCTTCCTGTGCAAGCCGGTCGATGTTGGGCGTCCTGAGCAAAGCACACACAGGTCCCTCTCAGGAAGGGGACGAGCACCCCGCCTCGGCCCGCCTTTGCATTGACAAGCATCCGCAAGGAACCTTATGTGGAAACGGGGTCTCTGCAGACAGGGTCCGTGAAGGACCTGAGCGGAGGCCGTCCAGGGTCAGGGGGGCCTCAGTCCAATGACAGGTCCTTGGAAGAGACAGAAGAGGAGACGCAGACACAGAGGAGAAGCCCCGTGGGGACAGAGGGGAGACGGGAGGGACGCCTGGAGCCCAGGAGCCGGAAGAGGCCAGAAGGACCCTCCTGGAGCCTCGGAGGGAGTGCGGCCCTGGACACCCCGTCTCAGACGCCCCTAGTCCTAGAACTTGGAGGCTGAATGCTTGTGTTAAGCTCCCCATTTGTGGTCATTTGTTAACGTAGCCCAAGGAACCATGCACCCAGCCACCCCAGTTCCCTGCTGTGGGAAAGGTGGAGGACTCTCTTTTCCCTAGAAAACTAGTTTTTCGGTGTTGAGATCTGATGTCACCAGCAATTTCTTCCTTTGTACACACAGGTTTTGCAGGCATCCCTCAGCCAAACACACACACACACACACACAGACTCACGGAGCCCACACGTACACGGTACCTCAGTGTATTATTCCCATAGCAACCGAGGTCCCCAATGCCGAGATCATCTGCCATTAGGAGGAGAATATTTGGTTTCCGGGCATCGGCTGCTTTTAATTCGCCAGAGCTCAGAAGCAAACCCACAGTGACTAGGAGCGGCCAACAGTCCCTGGAGGGGAAGCAGGCAGCAGAAATGAAGGTCTAGACGCACAAGGGAAAGTCCCCGTCTCCAAGCAGCTCGCCGGGAAGGCAAATGACTTTCCACTACATTGGCATTTAACAAGGGCTCTGTGTGGTTCCTTTCGCCCCAGGGGCGCGGCCCAAAGCTGGAATGAACACCCTGTGCCCAACTCAAGTTTCATGGCGAACCCAGGCTCCTCCTTCGCACCGCTGTGGAATGACGACTCCACGGTGCAGGTCTCACCAAAGGCTGGGCTGGGAGGTGGAGCGCTCGCCTCCGCGGTCGGCGCCTCCCTTTCCGGGGGCGGAGACGCCCAGGGTCCCCGGAGTTCCGCCTGCGCCCAGATGGAGGCGCGCCCCGGCCGGTGGGGGCGCAGGGACGCTGATGGGTTAAAAGGATGAGACTGAAAACACCCCAGACAGGACCCAGGGGTACGGCACAGCTGTTTTGACCACATCGCTTCCGCGCGGATTTGGAAGACCGGGCGCTGGCGCCTCAGGACGCACAGGGAACGTGCGTAAAGGGACTTGGAGCGAACCGGGCGGATCCCGGGCTCTGTCCGCCTTGCCGCCCGCACGACACCGCGCCAGGGTGGCCCTGATCCTCATTCCCGGGCTCTGGGCTGTAAGCTGCGGCCTGTCCTGGGGTCCCCAGCAGGCTCCCCGATGCTGTCCGCATTCCCCGATTCCGCCCGGGTGCGACAGGCTTTCGGAGACCCAGGGGGCAAGACGGCTGTGCTGCGGAGGGATACAGACTGGGGCGTGGCCGGACAACTGGGGGCTCGGTCGAGTGGAGGGCACGAGGCCAGAGGGGGACAGGGGGGCACAAAGCGGGCCGGGGTGCGGATCAGCGTTGGGCGCGGGGGAGCGCGCGTGGCGGGAGAGTGTTGGAAGGAAGTCAGGCTGCGTTCGGGAGATGAGAGGAGCAGCCACGAGGGCGTGTTTTAGGCTGTGGGGCTCGGGGAAGCCCAGGGGGTTGCACCCGAAGTGTCTTGGACGGTGGGTGTGGGGCGGTGACCCGGCCGCGTCAGGAGGGGCCATGGAGGCGTGTCTTCGAGAGTTGGGAGGACCTAGCCCGGCCTTTCTCTAATTTTCTCCGCTTTCCTTAATCCCTCCCCTTTCCCCTTCTCCTTTCTCTCCCTTCTCCTGACCCCGTGTGGCGGGGAGTGGGGGGGCATTGTCGCCACCCCGGGTCTTTTGTGCCGCGTCCCAAAGCAAACCGCGAGCTGTGTATCGGGGAATTGTAGGCGCGCGCGCCGCTCTCTTTCCGGGGAACCCACGCTCGCCCGGGGCTCCCCTCCCGGCTGTCTCCTCCACCTCCACCCTGTGCCCCCAGCCTCGGCCCGAGGGGGGGCTGCGTCCCAGGGTCCCGCGCACCTGGCGGCCGGTGTGACGCATCCGAGCTGCACCCTCTGTCCCATGGCGGAGGCAGCGGGACGCAGGGACCTTGTCCCGAGCGCTCCGAACCAGAGTCCCGCCCACCGAGCTGTGAACTCTGCGTGGTGGGGCCCCTCCCTCCCTAATCTGCTTAATTCTCCTGGGCTTTCTGGGGATTAATCTTTGAAACAAGTTTTTCCTGCGTCCTGTGCGTTCGGAATGGGCTTCCGGGGGAGACTCGCACCAAGGAGGAGCCTTTTACTTGGGGCCGGGCTTGGGCATGGTGACACCATCGCGCCCTTCCCTCGGCCTTGGGACCAAGCACCCTTGTTTGCATCTACGCAAGAGCATTGGGGGTTCCCTGGGGAAACCAGGCATCCAGGAAGTGAGTGCACTATCCGAGGGGTCTGGTTACCAGATTTCTACGCTGTGGCCAAGGGGAGGGTGTGTTCTTGTGTTAAATGTGACCTTCACCCACTGAACTTGACGTTGGGGTCTGCCAGGTGGTCATATTCAGGTCCTGGTTCCCATGAGGTACTCTGGAAAGAGTGCTCTTTCTTTATATTTTTAAAATTAAAACAAATTTTTTTTCTTTATTGATTTTTTTTTTAGAGAGAGAGGGAAAGGGAGAGAGATGGAAACATGGATGAGAGAGAACATGGACTGGCCGCCTCCTGCATGCCCCCCACTGGGGATCAGGCCCACACCCTGGGCCTGTGCCCTGACCGGGAATTGAACCAGCGACCTCTTGGTGCAGGGTCGATGCTCAACCCCTGAGCCACACCGGCTGGATAAGAGTGCTCTCTTTACCTTTCAAATTCAGCTTTGCATCTTTACCAAGTGTACCAGGTGGTCTTTGGGTATCAGTGTTTACCAACAGCTAGGGGCTGGGTGATGGGGAGTGGGATGGGCCGTGCTGAACAGCCTGGGAGTGTTTGATGAAAATGCAGGGTCTGGCCCTGGCCAGTTTGGCTCAGCGGTTAGAGTGTCGGCCTGCGGTCCAGAGAGACCCGGGTTCGGTTCCCGCTAAGGGCATGGACCTCAGTTGCAGTTTGTCCCCGGCCCTGGTTGGGTCGTGTGGGTGGCAGCCACTCGATGTGTCCCTTCTACGTCGATATTTCTCTCTCTCTCTCTCTCTCTCTCTCTCCCTCCCACTCTGTCTGAAAATGGAAAAATGTCCTCAGGTGAGGATAAAAAAAAAAAAAGAAGAAGAAGAAAAAAGAAAATGCAGGGTCTGGAAGTCCGTGGTAAACTCACTGAGGTGGACAATGTCCAGAACTGGGGCCGGAGAGTCTGTCTGCGGGAAACATCTCTGCCTTTTAGCTGGCAGATTTAGTTCGCTTACGTTTATTGGGGTGAAGGTGTCGCTGGATTCATTCCCGGGCAATCTGTACTGCTTCTCTTTCTGTCCTCGTTGTCCGGGGCTGTAAGGACTCTGACATCATGGCCGGACTTTCTGGCTTCAGCCAATTCCACCCCGATGGAGAAAAAGTGGAGGCCGGGGAGTATGTTGTGTAAGAGGCGGAGCAGCAAGGAGGTCTGAGTGGAGGCGATGGAGTCAGATCCGACCCTTTGATGACGTATTCGACGCCGGAGGGGGTCAAGATTCTCCTGAACCACGCAGAGCATAAGCCTTGGGGACACTTGCGACTTTCGTGAGTTTTAGGGGGGGGCAGTGGGAGCTGGTACCCCCAGGAATTCTGTTTGGGGGAGGCTGTGCACACGGGGGAGGAAAGAGGCATTGACTTTAAAGACAAGTACCGTCGGGTTTCAGTCACGTGGGATCTAATGAGCAACAGAAACAGAAACTAGACAGAAACAGAGTCATGGAGACAGAGAACAGACGGACAGCTGTCAGGGGGGAGGGGTTGGGGGATGGGAAGAAGGTGGGGTCATTAAGCAAAGAGAAAACAAGCAAAACTCACAGACACAGACAACAGTGTGGTGATGACCAGAGGGCGGGGACATAGAAGAGGGTAAAAAGGGGGGACACATGGTGACGGAAGGAGACGAGACTTGGGGTGGTGCACACCCAATGCAATACACACCTGCTGGGTTGTAGAACTGTACCCCTGAGACGCGTATGACTTAATTAACCAATGTCACCCCCACGAATGCAATAAAAACTAAAAAAATGAAATGAAGACTGGGAAGACCCCAGAGGCGGGACAGCCGTCAGGGACAAGGTTGAACGGTCCGGGAAGGGACGGGGCCGGGCGCTGGTCCTGAGCAGGTCAGCGGGAGCTAATCACCGGCTCCATGTCCGGCCCACGATGCTGGGCACAAAGCTGGGGTCCCAGGGTGCTTACCGGGCCACTTTTCTCGTTTCCCCCGAAGGGATTGACTTTGGGCAGAATGAGCCAGAAGGGCTGTGTCTCCGACTCGGCCGGCACGAGCCCCATTTCTGGAGGCTGGAGTTTCTCCGTCAGTCCCCCGGGGTGGATGCTTCGAGGACAGTGTGCTCGAGGTTGGGGTCCTTGTCACCCTGGGTCTCAACAGCTGGAGGAGTGACCGTTTCTTGCCTCCCGAGACACAAGGAACCGGTGAGAAGCTAACGCACGGCAGCAGAGACCGCGTTACGGGCTGACTTGTGTCCCCCCAAGTTCTACCCCAGGACCTCAGGATGGGGCTGCATTTGGAGATGCGTCTGCAAAGAGGGGATTTAGGTAAAATGAGGTCACTGGGTGGCCCTGACCCTCATAAGAAGAGGAGGTGAGGACACAGATCACGCAGGGACGACCACGCGAGGACACGGAGCAGACGGCCGTCCACACGCCCAGGAGAGAGGCCTCCGGAGGCACCAGCCCGGTGACACCTTGTGCATGAACGTCCACCCGAGGACGGGGAGAGACAATCGTCTGTGTGTGTGACACTCAGTCTGGGGTGCTTTGCTCTGACCATCCAGGCAGCTGGATAGAGTTTGGGAGGCAGCGTGTGTAGAGAGGTGACGAGGTAGGAGGGGGCTACGCGGTGACCACCTAACACTGACTTGGAAACAGCGTTGAACGTCCGGCTCACTTCCCCAATTCTGGGTTTCCCCAAATCCCGGGGGCGCCGCTCACCCAGGATCCCCCCCTTGGAAACACACCAGCGCCTCGTGACGTTGAAAGGGATACTGAGCCCGTGTTCTTTAATGAGGTCCCAGCCTGTCCCGGTCAAGGGCCTGGGTGACCCTCGGTGACTACAGATCTGTGCGCAGACGTTACCTCGGAACGGGGGCTCCTGAACGGGACGAGGCAGGCTTTCCCGGGGGGCTGGGGCCCTTGGCTGAGGACACCTGCAGCAGGAGGGACGCTGCCGGTCACCTGACTGCAGGGCGTGGACAGCCCTCGGGTGCGTGTTGTTCAGTGGGGTTTGCAGTGACCCCCCACTCTCGTCCCTTCCTTGTTAGAATGGGCCCCTCTTTGGTCCCACAGCAATGGGGGACTAAACTTGACAGGGGCCTCTTATTTTGTCCCTGATGGGGAGGTCCGGGCTGCGGGGACCCGGGGTTCCTGGCAGGCGGCTACGGCCCGTCCCCGTCCCGGGAGCACCAGCAGAGGGGGAACGGCGCACAGCAGGGCTGCAGCCATGGCCTCCAGCTGTTGCTCAGCGTGTCCAGCTGCAGGGACACGGGGCGGAGTGTCCGGCGATGGCCCTCCACGGCCTGTGCCACTCTGGCCATCACGTGGTAAAACGAGGGCTCCGTGTCCGGCGTGAGGGCGTGGGCCTCGGAAGGGTCTCTCGAGAGATCGAAGAGCAGAGGTGGGTCGTGACGCGTCACCGTGTCGCCGGAGCAGGGGCAGACGGCTCTCCCGTAGCAGGCACCTGCGCCTTCGGGGTGAAAGGCGGGCGTCTGGAAGTGCACCTTCCACAGGGCTCCTCCTGGCGGGAGACAAGGACCAGAGGGGTCGGGCAGGTGCTGAAGAACAGCCATGCACATAGTGGAATATTATGCAGCCATGAAAAGGAGTGAGACTATCTCAGGCTACATGTGGATGGACCTGGAACACGGGATGCTCAGCGGGAGAAGCCAGACACCAAAGACCACAGTGTGTGTGGGTCCATTGACATAAAACGTCAAATCCACAGACAGAAAGGGGGTTAGTAGTCGTCAGGGGCTGGGGTTGGGGGTGGTGAGCAATGAGTGGTACATGGGTCGAAGTCTCCTTTTAACGGATGACAATGTTCTGGAGTCAAAAGATGGTGATTGCAACACAACATGGGGAACGTGCTGCATTGTACACCTGAAAATGGTATGTGGAGGTTGCGGATTCAGTGTTGGTGTTCTCGGCCGGTGTTGCTCAGTGGTCTGAGCATCGTCCATGGACTGAGAGGTCCCGGTTCGATTCCCGGTCAGGGCACAGGCCCAGGTTGCATGCTCGGTCCCCAGGAGGGGGCGTGCGGGAGGCGGCCGATCCATGTTTCTCTGTCTCTCTAAAGATCAATAAAAATATATTTAAAGAAAATGTTTGTGTTCTCCCACAAGTTCATGCGCAAATCTCCACCCTTCCGATGGGATGTGTTTGGAGCTGGGGCTTTGGGTGGTGGTTAGGGCTCCCTGAGCTCATAACGGTGCAGCCCTGTGACATGACGTGATTCCTTAGAGGAAGACAGAGACCAGACACCCATCTTCTGGGAGGACCCAGCCAGGGGGCCGCGGTCTCCACCCCAGATGGCGTCCCCCGGGCCCTGACCCCTCTGCCCCCTTGAGCTTGGACTTGCAGCCTCCGGACCTGAGAGAAACCGGAGTCTCCGCCTCTGAGGGTCTTGAGTTCGGTTCCAGCACCCACAGGTGACTGACCCTGAGATCACCGGACAGTCAAGCTCATTTCAAAGAGAGCCAGGGGCTTGCGTGGCGGGGAGCCTCCTGAATGAAGGGTTTCTCCGAGGTCTGAGGGCGCAGGAGGTGTTTGCCATGACATGTTTTGCAAGAGTCTCGGTGGGTGTGAAGGCAGCCAGGAGGGGGAGAGGTCGGAGGGAGGAAGGAAGGAGAAGGACAGAGAGAGGAGGAGGGAGCAGGTGCATCTGAGCAGACCACCCCGAGCGCCTGGGAAGCCTTCCACCTGCAAAGCAGCTGGTGGAGGGAGCTGGACCCCTGGACACACCTTGAAGCAACGCAAACAGAGACTGGGTGACCCCATCCCAGCCATGAAGGGGTCCCGTTGCCTCCCAGCGGTGTTGAGTCACCTGTGACATGCGGACGGAAATTGTTTGGAGGACGAAATGCTGCTGTATCCTCGTTGCAGGTGTATCCTCGTTGAACGTGGGGGGCTGGCGTTGAATTTGCACAAACGTGCCGAGGGCAAAGAGGCGCTCGAGAAAGTCTTAAGGAGGGGAGACGAGCCGGAGAATGGGGAACCGACACAGAAATACGGGACTGTGGAGTCCTAACCCTGGAGAGGAAATCCAGCCGTCCAGCGGGTGTGTGTCTAGGGTGTGGACTGGGGGGCCCGTGCTGCTCCAGGCAGCCTTGCTGAGCAGGTGAGGTTGGACTCAGGAGGTAACCGTCAAGAATGAGCTGGTCACCTTGTGAATCGGTCCTCAAAGAGGGGTCGGGTCAGGGCGGCTGGTGCAAAGGCCCTGAGGCAGGATCTGGCTGAGTGTGTCCAAGCGTCAGGGCGCTCAGCTCACATTGACCTTGCAGACGGGGGGATCCCATGGTCAGGATCGAGGTCCTGAGCAGGGAGGCGCTGTCTCAGGACGGATTTGCACTCCTTGTGCCATGTGGGTGGTCTGGGAAGGTGTCCCACAGGGCACTTAAGGGACAACAAATGTACAATAAAAATGGGGACCTAACATGACCCGTTAGGGTGACGCCAAAGAGGCACAGGCTACGGAACGTACCTTCCCCAGGGAGCTACCTTGAAAATAAACAAAAACGTAGCACCACACCCAAGAGATGAGAGGTGAGTAGCGGGAACCAGGGATCAAAGAAAGACAGTGACTCCGAGCCCGGTTTTCTGAGGGGCCCGCGTACCCCGTTGTCGGTTGAGTTATGAAGTCATACGTGGAATATTGTGCCATTGAACGTGTGTGTGTGTGTGTTTAAAGACTACACTGAAGGGGGAAATGTGTATCACATAATTTTAAACATGGAGCAGTCCACATTATACTAATATTGAAGAAGATGTATGGACAGGAGGGAGGTAAAATAATCTATGGTCACTTCCGTAAACACAGGAGATTCCAACTGTCGTGGTGACAGCAAGTGGACACGTCGAGGGGATGCGTTTGAGGAGGGAAGAAATGACCGTGAGGGAAATAGCAAGGGGGATACAGACATCCCCGAACCCTGGGAAAAGCAAGAATCAACAACACCAACTCTGTCCAACAAATCCCGAGAGGAGGAGACACCATCGAGGAAAGGCAGAGTCAGAGGCAAATACAAATGAAATGAGACTCGAAGAGGTCATGCTGGCTCATCACAGGAAGGCAGGAGGAGACATCGGTCACTTACAAAATGAAAGAATATTGTTGGTAAGTCAACCCCAAAGGTGGACATGGAAAAATGACGGCGAGGCCCGGCCGGTGTGGCTCAGTGGACTGAGCGTCGTCCATGGACTGAGAGGTCGGGGTTCGATTCCCGGTCAGGGCACAGGCCCGGGGTGCGGGCTCGATCCCCAGGAGGGGGCGTGCAGGAGGCAGCCAGTCGATGTTTCTCTCATCAATATTTTTCTCTCTCCCTCTGTCTTTTTTTTTTTTTTTTTTTTGGTACGTGCCCCTAGCGGGAACCGAACCCGGGACTCTCTGGTCTGCAGGCCGATGCTCCAACCTCTGAGCCAAACCGGCCAGGGCCCTTCCAATGTCTTTAAGAAATCAATAAACTAGTGTTTAAAAAAACATTTCTAAAAACAGAAAACCTTTATAAACTCCTGTTGGGTGTATGACGGAGACCGGAGAGGAAAATACAGCCGCACCACAAACACAGTGACATGACTTGTTAAGGGATTCAAGCGCCTGTCGAAATGGATACTTTTTTTACATAAAAGAACCTGGGACACGGAATATGTTTCCACTGGGGAAAAGTCCACGTTGTAAACATATCAGTTTCCCCGGAGGTCAAGGCTACAATGACCAAGGACTCTTCCTATGCTCATGGGATAAAAAACAAACAAACAAACAAACAAAACCTTGCAAGTAATGTTACAGGCCGTTTGAAAAGACTGTGGATCCAAAGAGCCTGGAACACTCTGAACTGAAAAAGGCATTTGGTAAGCACGTTGCTGCTCAGATTGCAAAGGTATTGTTATTTTATTTTTTTATTTTTTTATCCTCACCCAAGGATATTGTTTCATTTTTTGTTCAGACAGAGCGGGAGGAACAGAGAGAGAGAGAGAGAGAAACATCGACGTGAAAGGGACACATCGAGTGGCTGCCACCCGCACGACCCACCAGGGCCGGGGACAAACTGCAACTGAGGTACGTGCCCTTAGCGGGAACCGAACCCGGGTCTCTCTGGACCGCAGGCCGACGCTCTAATCGCTGAGCCAAACTGGCCAGGGCTGTTATTATTTTTTTAAAAATTTTATTTTCTTTATTGATTTTAGAGAGAGAGAGAGAAACATCGACGGGAAAGGGACACATCGAGTGGCTGCCACCCGCACGACCTCAACCAGGGCCGGGGACAAACTGCAACCGAGGTACGTGCCCTTAGCGGGAACCGAACCCGGGTCTCTCTGGACCACAGGCTGACGCTCTAATTGCTGAGCCAAACCGGCCAGGGCTGTTATTATTATTTAAAAAAAAAAAATTATTTATTGATTTTAGAGAGAGGGGAAGAGAGAGAGAGAGAGAGAGAAACATCGATGAGAGAGAACATCGACGGGCCGCCTCCTGCACGCCCCCCACTGGGGATCAGGCCCACAACCTGGGCAGTGTCCTGACCGGGAATCGAACTGGGGACCTCCTGGTACAAGGTCGACGCTCAACCAGCAAGTCACAGTGGCCGGACAAAGGTGTCATTATTATGCAAAGAAGAAGTTGTGTCCTCCAGCGAATGCAGTTAAACCAGGAGGAAAACAACACAGGTAAGAAGAAAAGACTTGCAGGGTTGGACACAGGCTTGGACACTTTGTGCACCGGCCAGTGTGTGCGTGTGCATGTACGTGTGTGTGTGTGCAGAGAAAATCCACTACCTCAAGACCCAAGTGTAAGAACGAACCTCCTTCCCATAAGGAAGACTTGATTGCAGCTGGGAGATGTCTCCGGCATGAGAGAAAAATGCCAACAAGGACATAATCACGGAGCCCGCGCGGTAATAGCCCCAAGCTGCCCGCAGAAGCCGCCGCCCTGTCCCCGCCCCCACCGCCTACTCACGGTCCTGCTGAAACCACCGGGCTGCGTGCAGGAAGCTCTCACAGTAATGCAGCAGGACGTCGTGCTGGGCGTGCGGGGCCGTCCCCCGCAGCAGGGGCAGGAGGTCCAGGCCGTCTATCACCCTGCAGACAACCGAGACTCAGGGGTACAGGCGTGCGGATGGAGAGCGCCCCAGAGCCTTCCGAGCCGGGGGACGCCGTGGGGCAGCCACCCACCTGCTCGCCCACCAATCCCACCTGGGTCTGTAAGCTCACCGAGGGCCCGCTGGTGTCGGGTACTGTCCACGGGACCTGCTGCGGGGGCAGAAACCAGCTGCCGTGTGTGTGTGTGTGTGTGTGTGTGTTTTAAATGCTGGCCTGGGCTTTCGTCATTCCAGAAAAGCTGTATTTTTCCAGCAAGACTTGGACCCATTTCTTTCTCTGCAGAACGCCCGGGCCTCACCTCCCATGTCATCTCTTCCCTGAATGCATGGTCTCGTTTCCAAGGCCCGGCTCCGCGCCCTTGACAGAGACGTCTCGGGGAGCGGGTCCCTTGCAACACCCTTGTCAGCGGAAAGAATAAACCTGCAGCCAGAAATCTGCTCATTGCGTTCCCCTCGCACACGGCGGGCAGCCGGGACGGGAAATGTGTGTGTGAGATCCTGTGACTTGGCGGCTGGCTCCCTGCACAGAGGACGTCTGCTCATGGCAGCAGGCGGTCAGCGTGTCACGCAAGGTAACGCGATGGCTTTCTGGAAAAGGAACCCTCCTGAAAGACCTTTGAATTACTGGGGAAACGTGTCAAGATCTGTGTGTCTAAGTATTATTATAAATATAGACGATATGTTTGTAGAAGCACCGTGCACAGCCATAAAGTGGATTTTACTCTATGAATAAATGTTTTTGGCCGAGTTAGATAATTTAAAACCCTAAGTAGATTTTGCTTGGACAGCAAAAAATGAACTAAAACTATATATACAATTATATACACGTAATATTTTTATATGTATACTAATAATTATATAACATATAATTACATAATATGGAATTTATTATATATAATATATAATATATTAGATATGATATATTAGAAGATATTTAATACATGTTATATATTTATAGTATATTATATAATATTTATATTCTTTTATTATAGTCATGTATATAATATATAACAAAATGTGTGTATACATACATTATATATAGTTTACATATAGTTATATATAAGTAGAATCATATATATCTATATATGTATATATTTTGTATATAATACATAATATAACAAAAATGTGTGTATATACATGTATATAGTTTACATATAGTTATATGTAAATAAAATTATGTATATAACTATATATGTGTATATATAATACATAATATAACAAAAATGTGTGTATATACATATATAGTTTATATATAGTTATATGTAAATAAAACTATGTATATAACTATATATAGTATATATATATAATACATAATATAACAAAAATGTGTGTATATACACATATATCATTTCCCCCCCCCAAGTATGTATATTTGTAGACGTATACACACGCTTATGTACGTTTAATATATGTCAGCACTATATGGCTGAATTTGTTTTGTTTTCGAGGGAAACACACCTGTCCTGTACAGAACAGACACATGATTTTTTTTACAACATGTAAGAGAATATAAATGAATTTAAAAATGAACTTCCAGTTAGAAAAACAGCCCGCAGCCCCCAGAGACGTGGACTCCAACGAGAGTAAACAGAGGACTTATTCAAAGGAAATACTGAAGTCTCAGGTGAGAAGCGACCGGAGTTATAACACCCCCTTGTATGTGTGCGCACAGGCATGACTTAGTTATAGATGTAAAATGGTTATACGAATAAATAAATTGCATATACATCCATATTAACTTACATTGATTTTAGTTTTGTTAGTTAAAAAAACCCCACCAAAACAGATACTCTCACAGAGATCTGGGAGAAAATCATCGGATACAATGTATCCAAAGATTTGCCTGTAAACAAGCCTACTCTTTGACCCAGAAATTCCAGGCCTAGTGGTTTTTACTAAGGAGGTAATTATGACAGGCAGGAAAATGACAAGGCAGAATTTTGTCAAAACAACAAAGCAAAAGCAAAAAAACCAAGGCTGATGCCTGCATAGAAGCCATTCATTTTTTTTTGGTCTATGCACGAAGATTTTTTATATATATATGTGTGTGTATATATATATATATATATATATATGTGTGTGTGTATATATATATGTGTGTGTATATATATGTATAAATTTATAAAAATCGAATGCATAGCCCTGGCCGGTTTGGCTCAGCAGTTGGAGCCTCGGCCTGCGGTCCGGAGAGACCCGGGTTCGGTTCCCGCGAAGGGCATGTATCTCGGTTGCAGTTTGTCCCCGGCCCTGGTTGGTCGTGCGGGTGGCAGCCACTCGATGTGTCCCTTTCACGTCGATGTTTCTCTCTCTCTCTCTTCCTCTCTCTCCCTCCCGCTCTAGCTGAACAAAAAATGGAAAAGTGTCCTCGGGTGAGGATCAAAAAAAAAAAAAAATCGAATGCATAAATCGATCAAATAATATATAAGTGTATATAAAGAATATATACAATATATATATAATGTAATATCGAGTATATAAGTATATTATACATGTATTGTATAATTCAATTAAGTGTTCATTTCCAGGCTGTTAAGGGCACGTACCTGGGTTGCGGTTGGATCCCCAGCCCGGTCCCCACTTAACCGCCAGAAGGGAAATACACCTCCACTTTGCACAAAATGAAGCAGACATTTGATCCCAGCGGAGAATGACAGGGACCTGCAGTCTGTATCCAGATTTACAGAGACGGTGACACTACATCAACATGCATCTGTGCAAAGGTGAGTTCTGTTTCTTGGGATGCTCCCTACCTGTCCTGGGGCACCTCGCCGCCTCCCAGCCGGACCACGGTGGGGAACACATCCATCAGGCTGGTGGGCTCATGGACCTCCCGGCCGGCGGGCAGCACCCCTGGCCACCGGAATATCCCGGGGACACGGATCCCGCCTTCCCAGCCTCCCATGCCTTTTCCTCCTGTGTTTACACACGAACAGAAAACGGTATGGTTAAAATTCAGATGTGCTTGCTGAACCGTGGTGACGTACACTTTCTGCTTGTTTTTAAACTAACGCTCCCTTTCTCTCTCCTTTTCCTCTCCGCCACCCCATCTCTCTCTCTGTCTCTCTCTCCTTAAGTCCTTTGCCAGCAGAGGGTACGTTGAGCAGGTTTGCTCCTCTGCCCGGTCACCTTCCCGGTCACCCGTGGATAGACACCAACTTCGTTAAAGCTTCTCCGTGATGAGACGAATTCTTCAAGACCCATTCATTGTGCTGGGGAAACCAGAATCTTCTATCTCAGAGTGTTTTTATTTTTATTGATTGATTTTTAGAGAGAGGGAGGAGACATGCTCGTGGGGCGATGGACCGTCAGGTTTAAAAAGGGCCGTATGGCCCTGGCCGGTTTGGCTCAGCGGTTAGAGCGTCGGCCTGCGGTCCAGAGAGACCCGGGTTCGGTTCCCGCTAAGGGCACGTACCTCGATTGCAGTTTGTCCCCGGCCCTGGTTGGGTCGTGCGGGTGGCAGCCAGTGGATGTGTCCCTTTCATGTCGATGTTGCTCTCTCTCTCTCTCTCTCTCTCTCTCTCCCGCTCTATCGGAACAAACAAAAAACAAGCAAACAAACAAAAGGGCCGTGTTGCCCTGGCCGGTTTGGCTTAGCAGTTAGAGCGTCGGGCTGTGGACCCCAGAGTCGTGGGTTTGATTCCAGTCAAGGGCACATACCCCAGGTGTAGGTTTTCCCAGCCCTGGTCATGGTCGTGTGGGAAGCCAATCGACGTGTCTCTCTCACATCGATGCTTCTCTCTCTCTCCCTCCCTCCCACTCTATCTGAAAATCAATGGAAAAATATCCTCGGGTGAGAATTAAAAATATTAATAATAATAATAAAAAGTACCATAAGAAGGGGTACATTTCTGACCCCCCACCCATAGCTCGGCAGACAACACGGGTTGAAGAAACAGAGCCACGGGCGAAAGGGATTCTGAACAATGAGACTCCCAAAGTGAGGCTTTCAAAGACGGTCAAGTATTTCATTTCCATATTTATATGTTATATTCCCTTTATAGATGCAACAGGCTGATGCATGTTAAACACATAGCCAGCGTTAGACTAAACAAATGCACTGTTATTTAAAAAACAACAACAACAAAAACAAACACTAAACCTTCTAAATTAAAGAAGTGTTGAGCCCCATCATGTTGGCCAGCCTGTTTTTCAATCTTGTGATACATCAAGTGATGCTGTGTTCAGAATCAGTGGGCTCCAAATTTTTTTGTTTTTGTATGTGCCCCTAGCAGGAACCGAACCCGGGACTCTCTGGTCCACAGGCTGACGCTCCAACCGCTGAGCCAAACCAGCCAGGGCTGGATTCCGAATTTGAATCAGATGCCCATTCTCCCTGAATGCATTGCCTGATGTTAAAACCAAGCCTGAGCTCAGTAGCAGACGGATGGACACGCAAAATGTGGTCTGGTTGTACAACGGACTATTACACAGCCATGAAAAAGCAATGGCGTGTAGAGACGACATGGATGGACCTAAAACGTTACACTGAGGAAAAACAGACCGTCACAAAGGATCACATATCGAATGACTCCATTTACATGAAATGCTCAGAGAGAGAAAATAGAGAGAGAGAGAAATGAGTCAGTAGTTGCGGCGCTGGGGGCAGGGAAAAGTGAGACATGGTTACCAATGGGTACCTGGCTTTCTTTCTAAGCTGATGCAAATGTTTGTTCATTAAGTCACGGTGATGGTTGTGCAATTCTGTGAATAGGCTACAGACTATCAATAGTGCAGACAAGAATTAAAGCTGGACATGAGAAATGGTCGTTTCTGCCCTCGACAGAAAAGTGGACTCCTTGGCCAGCAGTGTTTGCTAGCGCGCTCTCTCTCTCTCTCTCTCTCTCTCTCTCTCTCTCTCTTTATTGATTTAAAGAGAGAGGAAGGGAGACGGAGAGATGGAAACATGGATGAGAGAGAACATCGACGGGCCGCCTCCTGCACGCCCCCCACTGGGGATGGGCCCACAACCTGGGCATGTGCCCTGACCGGGAATCGAACCAGCGACCTCTTGGTGCAGGGTAGACGCTCAGCCACTGAGCCACAGGAGCCGGGCTGCTAACTCTCTTGAGGTAGATGTCCCCATGGCCGTGGCAGGGTTGGGTACCATAAGGACGATCACAGACAAAGGTCGGGGGGTTGGGCACGCTTACCTTTATAAATCCCATTCCAGCCGCCATACTGGTGGTTCCCCTGCCGAGCCTCTAAGGATCCCCCATGATCCGACGTGAAATAAACGAGGGTGCTGTTGGTCAGACCTTCTGTGTCCAAAGTATCCAGGATCTGCCCTGAAAAAAATGGGTGCATTGGAGCCAGTCAGAATAGAACACAATCTTCAACCAAATCATTCACCATGTGCTTTAAGCATTTTGGACCAACCCTCAGCCCTGCACCAAGAGGTCACCGGTTCGATTCCCAGTCAGGGCACGTGCCCAAGTTGTGGGCCCGATCCCCAGTGGGGGGCGTGCAGGAGGCGGCCCGTCGATGTTCTCTCTCATCGATGTTTCTATCTCTCCCTCTCTCTTCCTTTCTTTCTCTAATATCAATAAAGAAAAAAATTAAATAAAGTACATTGGGCATGAACAGTAGTATAGCTGAGCCATTCTGAGCATGCTTGATTTAAAATTGACACGTCTTTCTATAAACCCCAATCTGTTCACAGAAAACGTTTAGGCAAGGTACAAAGGTATATGCTACAGAGGATAAAATAGTAAACACTTAAAAATGAGACCAAAGAAGATTGCAAAAAAAAGATAAAGACCAGGAAGGTCTAGGAAGGAGGCTGATCATGGTATCGGCCATGGATGTCCATGGGTGACGAACAGTCATAAATGGTGACTCTAAGTTTCTTAAAGTTACACAAAAGACATCTGCACCCCCAGGTTCATCGCTGTATTGTTCACTATCCCAAGGCATGGAAACAAACTAAGTGTCCATCAGTGGACGACTGGGTAAAGAAACTGTGGTATGTCCATATAGTGGAATAATACTCAGCCGTGAAAAGGAAGGAAATCCACCCAAAGGACTTCCAAAGAGGAAAGTCATCCCATTTAAGATTATCAAACACAGCCCCGCCGCTGTGGCTCAGTGGATAGAGCATCAGCTCATGGACTGAGAGGTCCCGGTTCAATTCCCGGTCAGGGCACATGCCCATGTTTTGGGTTCAATCCCCAGTAGGGGGCGTGCAGGAGGTAGCTGATCTATCGCTGTTTCTCTCTCATCGATGAACTTAATGGGCTTCTTAGTCTATATGGTACAATTTCAGTCTTTTTCATTCAGTAAGTATCAGATTACATACATCTGCATTTATTCATTTGAATTTTTCCCCCCCAAAATATGACATTGTGCATTCAATTTTAAAAACACAATATCAGTTACTTTATTTCGTTGATTGCATTCCACGTATAAGTGAGATTATATGGTATTTGTCTTTCTCTGACTGGTTTATTTCAGTCTGCATAATATTCTCCAGGTCTCTCTATGCTGTCTGAAAGGGTAAGAGAGCTTCCTTTTTTACAGTTGCGTAGTATTCCACTGTGTAGATGTACCACTGCTTTTTTTTTTATCTACTTATCTACTGATGGGCACTTGGGCTCTTTCTAGCTCTTAGAAACAGTGCTGCTGTGAACATAGGGGAGCATATATTCTTCATGATTGGTGATTTGTGATTCTGAAGATATATTCCCAGGGGTAGAATTCCTGCATCATGACAACAGTGTGGTGGTTGTCAAAGGGAAGGGGCAGGGCAGGTAGAAGAGGGTAAAGGTGGGATAAATGGTGATGGAAGGAGACTTAACTTGGGGTGGTGAGCACATAATACAATAGACAGGTGAAGTCTGATAAAATTGTGCCCCAGAAACCTACGTAATTTTATTAACCAATGTCACCTCAATAAATTCAACACCACCACCTGCAGACATCGACATCACATAAAATTGACTCGATTTTCCAATGATTCTTAACCTTTTCCCCCCAAGGACACCTAGTGGCAAAGATGAGTGAATTGTTGTGAAATGAACTGGTTCTTTGCAATAATCTCCGAATTTCTTCTGAAATGAATGTGGTCAGGCCCACTGGAGAAGGGTTGTGAGATGAATGTTCTCCAACTTCTATCATTTTCTCTAAACAGTTCACCCAAATTGCACATTGTACTCTGAGATGATGTTTTCAGAATATTTAAAAAAAAAAAAAAATTCCCCTTAAAATATCTGATTCCAAGATTTTGCAGCTTCTGACCCCATAAACAAGACAGTTGAAATGAAGATGTACGGGTACGGTGTAGGCCTTGAGAACCTCTACATTTAACGAGATCATGCTGCTTAGGGCTGTGTCTTCTGTGTTTACCCTTAATTAGTCTCCTCTTGTCATTCGTTTTTTTCTTCACATTAAAAAAAATTATTGTTGAAGGTATTACAGATGTTCCCCTCTTCCCTCCTATTGACGCCCTTGACCGGCTCCCATCCCCCCCAGAACTTCACCGCACTATTGTCTGTGTCCATTGGTTGTGCATATCTGCATGCAAGTTCTTTGGTTTATCTCTTCTCGAACCCGCCCCTTCCCTCTGAGATTCATCAGTCCATTCCTTACTTCCATGTCTATGGTCCTATTTTGTTTGTGAATTTATTCTGCTCAAGAGATTCCTCATATTAGTGAGATCATGTGATACTTGTCTTTCTCGGACTGACTTATTTCTCTTAGCATAACAATCTCTAGGTCCACCCGCCAGCAATCCCATTTCTGGGAATACATTCACAGAATCATGAAACACCAATCAGAAAGAGTATATGTACCCCTATGTTCATAGCAGCACTATTTACAGTTGCTAAGATCTGGAAATAGCCCAAGTGTCCATCAGTAGATGAGTGGATAAAAAGCTGTGGTACATCTACACAGTGGAATACTATGCAGCTGTGAAAAGGGAAGATCTCTTACCCTCTGAGACGACATGGACAGACCTCTTCTCATTCTTTATGTCCCTTTCTCCTGCTGGACAAGGAACCAGCAAGTTGTACCAGGCGGAGTCACTCACCCACCATCCAATCCATCTCCTGTACATTGTCCCCATACAGCCCATGGAGGCTTTTCCCAAGGAAATTCTCGGTAGTCACTAGAGGGATGTGGACGTGTAGAAAAGACACAAAGAGAAGAAAAGGTCCTTGCTGGTTCCTAAAAATAAATACAATGGGACCAGAATTAATCTTTCCAGCAAAACAGAAACAGAAGTCCATAGAGATATTAAAAAAAACACAAAAAACATCGAAATTGTCACATCATTACTCAAATATGTGTCTTTGGTACTCAACCCACCAGGAACTAATGTGTAGAACTCATGACAGAGGACTGTCATTGTGTTTAAGAATTTTTTTTTTTTAAATATGTTTTTATTGATTTTTTAGCGAGAGGCAGAAACATCGATGAGAGAGAAACATCGACAGATCAGCTACCTCCTGCACGCCCCCTACTGGGGATTGAACCCAAAACATGGGCATGTGCCCTGACCGGGAATTGAACCGGGACCTCTCAGTCCATGAGCTGATGCTCTATCCACTGAGCCACACCAGCGGGGCTGTGTTTGATAATCTTAAATGGGATGACTTTCCTCTTTGGAAGTCTGTTGAAAAATCAACACTGGTTTTCTACATCCTTCCTTTCCTGAATATTATTGTTTTCGAACCCAACATCCTTCGGACAACAGAAAATCTAAACCCCGGGGGACTCTGATTGGATGTTTATTTCACACAGTGATTTCTCTCTAGGTTTACACCTCAAACCTTAGCTTATAGGATAAGTGATATTGCATATTCGGTGACATTTAGGACATGACATTGTAATAAAAGGGTATGATTTAATGCTCAGCAAAAGAAGCCCATCAGAGCCCTGGCTGGTTTGGCTCAGCAGTTGGAACATTGGCCTGTGGACCAGAGAGTCCCGGGTTCGATTCCTGCTAAGGGCACGTACAACAGTTGCAGTTTATCCCAGCCCCGTTGGGGTCGTGTGGGTGGCAGCCACTCAATGTGTCTCTCTCACGTCGATGTTTCTCTCTCTCTCTCCCCCCCTTCCTCCCACTCTGTCTGAAGATAAATGCAAAAAAATATACGGTCTCACTTATGTGTGGAATCTAATGAACAAAATAAACTGATGAACAGAACAGAAACGGAGGCACGGATGGAGGGAACAGACTGGCCACTCTTAGAGAGGGGGGAACTGGATGAAAGCAGGTGCTCAGATGGCCCCAAGAACATGTATGTACAGCCCAAGGACACAGACAACAGTGTGGGGGTGGCCAGGGGAGGGGGGGCGGGGGCTGGGTGGACGGGGGACCAAAAGGAGGGACATCTGTAATAGTGTCAACAATAAAAAGATAGATTCACAATGTGTGATAGGTTGTTCTATTTCTATTTGGTTCTCCCCTATCTAGGAAGGTCCTCATTCAACCTTCTCCTTCTCTGGTCTTTAGGATCGAATTGAGGTACCTTACAGATGTTCTTTCTTTTCTTTTCTTCCCTCCCTTCCTTCCTTCCTTCCTTCCTTCCTTCCTTCCTTCCTTCCTTCCTTCCTTCCTTCCTTCCTTCCTTCCTTTTCTTTCCTTCCTTTCCCTGTAGGACTTAATACTAATTCTTCAAGTGGAGATGGCAACGTGGACAAGTGAGGCTGCGTGAGGGCCCATGAGACTCACCGGGTTTACTTTGCAAGGGAATCATCCGCTTCCCATCCTACACACACTGGGAAATTGTACCAGGTCCCCTCCAAGAGCTCCGTGGCTGGGAGCGTCCTCCCTGTCCCGCAAGATGGTGAGTTCTATCCCCGCTCAACCAACACGCAAGACTCAACCTTACGTAAATGGAACGACAGATTGCTCCCTCTCTCTCTCTCTGCCTTTCTCTCTCTCTCTAAAATCAAGACATTAAAGAAAAATGGATAAAAAAGGCCTCCCAAAGAATGTTCTAGAACATGATTCCAAGGGCACCATTGCCCCTGGGTGTGGGGTGGTGCCTCCCGATTTACCGGAACACCCATGGAGGGGGGGCACGGAATGGCTGGTCTGTGGGGTCTGGTTTCCCATCACCCTCTTGGGTTGAGCCCATTTACTGATCCGTTGAACACACCCCTAGTCTGAAGTCAGCCACAGGACACCTCGGCCCTGATGCCTGAGCTTTGGACACATCTAGAATCTTCCATCTCGAGGCCTCAGGTGCTTTGTCCAACCGGGCCCATGGCGATTGGGGTGGGGATGGCAGGGGCTACTCCCCACGTCAAAGGAGACAACATCACGTTTCAACAGGGCGGTCACTTGCCTGAATGGACTTCAAGAAGATGAAGGAAACACGCCCACGGGGCCCATTGAACCAAACATGCTTTTCTGGGCTGGGACCATGGTGCCATCTGAACACGCAGGAGAGAAGACGACTTCTGAACGCATCCGCGTGGTGACACCAAACGCTGAGACAGAGCTAACCCTTCCAGGCTCACCTTGTTGTTGGTGTTGTTGGTGGTGGTGGTGGTACGTGCCCTTAGCGGGAACCGAACCCGGGACTCTCAGGTCCGCAGGCCGACGCTCCAACTGCTGAGCCAAAGCGCCCAGGGCCCAGGCTCACCTCTTGACGAAGGACGAGACCTCCTTGAGGATGAGCGCGGTCGTCCTGGCGAACACCATGGGCTGCTCCGTGATGGTGTGGTTCCTCATGAGAAAGCAGTCGGCGTGGACAATCATTGTGCCCACGCAAGACGCCGCCGCCAGGGACAGGACGCACCCGACGGTCAACCCGATGGCCGGCGCCCACGAGACGCTCAGGAGGCGGGTGAGTTTGCCGGCGCTGACCGTGAGGACCGCGAGGGCCAGGACCTGCGCCAGGACGTGCAGCCTGCGCTCCAGGTTGGCGCGCTTCTCCGACATGTCCCAGTGCGCGCAGTCTCCCATCAGGGACAAGGGCATCCCGTAGAAATGGTCGAACCCGTGGTGGAGCGGGTGGTGGCAGTGATCCGTGGAGGATTCGCAGTTGAGACCCAGGTGCCACTTACCTGAAAGGCAAAAACACAGCAGCGTGAGGACCCGCGCGTCGCCCTCGGAGGTGCGCGCGGTGCGCGCTCTTGCGCACGCTCTTCCTTCGGTGCCGGGCGCATGCCGCCAGGCGATGGAGTAGTGTTTGTGGTTGTTTGCACCACACACGGGTCGCATTGATTCAGGGAAAGGCGACCCTGTGTGGCAGCCTTAGCCGGTGTGTTATTTCCTACACTGCTGAGCACAAAATGTTGGGCTTAAAATAACAGGAATTCATGCCCACTCCCCATCCTGTGGACCAGAAGTCAGAGATGGGGTGTCCCAGGGCCGCGCTCCCTCCAGGGCTCCAGGGAGGGTCCTTTCTGCCCCTTCCAGTGTCCTGGGCTCCAGGCGTCCCTGGGCGGGGGCCCGTCCCTCCCGTCTCTCCTCCGTCCCCACGGGGCTTCTCCTCTGTGTCTGCGTCTCCTCTTCTGTCTCTTCCAAGGACCCGTCATTGGACGGAGGCCACCCTGACCAAGGTAACTGCATCTCAGATCCTTCAGTAATCACACCTGCAAAGACCTATTTCCAAAGTCGTCTGAGATGGGGTGTCCCCAGACCACTCTCCCCCCGAGGCTCCAGGGAGGGTCCTTCCGGCGGCCCCCCTGACCCAGGACGGCCTCCTCTCAGGTCCTTCACGAACCCCGTCTGCAGAAACCCTGTTTCCCGATAAGGTTCGGTTCCAGATTTTAACTGCAATCAGCCAACAATGCTTTCTGCTGTTACTGCCCGGGTGTTGATAAGGAGACCTCGTGCGGTTTCATCTCTATGGTGTTTCTCATGCACAGAACCGCATGTGACTTTACAGGCTGTGTCCCATGAGAAGAGACACTTTTGTTTTACGAAATGAGAGTAACTGGTCCTGACCCTGGTGACTCAGTGTTGAGACATCGGCCCGTCCACCGAAGGGCTGAGGGTTCTATTCCCAGTCAAGGGCATGTCCCTGGGTTGCAGGTTCGATTCCCAGCCCGGGTTGGGTGATGAAGGAGGCCACCAAGGGATGCGTCTCTCTCCCATCGATGTTTCTTCCTCTCTCTCCCTTCCTCCCTCCCTTCTACTCTCTATAAAAATTAATGGAAAAGTCCTCCGGGGAGGATTAACAGCAACAAAACCCGATAGCGACTCCACTGGATTTGATAGTCAGCGGAGTAGCTGGTCTTGCTCTTTGTGATCAATAAATCATCAATCATCAAAGTTATTCCTCTAACATCATAAGGATGATGACGACTTGGTCTCCTTTGAAGAAACTATTGCCCTCGATTTTGTTTCATTGTAGGCACGGTCAGTCCGCCTATAGAAAGGTAAACGCGCTGTTTGTGGAAACAGAGAAAGAGACACTAAGCAGACACATTCGTATCCAGAAATGAGAGAGAACAACATTGTGGGGATAGTTGGCGATTTCGTGAAATTAAAAGAATAAAAAAAGTCCCAGCCGAGCGGCTCAGTTGGTTGGAGCATCGTCCCGTACACCAAAGTGTGGCGGGTTCGAGTCCCAGTCGGGGCACATACCTCTGTTGTGGCTTTGATCCTGCTCAGGACACATGAGGGAGGCAATGGATTGATGTTTCTCTCTCTCTGTAGAAAGCAATGAACATATCTTCACATGAGGATTAAAGCAAGAAAGTAAGAAAATAGTTAATGTTTTTGAAATAGAAAAATTGGATTTGTTTAAAGAAAGGGGGATGGGGTGAGAATATCCCCCTTTTTTTATTATTGATTTTAGAGAGAGAGGAAGGGAGAGAGAGATGGAAACATAGATGGGCGAGAACATGGACTGGCCGCCTCCTGCACGCCCCCCACTGGGGATCAGGCCCACAACCTGGGGTTTGAACCGGCGACCTCTTGGTGCAGGGTCGACGCTCCAGCACTGAGCCACACCGGCTGGGCCATTTTTTTGAAAAATCATGGTGATTAGCAAATTGTCTGACACGCTCAATACAACGGCTATTTTTGGGGGTCTACTGTGCACCCCGGCAGCGGGTTCCAACCTTGTTCCCGGCTGCGTGGGACTTTCTGTCTGGCTGAAAACCCCACACATTTCAACCCTTGCTCCCCCAAACCCTTCTCTTTGACTCTACTCTCTGTAGCAAAGCCATGTTCTTTTTTTTTTTCTTTAAACTTATCTTTATTGTTGGATTTTCCCCCACGGATCCCTGCCTTCCCCACACTGATGTCTGTGTCCATTGGTTATGCAAATATACGTATATGTTTCCTGGTTTATTTCCCCCCAAGCCCCCTTCCCTTTAAGGTTCATCAATCTAACAACCAATTTGTACTTCGTAATCCCTTCACCTTTTTCACCCACTTCCCCCCACCCCATCTGGCCACCCACAAAAAGCCCTGTTCTTAAAGCTTGAAAACGCACGTACCTATCAGTCCCGTGGTGTAGCCTCGACCTTGGAGGATCTCCGCAAAGGTTATCTCGTCGGTCGGGAGGCCCCCGGCGACTCCGGTCCACTGGAGGACACGGGAACCGTCACTGGACACCATACCTGGCGGCGATCATTTTCAAAGAAACATTCCCGTCACACGCTGGGGCGTATCATGAACACTTCAGGTTTTTAAACGAACAAGAATACTCTTCTCTTTTCCCGCGACACGGGGCCCTGGGTATTATGTTGTGTTGGTTTCACGTGGACGACCACCGTGTCCTCTGCAAAGTGACCCCCGGTGTGTCCAGCCCCCGCGTGCCCCATGCGTAGTTATTAGAACATTATTGACTCTATTCCCTGTGATGTACACCCCGGGACTATTCTGTCCCTGCCCGTCTGTCCGGCTCAGACCTGTCCCCCTTTCTCCCAGCCCCCCACCGCCGCCCCTCTGACGACCGCAGTCCGTTCTCTGCGTCTGTGAATCTGTTTCCTGTTTGTTGACTGTGTCCGTCAGAGTCCACCTGTGAGTGAAACACACGGTATCTGTCTTTCTGTCTGGTTATTTCCCGGGGTATCGTCCCCCCCAGGTCCACCCGTGTCGTGACAAATGGCGACACTCGAGCGAAGGATCGATGGTTCACGCCTGAATTAGAGGCGTTGAAGGGAGCATGTCCCGGTGGTCAGACAGGAGGACGGACCAACCTGAGCGGACAGGGTACCTGCCCGTCACGAAAGCAGCCCGGCTTGGGGTGCACAGGGCGGCCGCGGCGATGTGCTGGGTGAGCCGCACGCCGTCCCGTGCCAGGCGGTCGATATTGGGCGTCCTGGGAAGAGAAACACGAGTCATTTCATTCCTTAACTAAACGCATGAAAAGAACACGGGTTTTTCCGTCGACACCCGCGGGTCCCCACGGAATTTCTTCTGCACCGTCCGTGAGTCAGACCTCGGGCTGACGTTTTGCAGTGTGTTTGTGCAAGTGAGGTGGCTGGAAGATTCTGCCTGCTGAGCGGTGTGCGTGGATTTGAACTCGGCTCTCCAGGGGTCTCCAGGGACCATTAGCAGGTGAGGAGCTGACTGTAAGGCAGGAGGAGGAGACTGACCGATGGGCTCGTCCTGAGAGGAGGAGGACCTGGACGTGTCTGTCTGAATTGGGGTTAGGCTTAGGGTCGGGGAGTGTTGATATCACACGTGCTGGGCTCTAGAGAGAGACGCTGAACAGGGGCGGTGGGGGTTGGTCTGTGGCTTACAGGCAACAATGATTTAAAAAATGTTGTCTTCATTGGGGGCAAAGGAGGGGGGATGGGGGACATCTGTGACACTGTCAACGGTCAAAAACAACCATTGTCTTCATGGAGCGTGCTGAGGGCAATGGTATTTTAAAATGAAATGACGATGCCATCCACAAATCATCACACAACAAGTGCTGGCGAGGGTGTGGAGAAAAGGGGACTCTAGTGCACTGCTGGTGGGAATGCAGACTGGTGCAGCCACTGTGGAAAACACTATGGTGTTACCTCAAATAACTAAAAATTGATCTGCCATTTGACCCAGTGATCCCACTTCTAGGAATACACCCTAAGAAGCCTGAAACGCCAATCAGAAAGAATATGTGCACCCCCATGTTCATAGCAGCACTATTTACAATAGCTAAGATCTGGAAACAGCCCAAGTGTCCATCAGTAGACAAATGGATAAGAAAGCTGTGGTACATGTACACAGTGGAATACTATGCAGCCATAAAAAAGGAAGATCTCTTAGCCTCTGAGACCACAGGGAAGGACCTGGAGAGTATTGTGCTAAGTGAAATAAGCCAATCAGAGAAAGACAAATACCACATGATCTCACTTATTTGTGGAATATAATGAACAAAGTAAACTGTGGATCAAAAGAGACCCAGAGACATGGAAGTAGGGAGCAGACTGACAAACCTCACAGGGAGGGGGAGGAGGCGCGGGAAGAGATAACCCACAGAACTGATATGCACGTACGCACCCCCCATGGACACAGACATTGGTGCAGGGAGGGGGCTGAGGACCAGGCAGGAGGGTGGCGGTGGGGGAGAAAGGAGAAACAACTGTCACAAAAATAAATGAATGAATTAAAAAAAAGAAACCAATGACTCCCATGAGGGGCCAATTTGAACTGGGGTCACAGCAGACTTGGGAGACGGCGGGATCGGGGTGTGGAAGGCGCGTGCAGAATTCTGTTCAGGTTGGGGAGGCCCCTCTCGAGGGTGGGTGCACCGGCCGTGGTGTCTACAGGGACACAAGACCTGGGCAATTGTGTCCTTGCCTGATTGTGTTGTTGCCATAGCAGCCAACGTCTCCAATGCCGAGGTCATCCGCCATGAGCAGGAGGATGTTGGGACGGGAGCCCGACAAATCCCTGCCGTCCGAGGGCCTCAAACTCAGAACGCCGATGGTCACCGCCAGCCAGCCCCTGAAACACAAGCTACCAACACAACGCTTGGCACCGATTTCTGACTCCTTTGCGCCACCCCGGCAGATGGGACCTGGGTGTCTCTGTTCTAGGGGACATGGATATGATCACCCTGTTGCCAAAGAGTTGGAAATGCAGATGCCTGTCCAATCTCTTAGGCGTTGGACTATTTTTTTATTTTTCTTTAGTTAAAAGCAACTCATACTCTTATTGATGTCCCCCGGGCCTGTATATACCTACTCTCCCAAGAAAGATGCCTGGTGGGCTCCATGGGAGGGAACCCCGGATTGGCCCATGGGGGACGGAAAGGTGGGAGAGTCTCAGGGTGGACGGGGCTGGATTAGAAGTCCACCTGCCACAGTCGCCAACAGGGCTGGACATCCGCGTGGATGGAGAAGGGTGACAGGGACTTCCTTCTGAAGTAGCCCAGGCCACCCCCAGGTCGGAGGCCTCGGGGGGTCTCACGCTCGGTTCCCAGACACGAGATCGATGAGGATTATGAGTGTGTTCCCCGACGGTGACAGGAAGAGGTAGAGACGGATGATTCGGGACTGCACAGAATCCCCTCTTACCGAGAGTGTTCCGGGGGGGCCATGTCCTCTCTCGCCTTTTATCCCCTAGGAGGAGGAAAGAGATCGGTGATCACACAGGCGGTGGAAAATGGGGCACGAACTCATGCGCTACGTCACACCGGACGTCCGTGACCGAAGGGGAACTCGGCTCCCATCTGGGAGGATCAATAAAATCTTGAGCCCTGGGGCAGCGCTCCATCCACTGAGCCACGCCAGCCAGGACAATTTTTATTTTATGTTTTAGAAAAAGCATATCATGGGGGCTGCTTCTGACTTTTCTGGGGAGCATGGCTTGTTATATTTTTTCATCTCTCACAGGTCGGAGTGCAGTGTTTCTATGTGGGAGTCCACCATGGCTGGGAATTCAGGGGCGTCTTAGTTACGACAAGTCGTGGGCCTACCTGTTAAATAATAGATACTATGGATTTAGCAAAAAAAAAAATAGCCAGTTACGTCATGGCAATGAATTTCATGCTTTAGCCCTTAAAATGCTGCATGCCTTCCATCAGGGCTGTCTGGCGCTACCTACAACTTTGCTTAGAAACAGAGACAAAACGATCCGAGACTAGAACGCTGTCTCCCAGGGGGTGGAGCGGGAGGGCGTTGCAAACAGATACAAAGTTGCAACGAGAAGATACATAGACCTGCAAATGTATCACCCCACGGAGAGATCCCTGTCGGCAACACTGTGTTACTAACTTCCCAGTGGCTACACATTTCACGGTTCTCAATGGGAAAAAAAGAAAAAAGAAAAAAATGAAAGGCAATTCTGTAACACGATGAAGCTGTTTGCCGAGACCACTGCTGTAAAACCCGAGCTGGGAAAACGTGTCGGACCGTGGACCAAAGTCACACAATGTTCTCTCTCTGTGTATATATCGCCGTGGAAGAAAAACGCGTAGAAAGAGGAAGAAGGCTCTTCTGTCGGGCAGAACCCGTACTGGAGCCTTTAATTCTGTCCAAGGAGAGGAGCCATCGTCCGCTTCCTGGCTGGGCCCCAGACCCCAGACCCGGCGGCTAGACTGGGCGGCTAGCCCGGCGTCCCCGGGGTGCTTGGCTGTGTTCCCAGCTTTGCATATAATCTACAGCATCTCTTGAAATGCAATCCACCTCCTTTCCAATGTCTCAGGACCCCGTCCAGTCACGTTGCCCTCCCCTTCCCCACCCCCTGCGGGGTGATCCGAGTGCGCCACCCAGGCACCATCTGGCGTGGATATTTTCCCACTTCCTTTGGAACCCAGCCGCCCAGCCTCCCTGGACAGGCGCAAAGCCCAGGGCCAGCAAGGCCGCCAAAGGTGTTACCTGGACGGGCGCCTGGCCGGGCCGCACCAGCCGCAGGTCCCGCGCGTGGCCGCGCGTCCAAGCCGAGGTCCGCTCCGGGCCGGGGGACAGGGTCCGAAATGTCGGTGTCTCCACCTCCAGGACCGCTGCACGCATGTGCGTAAGGCATTCAGTCTGCAAACAAACGCGGATTCCAGGGAAGCCAAGGGAGGCTGCTCAGCGGGGGGACGGAAGGACCCCGCTGGTCCTGCAGTCGGTTGGGGTGGAGGGAATGTGTCCGTCACGGCAGGGTGCCGGGCGGTCTCAGAACCGGTGCGTCACTCTTCTGTCTTTGCCTGGAGTCAGGAGAGGCCTGGCTGGCGGGACTCCAACCCCCCAAGCACAACAGCCGGGTCATTGTCTCCCCCCTGGCGAGGACACGGGCCTCAAAGAAAACCCAGACGAGGTGTGTTTGCGCGGGGGTGTGGTCAGGAAGGCCTGGCCGCCTGGCGGGGGACCTGTGCACACCCGAGGGGGGCCGGATGCGGATTCCGTCTCTTCTTATTCATTCCGGAGCCGCCTCCCGCCAGGGGGTTGCAGACTGTGCATTTCAGGGAGCATCGCGGAAAGATGATGCTTTGCACAGGCGTTTGCTGGGAGGGCTCTGCGCACACACGTGGCATCCGCACAGGGGAGGATTGAATAAACACACTTGGGGTGGCATCCGCACAGGGGGACCCGCGGATCCCCAAGCTCTGCTCTTGGCCTCCAATGGCCTGGACACCGGGCCGCGTCGATCTGAGACGCGCCAGGCTGCATCAGGGACGCCGCCGGAGTAATTCTTTCTGCGTCCGATGAATCCAAAAGAACCAGGGGCAGCGGCGTGTACTTAGGGCCAAGGAATATATTTTGGGGATCATGGTAAACATCCCGAGGTTCTCTTCCATTCACCCCATGTCTGCGTTCGGTGATGGCAGGAATGTTTGCCCCAAGCCCGTCCGTGTTGGTAGGTCTTCCCTGCGGGGTGTCCCGTGCGCAGTAGGGTGCCCAGCAGTGTCTGATCTTTATGCTCAGAGACCAACAGCACCCACCTCACTGCCCACTCGAACCCAAAATGCCCCCAGGCTTTGCCGAGTGTGCCAGGGGGTCAAGCAGGCTGGTGGGGTCCCCCGGGATCAAGTATTTGGGGTTGGCTGGAGAAGACGTTTCAGTCACCGCTGGCTGACCGGTCCCAGCTTCGTCCTTTGCTCAGATTTTCAGGGTCCGGCGGAGCTCAGGCAGGGTGCGGGTTCGACCCAGAGCCGGTGGGCTCCCACTTAGGATTTTCAGCTCCTGTCTGTGTCTCTGCCTTTCCTTCCTTCCCTCCTCCCTGCCTCCTCCTCCCCCCTTCCGACTTCCTTTGGCTTTATCCTGCGTTAGTGCAACGTTTGCCGGATACAGGTCGTGGCAGAACAGACGGACGTGCTCAGGTACGATGTGAACGTATCCGAAGGGTCCTGCCGTCTGGACACCCGTGTCTGTGAAGCAGTCCCCTCGTGTCTGGGCCACGAAATGGGGAAAAACTGACAACGGTGCCGGTTGGGGTCCAAGGCACAATCAGTGTCCAGGCCCAAACGCCTTGTATATACGGCAACTGGATCTGACACCTTTATTTATCGTGGGAACGCTGTTCCGAGGGTCGCCCCTGTTCATCTATTTTTTTTCCTCTCTCAATTTTTCATAATGTGTTTTTGTGACAGATATTTCTCCTTTTCCCCCCCAGACACCGTCCTCCCCATCCACCCCCCCAGCATTGTTGTCTGTGTCCATTGGTTACATGTACATGCGTGGAAATTCTTTGGTTCATCTCATCCCTGCCCCCCCCCCCCCAGGAGGTCGGTCAGTCTGAACAGTACCCTTCCCAGGTGAAACGCGCCCACAGTCTCAGGGAGGTCTGGCCTGTTGGACGTGGTAAGAACCGGCCTTGCTCATGTGCTGGGAATGTTAATCCGCCCTCCTTAGTGAGTCCTCCTTCCTGACGCCGGGCGGGTTAGCTCACCGCAGGTGTGTGTTTGCCCCCTGTCAGCCGCTTACCAGGCCCGGTGCCAAAGGTCACAGCAGCCCGTGAGGCCTGGCCGGGCGCTCAGTGGGTCAGAGCGTCGTCCCCGTGCTGGTCCAGGCTGCAGGTTCGGCCCTGGTCGGGGCCCACGCACGGGCCAGCAGGGACTATTCGTAAGGGGAAGGACACACCGATGGTTTTCCCTCCCGCCCTCTCTTTCTCTTTAAAAAGAAAAAAAAAGATGGATAAGAAAATTTTTTTGGAAATTTTAGTTAATCTAATCACCCTGAGGAAGATATTTTATTTTTATTTTCCTTCCTTCCTTCCTTCCTTCCTTCCTTCCTTCCTTCCTTCCTTCCTTCCTTCTTTCCTTCCTTCCTTCCCTCCTTTCTTCCTTCTTTCTCTCTCTCTCTCTCTTTCTTTCTTTTTCTGCTAATCCTCACCGGACGGTATTATTTCCATTGAATTTTAGAGAGACTGGGAGGGAGGGAGGAAGAACCGTCGACATGGGAGAGACACATGGATGGATTGGCTGCCCCCTGTACAAGCTCAAAGTGAGGCCTGGGATCAAACCTGCACCCCCGGTACGTGCTGTTGACGGGGAACCAAACCCAAAACCCTTCCGTGTGTGGCTGATGCGCTGTCCACTGAGCAATGCCAGCCAGGGCCTGAAAAAGATATTAAAATTTTTTTCCTTTATTGATTTGAGAGAGAGAGGAAGAAAAAGGGAGAGAAACATGAATGAGAGAGAACATTGACTGGCTGCCTCCTGTGTGCACCCCACTGGGGATGGGCCCACAACCTGGGCCTGGGCCCTGACCGGGAATCGAACCGGCGACCTCTTGCTGCAGGGTCGACGCTCAACCCCTGAGCCTCACCGGCGGGCATGAGGAACATATTTAAACACCTCCTTCCCTCCCACCCACATCATCATAATTGAGGCTCACAAAGGTCACGTCGCACAGCAAGGTCAAACCCAGCTGCTCAGTAGCAAAGCTAGAAGTTTGAACCAAAGACCGTGCACTTGCACCTGTATCCAGTCAGACAGTTGCTACAATGTGTCTCACGACGACCTTCTCCTTCTGGGGTGTCAGCTGAAGACCAGGTGTGAGGAGGGGAAGAAGGGGGGCCCCTGTCACCTGGGAACCATCGGTCGGTGTGGGGTCAAGGGGGTCGGGTCCCTGTTCCCACTGCCCCAGCTCCTGTTCTTCCTGAGCCTTCACCCCTGACCTGTGGCGACTCCATCCGCTGTGTTTGCTTCTGTTTAAACAGCCGCGTGTCTCTTCGGCATCGGCGGCTTCGTGTACATTGGAGACAGGGAAAGGGACCCCGGACGTATCCATGCAACGTCAAGAAGAAACAGAATACAATTTCCCACCAGACGAACGAACCAGGGGTCCCAGGCTCACTGCACCGCAATGACAGGTCACCGGACGCTAGACCGGTAAAGACTGGGATTTCAGCCTCCGCGGTCCCCTCGTGGCATTACCAACCCGGGGAAATGGGGAACACGGCAAATGCCCCAGACACCCCTGCGAGGAGGCACCTGCAGACAGTGTACGGCTGCATCGGGGCCTTTTTAGAAATAGGGGGACGCATAAGTCAGGCAGGGTGTCTGCGGCTTGGCTCCGGGCCAGGAGGGCGTCAGGATATTTTTAAATTACAGATTTCAACACTGCACCTCAGCTTTTCTGAGCCAGGAGGTTGAGGGTTGGGCCCAACATGCTACAGTAAAAAAAAAAAAAAGAGAGAGGGAGAGAGAATTTGAGTTGACCGTCGAAATAATATAAATAGACTCAGAACTGCTGTCTTGCGTGTCTCAGGCCTCAAATCTCTGGACAATTAAACAGGAAAAAATGACCTCTGCACGGGGCCTGACTCCCTGGGGTCCCCAAGCACCGTCTGCAGAGATGACGGGAGCAGGTCTGAGGACGACGGGACGGGGACCCCAGGACGGAGGATGAAACACCTTGTTCGGAGTCCGCGCCTCGGGGTCCTGGTATCTGCACCCGGAGCAACGCCTTCCTGCGGGGACGTCCCTGTCCCGTCCTGTCTCCCAGACGCCCATCGCCTGTCTCCCCATCGCAACCCCGTCTGGGCCCCGCCTTCTGCCCACAGCTGTCCTTCCTGATCCCAGAGACACGCTGCCGCCTGTGACCTCGAACGGCCTTGTATTTCCCGGTGAGCACGTACCAGGGTTGGGAACAGCTGTGGACTAGTATTCACTACGACCCAACTTTCTCCTGTGCAGCTGTCTGTCCTTCCTTCTCAGAAAGAAACACGCACACACAGACACACATGCGGGCACAGACACGCACACACATGTGCATATAAATACATAGGCATACCTTCCGCGTACCTTATCCATGTACTTAAATATATACACATCCGCGCACATAAACACACAGACACTGACGTACACGCGCACACACAACTGTTTGTGTGCACACATAGCGTGAACATGGACGCACACATATACACAGATATAAATACACGTACGCATATGTAATATATATATATATATATGTATATAGCTAATTTTATGGTGACGTTTGTAGTCTAAAGGAGCTGAGTTCCGCAGACAGGTCTAGGAACAGTGGAAGACACTTGATACTCTGACGTCTCATGAAAGAAAACTAAAGCCATTTAGGCAGAGGGTTCCAAAGTTCTGGTTTTGCGAGGAAAAGCGGTCATCCCCGTACCGTCCTCAGTGATGGACACTCCGCGGTCGCGTAGGAGACACTGAATCGCCCTGGGTTCCGCTCAGTCCCCTTTCGTGAAACCCCCTGAAGGGGACGTGCGTGTGTTGGGTCCGGTCAAGGGGCGGGGAGGCAGGATTTCTTCGGCCAATCGCTCTAGCGTACGTCGTCATACAAAAATGACTCTCAGACTTGCTCAGGTCCCCGCCTTGGCCCTTAATTAGGATTTAATGACAGGAATGCGCACAGTGAGCTGGAGCTGTCCCTGGAGCTCAGTGTTCATAAATGCGGAGACGAAGGGACTCCAGGTCCCAGGTGAGTCAGCTCGTCCCCTTCACTGATTCTGCCTCCTGGCCGCGCGGTGACCAGTGGGCTGGGAAGTGAACAGGTGACGATTCATTTTATGAAGTCACCCTTCTCTCTGTCCCCTCCTCCTTTGA